GTATCCCATCTGCCTCCTTGATGAAGTACTAAAAGACCCTGAAGGACATCTCTCCTTCCTGTTGCCGTGGCAAGCCTATCCGGGTACGGGCATTCCCGACAGAAATGTGTTCACAAAGCAATTGGTTCGATGGAAGGCGTTCCGCAGTTGGCAGAAAGATTGCCGAGGGATTCGCACTGATGAAAAGGAATTCGACGCATACGTTGAGGATACTAAGCGCAGAGATCCCGAATGGAGAGGTGAATCGAATTACGAACATCAAGAATTGATCGATCAACATCTCAGAAGGCTTCAAGCTGAATTTGAGAAGACTCCCGAGGCAAAGGACAGCAACAACAAAGGCGCAGCCTTCCGGGAGTTCGTTGAGAAGAGGAAACAGCGCAATTTGGAGGTTGGATGCACATGGCCGGGAATGACAGAAGCTGAGTATCGGCAAGCGCTCAGCGTGCAGTTCAACCTGGACAAGTACCGTCATTATCGAGCTCACCTTGGTCTGCTGGCTCTTGCCCGAGGCAAGCACGGATTTCCCGAGTACGTTGCCAAGGCTAGGCGCCGTCTATCTGAATTTGGCCTCACCCAGACATTCGAATTTGACGAAGACCCAACCCGCCAAGACAAGCTGACAACATGGATCGAATATCTCTATTACGAGTTGTTGTGGCACGATTACCATGAACGTTCCATTAATCGGATGCAAAGAGAGTATGACGAAGCCTGGGAAAAGCTCGTTGCCTCAAGAGTTTTACAGTCGATGAAGACGGACGAGACACTGCGAACAACTGAGTCCATACTCCAGCGTGCAAGCGAGAGACAGCATGCTGAACAGGCTTTGGCGGCTGCTGAAGAGCTGCTAGAAAGGCATTATTGGAGACCGCCAAAGCTATCCATGGTGGTTCGAGTCTTTCTCTCCAGCAGCGGAAGCAAAGATTAAAAACAGCTTACACTGGATTGCTCAAGGCCAAGAAAACGCTGAAGATCATCACAAGACGAAACAATCTGATTGCGGAGTTTCTCCAAAAACACGGGGCTATTCAGAGGCCAAATACAACTTACAGCGTCAGCAACTTCTACTCCAGTGGATTCTTGCTCAGGTACCGCATGTTGAAGAAGAGGTGAACGCATTCAACGGCAACAACACTATAACATCTGGTCTGGACCATACGCATCGCAAGAAGCGCCATCCGAGCACCTCTATAGAGGATATCGGTATTTTTGCACACCGCAGCAATGAGCCTTGGGATGAGCGGCCTGCTAAGCGAATCCGGATAAACAATCAAGGAGGTGCACTGGGGAACGAGGACGTCCAACTTCGCCGCAGCGCTCGTATTGCAGCGCGGCGCAGTCACTGTTGGAAGACAAGAAGCAAGCCAGCATTTGCCTTCGTCGGAGCGCTCGTCTCGCTGCTAAACGCAGCTTGCAACGAACATAGGGAAATGAAAGGCGCCGAAGGCAAGCCTTCTTAACTCCCCTGAAGGAGTGGGATTCTGGTAGTATAACACGGATCACAGCCAGGGCCCTGCTCTCTCCCAACTCCGCCAATTTGCGGGAAGGCATTTCTAGCTGAGCTAGGCGGCCGCCTTTGCTGCAACTATGTTTGCATGATGGAAAGGTTCTAACAGTAGAGATACCCCAAACAACCGTTACGCACACTGCTTTTGATGTTGGTTGGTTCAGATAGCAGCTTGTTCCGTTGTCTTGTACTTATGAACTAAAGAGTTCGGATTAAACATTGGGATGCACGCAAGACTTAGGCAACCTTTTTCTCTTGGCTTTGAACGGTTCAAGTTAGTGATTGGTTGGCTGGTTAGGGTTAAAGTTGAATAGAGTAGGGAGGGAGATATGTTTGAGTTCCATGTGTTCTTCGGCTTCTTATTTAAATATATGGTTGAAATAAACTCATTTATATCCCCCTACTTTTTTACTTTCAACCACAAGTTCCACAATAACAATTCTCTGCCTCAAGCTTCCTTCCTCACTTACAATGTGGGCCGCCAGCTATATATTATTTCTTAGCCTAGCTTTCTCTACTTCTTCAATTCCTTACCTTACCATCCTTCTACCTTCTTTCACTCATCCTTCAACCCAACTACACACACCCAATCTTCTCAAACTCACATGATCAGCAACAACAGCATATACTTAACTATCCTTCAGTCAACTCTACCCCCAAATCTACGAGTTCTAATACACGCCACAAATCCTCGAGTAACGGAACTCTACCATCTACTCACTCGTAATATAACTCTACCCCTCAATCCACCCAAAATCGCAAGCATTTGGATGACGGAGATTTTCAATCCACTCACTCGCAATCCAACTCTACCCTTCAATCTACTCAAAACCGTAAGCCCTCGGGTGACGAAACTTTACCATCTACTTACTAACTTTACCCCTTAATCTGCTCAAAACCGCAAGCCCCGGGTGATGGTGGCTTACAATCTAATAACTCTGTACCCAACTCTACCGCTCAATTCACTCAATCCGCCCACAAGACCGCAAGCCCTCGGGTGATGATGGCTTACAATCTAATAACTCCATCCAACTCTACTCCTCAATCCTCTAAACGAGCGAAACCAATGATACAAAGCCGCACTTTCTCACAGGATGAATCTACTCACTCACTTCCTAACTCTACTCTTCAATCTACTCGCCCCACTATACAAGGTCCTAGGTCCTCGAGGGCTGAAAATACTCTGCCTCAGCCCCAATGTCACGACCAACAACGACTTTAGCTGGAAGAGTGGCTTCAGTGCAACTCACTGATCGGAGTAGAAGGGAGTTGTGACCCATCAAACTCAGGCATCCGCCCCAACAACTGAGCATTGGGAAAGTGTTCCTCAACACCCAAGGATGTTGACTCTCAACAGTTTGTGTTATTGAGGAAGAAGGAAGCCACAAGAGTGCATGAGATGTATATAGATTCCAAGCAGGGCCATCTGGCCCGAGAAACTGTCCAGTCAGCATACAAACAGTTACTTATGAACTGGTGACTGCAACGGCCACTTTGGTTGTGTGAGAACTCCTGTCTCTCAATCCAGTAGCCTAGCATCTCTCGAACCCATCTCAGGAGGTCTGTCTGGATCGTTACAGAGGAGGCACAGGAACTGATCCGTGAGCACTTCCGCGATCACGAGGCAGCCACTAAGCATGCGCAGCTCGCAGCGCAGGAAAGCCGTGGCTCCATTGAGTACCCTTTTGTGTATTCCTCGGAAACGGAGAGAGATAGGCCAGAGGGACAGCCTGCAGGAGGACCAGAGGTCCAGAAGACCCAAGCCAATGCAGTTTCCGCTGTGTGTCGGAACACTGTCACAGCAACCCTATGCCCGATCGAATTTGAGCAAAGTTGGGTTACACCCCCTAAACCCCTCTCCAACCGAGGCAAACCCTCCTTACATCATTGGTGTCCTTAGGGAAGAGGCAATTTACTCGAAAAAGCTGAGTCGCCACTGGAACAACGCGGCCCTAGTCATTTGGGCTAAGAGCCATGTTGAGATGCAGGATATCGGCGTACAAAATACGACGAGACTGCCCGGCTTTCTGCTAGCAAGAACTGACTATAACATAGGGAGGATGAATACAGATAGCCGGCGGATGAGTCTCCCGAACAGAGATAAACAATTCGCGGAGCTGGATCACTACGCTAGTGTTGCTTCTAAGATCCATCTGGCATCGCATCGGCTCCTTAGTTCCCTGCTACCACGGCCCCGGTCTCCTCCGTCGGGCCATCAGCTGCTGGTGAGCTTGCTCGAGGCTGGCTCCCAGCGTGTTTTCTCTCTCTTTTTTATTTTCCTGCAGCAGCGCGTACTTTAACATCACTCCTCGGTGTGGCAATATAAGTCCCAGGTCATGGACCAAGTATCTGCGACCCTGGAAAGACAATCAAGACCGAGAAGACACATTGTGGGCCTCTGTGTTCTAGACCGCATTGCTTTCTCCTGAACATTCTCCTCCCACCTCCCTCCTTTGTGTCCTTGTTGGCATGTGTTCTGGGGCACATCCGCAAGCATCATTGGATCATCTCCACACCCGCTCACACCTCCCGCTGTGCCTCGTCTGACTCCCCCTCACATCATACTCTTATCATTAACTCCTCCTAACAACAGCTAAACTTCTCTGGACACACCTTGACAGCATCAAATGTGTGGAGATTTTTCTGATGTGCACGGCGAATACCCTTGTCATCTTCATCAAAAGCAAAGCGAGAGTGGCTATTGGATATTGGCGTTGTAACCGGAAGGCTTTCCGATGCAATTCAAACGATGTGACAGGGAATTGAGTTTGCTTCGTTGTATCTACTTACGCCCCAAATCCTTTTTCGTTATATGTGCATTTTCCTCTCACTGTCTCATGTTTTCTGCCTGACAACCGCTCTACCAATAGGATAGCGCTAGCTGTTGATCGTGGTTATGCAGTGAGGACGCCTTGCTCCCATCTCTATGGAGGCTCCAGCTCCTTTTTTGGCGCGTGAACTTGAACGTATGGTTTGCATACTAGATGCCTAGCCTGGATAGGACTGTTAGCTTTCAATTTTCCATCACCCTCGTTGCCAAAACTAAAGCATTATGCCACCCAAATCTAAGCGATGAGTAATTTGTTTTGGTACCAGCATTCACAGAAAGAAGCTCCTTTTAGCCAATGAGTGTATTGGTGAATTGCGCACTTCCATGCTTTGATGCCATTGCTTGCCGGCCCCGGCAATCAGTAGTGAGGCCAACTTCAGCCCTCAGATTCGGGTTGGAGCAGGACCACGATGTCCATTCGCAGAAGACGCGAGCCTGCCGCACAGATCATGGAGGAGATACTGACCACCGGTAGCTGGGATGTTGGTTAATCAGTGGCCATCTGTGTTGGCGTGAAGAATGGATCAAGGAAGGGATTAGGCAACAATTCACCAATACTACAGGTGGTCTGGTAAGAAAGGGAGTCAAAGTGCTTTTGCTAGAGAGGGAAGCCCCAGCCAGGTGCGGGACTGGAGCTCCTGTCAATGAGTGCAAGGCGAAAAATCCCAGATTACAAAATCGCAGGGACTTTGCAGGGGTAGCAATGCAACCCGGCAAGAGGGTGCCTTAACTACACAACGACCACAACTCAAGGCCTGAGAGATGATCGAGCCGCATAGTTCGCGCACTAGATGCCTTACTCGCGTACTACTATTGGCTTTTTACCTGCCTACCTCAAGTTATGATATATAAATGTTAAATCAGCAAGCCTACTATATCTTCTCAACCACTTTTCCTTAACCACCAGCGCTAGCATTCATTCCCTAACCAATATCTATTTTGTCATCATCTCGCAACCACTATCAGCCTTCTTTCCGAGGGGCATAGGATCAACTCACCGAATATGGAGCCTACCTCGGACTTGTTAAAAAAAGAGTCCAATACCAAGGCCATCACTGTCGAACAACTTGCGACTGAAATCAAGGGCATCTATGATTATTTGGTCGTGGTTGAGAAAAAATGTATTGAAGTTGATAATGCTCAGAGTACCGGGCGAAATGTCTCCCTGAACAAGCTCTCTGATGAGCAATGGAAAGCTCTCATCGCACTTCATTGCACATACCTCAACGAACATTGTGATTTCTTACTTGCCAGCCAACATCCCGCTGCAAATGAAGCAGTCCGTCTGTTACCAATCAAATATAGTATGCCCGCTCGCATGTGGAGGTACGGCATTCATAGGTTCTTAGAAGTTCTGAGAAATTGGCTCCCGGCTAGCTACGAGCATATGATCTCATTCATATATTTGGCATACTCCACGATTGCTCTCCTTTTCGAGACTGCGCCCGCGTTCGAGAAGACTTGGATGGAATGTCTCGGTGTCTTGGCACGGTACCGCATGGCAATTGAGATGGATGACAACAGAGACCAGGAGATTTGGGCTGGTGTTTCACGTCAATGGTATTCCAAGGCGTCCGATAAGTTCCCGACAACGGGGCGTCTTTATCATCATCTCGCCGTTCTCCCCCGCCACAATGCAGTTCAGCAGCTGTTCTACTACTTGAAGTCGTTATGTGTTGAAAACCCTTTTATAGATGCTCGGAAGAGTATCATGACTTTGTTTGACCGAATCATATCTCCTACGCAAAACGCTCAACAAGCGAAGCTCGCACGCCCTGAGCTGCTTTTTGTCAAGACTCACGGCATTCTTTTCTGTATGCTTGAGGGTAAACAGCCCCAAGAAGATCCAAAGATACCGATGAACGAAATGTTCCAATTACTCGATCTACACATTACGCGGTCAAATCTTTACTGGTGCTCAACTGAGTAAGTACGAGGCACGGTGAGTTTAGAGTCATGGATTTTTTACTCTTTCATCATCCCTTCTACTAGTGGGAAATGCTTGATTACTGATGTTAAAAGGTATCACATTGGTCTTGCCAATATATGCGCATTAATGGGCTATGGATTTGAGGGTAGCCCAATTGCCAAGGCTCTCAAGGATCAACCATCTGCCGGCGATTCCCAGAGTCAGAAGACATCAGATGAGAAACCACAGAAGTCTGAGGTCATGGACATCACTCTGAAGATTTACGATGAGACCTGTAATATCGTATTGCGACGGTTCGGCGATCCCAACGTCCTCTCTTTCCTTCATGTCAACTTGGTCTCTTTATCATTTGACTTTCCGACCAGACGCCTTACGTTACGTTACAGCCTTCTTTCCTTGGAAGCTAGCAGCTGAAATACTGAATACGTTGCTCGATGTTTATACCACGGACCAGGCTCGTCCTCTCCTGGTTGCACGCATGGAAAGCGATGAGTTCCCAGCCTCAACTGACATGTCCAAATCAGGTTCGCAGTCGACCGCTACTGTTATGGTTCTCCCTCGTCCTCTCCCTAATGACTATGCTCTCCGTGGCTTCTCTTGGGTTGAAAATTATTTCCCGAGGAATAATGAGGATCGTTCAAAGGACTGGTTCGCAAATGATCGGATTGATGATGAAGAAAAGTATCTTGAGCAGAATTCCATGGCGGAAGAGCGCAAAGACCGTTGCTTGTGGCTTGGTCACAAGATCGCCATGAAGCTAGACATCAAGTGGCTGCGGTATGATTCCAAGACTCACAGATTTAGTGCTCTTGACAACATGGCGCCTTGGCTGCGCCACGACTATGACAGTGGGTCTGAGGGGTGACCTTGATTATACATATAGAAAAAGCAGAGAAACCTATGGGAGAGTTGTTTAAGGAAAAGAGAGGAAGTGATATACATCAAAATATATATTTAAAAAGTAATCTCTGTTCCATTTTACCCCTTATTTTTGAAATTCCTCTCTACTTGCCCATTGAAATAGCTATTCTTTAACAGTGTATAGACTTTCTTCCTAACTGTACAATGTGTTCTAGATTAAATGTTGTTTTAGCTGCTTTTTATAACAATTCTTTCCACAAACAATCCATTTACCTTCATCAGAAGGTAAATTAAGGATATGTTTCGAAGCTAGATGTTGGATATGACGATCCGAATAGACCTTCTGAAATGGGTTCGAGAAATACCAGGTCTCTGGACCTGAGAGACAAGGTTCCTCACACGGCCAAAGTGGCTATCGTGGTCACCAGCTTGTAAGCAACTTCTTGTAATTGTCATGACCAACAATGACTCTATCTGGGAGATTAGCTTCGTGCAACTCACTGAGCGGAGTGGAAGGGAGTTATGACCCATCAAACTCGGATATCTGCCCCAACAATTGAGCATTGGGAAAGTGTTCCTCAACACCCAAGGATGTTGACTCTCAACAGTTTGTGCTGTTGAGGAAGAAAAAAATGGAAGCCACAAGAGTGCATGAGATGTATACAGATTTTAAGTAGGGCCATCTGGCCCAAAAAAATCTCTAGTCAGTAATACAACATTTGCTTACCAACTGGTGACCACAACGGCCATTTTGGTTGTGTGAGAACTCCTGTCTCTCAACCCAGCAGCCTGGCAACCATCGAACCCATTCCAGGAGGTCTGTCTGGATCGTTACAGTAATATTGCTGACTGGAGAGCTTCTTCGGTCAGATGGCCCTGCCAGGAATCTATATACATCACGTACACCCTTGTGGCTTCCCTTCCTTCTCAACAGCACAGACTGTTGAGGGTCAAGATGCTTGGGTGTTGAGAAACACCTACCAAATGCTTGATTGGTCGTGAGATTGGATGATTGAGATTGTTAATTGATAGTTGGAAGGGCTCTGCGCTTTCATTCAAAACAAAGTCAGCTCTTGCCCACCGGCGTCGTGAGCACGACCGAGCATCCTCATGGATAATATGGGTCAGAAATACAATTTAATTCAAGGTGAGCTCTGATGAAAGTCAAAATAGCCAGGAGTAAGTTATTAGTAACCTAGAGGGATAAGTTAATATAATGTAATATAGGTATAGGAGTATAACCCTGAGTCATAGGTAGACTCTAACACCCGTATCTCGGTCAATTCAGGGAAGTAAGGAAACTGTGGTTTGCAATATTCTATATCTTTTTTGCGGCTGTGTAGTGCTAGGTGCATGCCTATTGGGCGCAAAGTTTTGTAGTCCACAGTTTTGTACCATTTCCGACGGTGAGCCTCCCTCGACCACTATACCGGCCTCCCCGTCAACAGTGGCGACTTCTTTGTCCCAACACCACAATTCTCGCTCGCCATATAAAGATTCAATCCAACCGCCAGAGTATACAACTCCGCGCTCAGCTGATCCCATGCCCATTTATCCTTCCGCGCCACACCAATATAATCCACCGTCAACACATTCGGCCAATGCTCCGGATCCATCCCGTTCACCCCAGAAAAGTACAGCGCCGGGTTCGCTGCCTGAATCGCAAACGCCTGCAGCGAATATGCCGTTGCGGCCACCGCATCCTGCCCCGCGTCAAAGACAGCTGACGCGGGGACCAGCCTCTGTTTATTCCGCAGAAAGCACGTCTTTTGTTTACTTTATTCCGCAAAAAGGAAAGGCGCTGGTTTTCTTGCCAATGCAGTCCACAATCATGTGTGTGCATGTGGTCTTGCACGCGGATGCGCAAACATCCATAAGTCTTGCCGCGGCAGCTTGTCTGGCATGGAAAACTTCTCAAACACAAGCGCCAACAGGCCGACCGGGGCCCCAAGCCAATCCCTTTCCGGGCTGGAGGAATGGGGTCCTTCTCCAGGGCTGTGGCGTGCGATTTAGGAGCTGGGCTGCAACACAGAGCTCCAAGCGTCTGCGCTTGAAGGGCTGGCTCGGCTGCATTGGCGCCTTGGGCCATTGTGCCGAGACGTCAATTCTTTATCATCATTGGACACGCATTCGATGCTTGCTGCTTGATCATTTGGGTGAGCGGGTCGCCTTTTTAGCACAGCGAATTGGGCCTCGAACGCAACCAGCGATCAACGCGAAAGGGAGAAAGTGAAAGCCTTGTAAAGTACATCTCGATACAATTGCTGCTGTCATTGCTGTTCCTTTGATTTGCATGCACGACTCGCTCCTCATTTGCCATGTTTTTCGAGTCGATCAGATCCCAATATCGCAATCGACAGACAGAGGACAGTGATGACGAGTCAGAACGTAATGACTGGCGAAAAACAACGTCTGCTGGACGATCCTGTTCGGCCTTGGAAAAGACGCCGATGCGAAGAACAAGGGTGCTTGGTCCCAGCCCTGCTGAGGCCTGATGACGTCTTTACATGAGTAGGACGAAAAAGGGCTGAGAACAATGGGACGTTGCAGACGACGAAGGTGCCCTTTGTGCTGCTCGTAGCTTCAAGCTCTCTTCATTGTCATCGACATTTCTGCTCTCTGCCATATCGCCGACATAACTTTGATCGATGAGGAGGGGGATGGGAAACGGTAATTTCAACGACAGGACCGTTCAATACATACATAAACACAGGGCAACGCTAAAGCCTGCCCTAAGAACCCCTGCATGCCGCCCAGCAACCAGCGGGTAACCAGCCCCGCAACGGACGGGGAACTTCGTTGCTAGGGGTGCCACGGTTCGAGTCTTGGCGAGCAATTTCATGACGGAGGTATCCGTTTCCAGAATGTTGGGCTAGCAACTACAAAGATAATGGCTTCTCGAATGCTTTGATCGAACGGTGGTGATAATATCTCTTTGGCGTTTCCAGCTCATCGGTATACTCGGTTGAGAGAACGTCGTGAAATTCGAGCTGCGACAAGAACCCAAACGGCTCTGCCCCAAGCAACAACGCACCGTCATCAACATGCGTCCGTGCTCGACCTGCCCAAAACGCCAAAACGGGAAGATGCTAAGGAAATCTGAGACGCCTATCATATCTCCAGCAAGCTGTGAAGCCTTCTATTGAACGTTAACATCACGTGGGTGATGCAGCGCATATAGATAACAGGCTGGCTTCCACTGTAGATTTTACTTCAATCTTAGAAGGATGGCGAGATCAAAATTGATCCAAGGTGTTTTTAAACTGGGCTCCGTTGGTAACGACACGAAATTTGCCTGGCAAAGTCGGAGTGTAAACACTTTTGCGTGAACAAGTGTTGAGATCGATCGTTTGGTGCTAGTTCTATATCAACTGAAAGTGTTGAGGAAAAGTATATGTTCGTGGTTGAAGTAGCCTTTCATCATCAAATGTTGAGTCTATGTATTTACATGGTCCATTGAGCATTTTTAGACAACGACAGATCTCAAAGGAGGAAATGCTAGCTATTTGGTGGCCGAATGGAAGCAAACTCGAAGATCGAACAAGTGTTGTTTGCTTTGTGACGGCATCTTGTCTATTTGTCCAACGTTCCATGATCAACCAAGAAAATTTCTTCCCAAAGGTGTTTAATCAAACTCTTACGCATTTCTTCATCAATATGTCTTAGTAGGAATTTGTTCAACGATGAGACATGAAGTTGTTGAATTGGGGGCTGCTGCTGACAGCTGTGATCTTGGGGCGCCGAAAGCGGCACATCAAACATCTCCCACGAGGCCGTGTCGCAGCTAGAGTTAAGACCTATGATTTGTGTACATGATTCGAGCATGAGGTCGATAAAAGTGACGACATGCGCCATTCTCAGCCCTATGATTTAAGAGGTACCCTCTATCAGGAAATCACACACGAAACGTTACCTCACTAAGACAAGAGCTGCATGAGGAAGCTCCCACAACCCCACACATGTGCTTCGAGCGCGGGCAGGGGTCAGCTCTTCCTTCCACAAGCTAGGGGCGCTGCACTACCCTTGCACCAAGCAACAGCAGTAACCTTGCTGGAGCCAGCGACCTCCGTCTCCCCTGACAACCCGGAGGAAAAGCGAGCGCCGTTCGATCAGCAGGCTTCCCTGTCAACCCTGCTAACAGTGCACAACTTGTCTGCAAAAGAAAATCCTTCTCAACTGCCTACCTAGCAGCCTTCGTGAGTGACAATTTGAGCAGTTTGCTGCCAGCAACATTTTCACATCAAACATCTTATCTCAATTCGAGAACGGAGCTGGAGTTCCAAGATTCAGCTGAGGCTGGACCGGGCGTGCATCCAATCCAGTGTTTGAGGCGCTCCATATCAAGTTGGAGGGGTCGCAATCTTCAAGGTCACTAAGGTTACTGGTGTAGCCTGCTTCCATCTGCAGCTCCCGCCCACCTGCATTCCCGCATAACCATAACCATTCTCTTCATCCGACCTTGCATCATAAATCTTCCCTTTCATCCAACATTTACCAATTCGCGTGATTGCTGCGCCAGTCTCCTCGCTGTCATCGGGACGATTGGCAATCACCGTCTCGCAACGCCAGATCCAAAAACGGACGCCCCGACAGTACGGTACTTGCTCTCGCCGTACACAGCCCTGCCGCGCGGTGCCTGAAGTAACCTGCCGGCCAACATCAGCATTCTTTTTTTTTTCGACGTCGCTTTGACGGTCGAGACCCGTGCAAACAAACCGCCTTTTGTCAGGCAGCTACCCGACCCCAGCCCGGATCTTCCGCTTTTGGGGCCCTTGAAAGGTCGGTTCGTGGCCTGGGCTGCAACGAAAGCGGGACCCCCGCTGTAATTTGTACGGCTTTGACCTCAAACTTACCGTCCCTGGTTCTGCCAGTCCCAAAACCGCAGACCGCCCGCGTTGCACCGGACGACGAGAAAACTGAAGTACGGGCCCAGCAACCACCAACTCCTGCGCCCGATCCTTCTTAACCACAGCCAACACCCAGAGCTGTTGCTGCCCATTGATGCAACAGCAACCTTCAGAGCACTTCTGCGGCGTCGTTGCAGCATTCGAACATTGTTGCTACAGTCAGCCCGCGAAGTATACCTGCGTCGTCCCGACCTCGACATTCCTGGTCCGTCCCTGACTTCTGAACCGCGCCTGCACCTTCACCTGCACTTTGACCTCCAACAGTCCACAGACTCAGGAAGGCCGACTGTCCGAGAGGGATTGACAGCCCTTTCTGGTCCAACACACCTGCTTTCTTACCCTCTGTGCATGCAACAGCACTCGCTTGTCACACAATGGACGCTTCTTCGCCGCTGGCTGCCATGCGGCCGGCGCCCGCCTCCCCCTTTAACCAAGGCAGTGTCTTCGGGAAGCACCTGAGGGCGAACCGTCTTACTGGTACATACAAGTTCCAGCGCAACAATTCCGATCTATTCAAGTCCGTTCGGGGCTCCTCTCCCGCGGCGTCTCTTGCCGCCGACTTGTCGCAGAATTTCAAGCTCAACGATGCAAGGTAAGCATTGGCATCCAAACCCCTAGCCGACAGCTATGACACTTTCACTTGTACTTTACTTACACTCCATTGTCCTATAGCAGCCCGATGTTTCCTACTCCGCGGCGCTCCCTCTTTACGACGGCAACGATGATCGATGCCAGCGAGGGGCGTGGTAAGTGCATAATCCCTTTGTTGCTGGTTGACATTCGCCAGTCTGGATCGAGGGACTAACAGGGGGCTCTTGTTTTAGACTACGCTACTACGCCGCCTCTGCCTGAGTCCCCAGCCCTCGATGATTCGGATATGATGGATATGTCACCGCTGCCGCAAAAGGCTTCCCGTCTCGCCCATGTCGAGCTGTCGTCTCCAACCCCCGGTGCCGACGAGATGCTGCTGGAATCCCCCACTCCGCATACACATTCCCTCGATACAGTCAAGTCCGGCGCGGTCGAGTAAGTTTAATTGCACATTTCTACAACCACATCATCGACTACCAGTAGTGACTAATCTCCAACTTTTCTCGTGTCTTAAAACAGCCGTCGAAAGTTGTGTCTTAAGCGCCCATCTCTTCTTCGTACCAAGGGTCTCACATCGAATGGTCTGACATCCCGTGCTCATGGGGATGTCCAGGCTCCTCCTTCGTTCCGGTTGTCGACCGGAGATGACTCTAACATAAGCACTTCATCCTCCCCTATGTCTTTGAGCGAGTGCTTTGAGGACTCCCCCCCGCAGGAGCATTGCTCTCTGAACATAGAGAGTCCGACCACTATGGCTACTACCCGCGCCAGGGCTCACCTGAGCGCTCTTCACTCAGTGCGCGATGGCTCGCCCATTACTGCTCGTAGGAGTGCAAATACCTTCGCTAGGACGCGCAGGCAGTACAGGCGCTCGCTCAGCATGTTCGAAAACCCCGAAGATATAATTAAGGGCAAAAAGGATGGCCCTACTGCAGCCCCTTCAACTTTGCAGTCAATCATGGACATGGAAGAACCCCATCAGCTCATCTTGCCTCACTTCTTTACCGATGATCCAACAGACACCATCCCCCGTATTACTCGTCAGACTTTGTTAGATGTGCTGGACGGCAAGTACAGCCAACACTATGACCATAAGATGGTCATCGACTGCCGGTTCGAGTACGAGTATGAAGGTGGCCACATCGACGGTGCTGTCAATTACAACGACAAAGAGCTGCTGGCAGATCACCTGTTCCGTCATCCTATGGAGGGTCGCACCCTCCTCATCTTCCATTGCGAGTACTCAGCTCATCGCGCCCCCATCATGGCCCGCTACATTCGTTCCGAAGATCGGAACTACAATGCGGACAACTACCCGAAGCTCACATACCCAGAGATTTACATCCTCGATGGTGGCTACAGCTCCTTCTTCTGCGAGCACCGTGAGCGTTGCTATCCCCAGGCCTACGTCGAAATGAATGATGCCAAGCATGTGAACACGTGTGAGCGGGAGATGAGCCGCCTGCGCCAGCAACGCAAGGGTCTTAGCCGGGCTCAGACGTACGCATTTGGGCAGCGCGGTCAGAGTCTTGACGAGTCTCCGACAGCCCTCGGCCGTGGTCACCGTGATCGCGAATTCTCCAAATTGCTCGCCGCGTCTCCCCTTGGTTCTGATCGAGCTGGCACTAGGCGTGTGGCTTCCTTCTAACTTAAGGGACATCGATATAGACTTGAGGTCTGACTCTTGCATGAGATACCCTGTTGACGTGTTGTCTTCTGCATGCGCATATTTCTTTGCTTCCGGCACATAGCTTTTCTTCCCTTATCGCCTTTAATATTGTTTCGACATGACGTGCTATTCTCCTCCAGACCAACTTCGGCTCAGGCTGCGAGACCTGTTTCCTGACGATAGGATTGGCGATCCAACGACCGTCGGCAAACACGAGCACGCCTTCTCTTCTCTTTTCGACTTCGACTTGTTGGCATAGCGCGGCGTTATCCAGGCATATCGGGCCTTGGATCCGGCATCCTCTCCGGCTCGTGACAGCCTGGATATTTTTTTTTCCCCCCCTTTCGTTTACACTGCATTGCCATAGAGCTCGACACAACCCGACTTGCATCCTCTCCTTTGTGTAAAGCATAATTTCTATCTTGGCGGAACGGCATACATCATATGATTGGCCATTCCACGTCCCAGTGCCAACAACAACATGGTCCTGGACAGCATTAATAAACCTTACCAGCGATGGCCACACGTCACTGCACCTACTCTACCTGAGCTCCTGGGTAAAGGGTCCTCTCTGGGCCTCTACCAACCCTTCAACTGTACAGACACCTATGACTATCCTGTTGGTCCAGTATCTCATATGATCAACACTCTACTTAAACTTTCCTTTGTCGGTTTGCTGTGATGATACCTCTTTTCCTTTTTCACTCTGGTATAAAAAACGTGATGGATGATGGATGAAAGAACAAGGCTAGTTGCTTTCACGACACGACCTGTGCTTCGCGCCACAGGTTTTCTCAAGGTGTGTTGTGGAGGACGGGGGGATTTTGCAGTTTGCACGAAGAATGGAGAGGGAGACTCAATGGCATTGAGATGATAGATGGCGACTTTGGACAGGGTCTTGGGTGATTCCAGCTTTTCCTGTCCCGGTAATATGGGATGGGGAAGGAGATGGGATTGGGGGAAGCAAATAAGAGAGGGAACTCATGTCATGGGGATGAAGATTCCTGGCCTCAATGAGAATATCGGGATTGGTGGAGGGGATTGATCATGGATCTCAGCTGGGCATGGAGGATAATAATGGGTTTGCTCCTCTTGGGCAATCTCCCACTCATCAGCCCCTGGGTTTGTGCGCTTTTCTCATCACCTTTGCTCTTCACGTCTGAGCTCTGGCTGCCGTTGATGATGCTTTTCTCCTGTTCCGGAGCAAACTGCACTGACTTTGTACATATGTACATATCTATTATCTCTTCTCCCCATTGCCCGACCATGGGCCCTCTTTTTATGCTCTGCTGATGATTTGGCAGATGTACACACACACACACACACACACACACAGCCTCGTAGCTAGTGAAATGCAGCATGAAATACATAGTGTAAATGATTGTACACTTATGTGATCATCTGATGCCTTGGTTGGCAAGGTGAATGTAACGAGACGAGGCTGAAGGTGCGGTGATGTGTTGTTCGATGATCGTCATCAGACTGGTGGGTCTTCAACAAACCAGAAGGGAAAAAAGTAAACATAACCCCTGCAGTGTTTTTGACGAATGAACGCGTGACCTTTTTGGTTGCTATGGCAAAGCCTACAGCATGACATGTCATTTTCGATGGGGACGTCTTGTTCGCCTGACGGCAGTGTCTTGCTAACCGTTCTGAGCTTGAGAGTCCGAGAAAATGAGACCATGAAAATGATACCGTGTCCTGGGACACAGTGCAAGATTTTTTTTTTGCCCTCTTAAGGTTACGTGCTGTAAGGATTAGGTGTCATATTATAGGTAAGAGATACGGGACAGTCCTGTTCCGTCCGGCTGCTAAGGTTTTAGCCCATAAATGACAAGGCATGCAAACAATTTGGCATGAAATGCATTGGTGGTGCGCTTACGGAACGCCCACGTCAGTGGGCATCTACCATTCCAATAATATACCGACGTGAACATTGCTGCCGAATGCAACAAAATAACTCAAAAGGCATGTGCACTCTTACAAAACAGGCCTGCTGTTTTATAGAATCTTTCGTATTTCTTCCCAAATTCTCCAGGGATCATTCCGGTGCTGGCTCGGCGAAATAAAGCAGCAGGAAGGCTCTGGGGCTAAAGGATTTGGCGCTGCTGAATCTCCGTGGTTGCCGGTCTTGGCACCGGAAATGTGGGGTACGGCACCGGAAATGTGGGTCTTTCCTCCGGCGTCCGAGGCCGAGTCCACACCCGAAAAGGCAAGCGTGGTGACCGGAGCCGGACCTGAAGCAAGACGTCGCAACTCAGATATACCATTGAATGAACCTTTTTGAGATGGTTATATGGAATATCCAACGGATCTTTGAGAGTTTCAACATCCGAAGTCATTCTATGTCCTCGGATCCTTAGGGCAGAGTGCTTTAGGATAGATGCATAACTCCAGGCTTCTCTGTATCGGGGACCAGATAAGATAAGGAATCGCAACGCGACCTGCATCATCGGCGCGACAGGCAGGCTGGACCGCGCCTTCACTTGAACAGCTTGCCAGCATCAACCTCAGGAATCTCATCACAACGCAAATGATTCAGTCTAATTGAAGTTATTCGTTTTCTTTCAGGTCAATTTCGCCTGCCGTAAAACAGGTCTATACAATTTTCGCCGCATGGGGATTTAGTTCTGGCTTTTCTCTTCCTTCTCCCTTACCACAATCTCCGTCCACTTCAGCTTCATCGCACATATTGAACTTCTGAAGCAATCAGATGGCAGCCCCCAAGATGTCAGTCCGCGACTGCCGCCAATTTGCTGGTATTACATCCACTAACAACCTCAGTGTCGTTTTCGGTAGCATCGATGGGAAGCTTCGCGCTGCCTTCGAGAAACTCACAGCAGTCCACGCCAAGAACGACTTCAGTTTTGCGATCATCACAGGCAACCTCTTCGGCTCCCACCACGATGAGCAGGAACTCGATGACCTCTTGGAGGGCCGCATCCCTGTTGCCTGTCCGACTTACTTTACCGTGGGTACCGTCCCTCTCCCCCAGAAGGTAATCGACCGCATCAAGAAGGATGAAGAAATCGCCCCCAACCTTCACTTCCTCGGCAAGCGTTCCGTCACCAAGACATTGGAGGGTGTTCGCATCGTTGCCTTAACCGGGTGCTTGAACACAGAGATCATAGCTGGCCAATCCCAGGAACAACACGAACCGATGTATTTCGAGGGCGATGTCTCGATCCTCCGCGGCGCCAACTACGCGGATATCCTTATTACGACCGAGTGGCCCGCCAACATCTGCAACAACAGTGCAAAGGCCCAGGAGCTCAAGTTTCCCCCCAACTTCAAGAGTGACCGCGAGAGCATCGCAGAACTGTGCGAAGCACTCAAGCCTAGGTATCACTTCGCCATGTCGCCTGTGGGCGACTTATTTTTTGAGCGCGAGCCCTTTGTCTATCCCGAGTCAGAGAAGCCCGACCACCGTAGGTCTACTTTCACTCGTTTTATCTCCATGGCGTGGTTCGGCAATGAGGCACGGGCAAAGTCAATGTATGCCTTTGTCCTCAGAGATCTGGGCAATGATGCCCAGCCCCCTCAGGGCAGCACCCTTTGCCCTTTCACCAAGCGTGTTGCCGTCACTCGAAAGCGTGAACACGACGAGGGCGGTTTTTCACGCTTTGCCCATGACCACCGCCACCATGACCATAAGCGACGCCGGCAGCACTCCCCCCCACCGGGCCCCGACAAGTGCTTCTTCTGCATATCGAACCCCAACTTTGCGGTACACATGGTGTGCGCGGTCGGCCTGGACGCCTACCTGGCCATCGCCAAAGGGCCACTGCCGGGGCCCGGCACCTTTGCTGACTGCGGGCTGCCCATACCAGCACACTTCATCATCGCGCCCCTCAACCACGCCGCTTCCATCAGTCGAGCGTCAATGGCAGAGGACGAGGCCTCACGCACGTTCGCCGAGATGACCCGCTTCCGCGAGTCGCTGCAGGGCATGGTCTCCAAGCTTTCGCAGCGCCGCCTGGGTGCCATCACCTGGGAGATTAACCGCGCCCGGAATATTCATGTGCACTGGCAGTTCGTGCCCATCCCCACTGAACTGATTGCTAAGGGTGTCGTGGAGGGGGCATTCCGTGTGATGGCCAATGATCTGAAGTTGGGTAACTTTGTGAGCCAGGAGTTCGGGACTGCTGATGATATGCCTGGCGACTATCTGCGCATTTGGACTTGGGCGAAAGTTGGTGATCGGGATGGTGAGAAGATTCTTGGCAATTGCCTTGTGCTCCGCTTTGACAGCCAGGTCCGTTTTGATCTACAGTATCCCCGCAAGGTGATAGCCAGGTTGTTGGACGAGGAGGACCGTGTCACGTGGCAGAATGTGGTTCAGACTCCGGAGGAGGAGGCTGCCGATGTTGCAGCGTCCCAGGAGGCCTTCTTTGAGTGGAATTTTACGTTGGAGCACGAGAAGGAGAAGAAGGATGGGGCTCAGGAGTAGGGTCAGAAGCAGGACCAAGAGGAAAAGAAGGACGAGAACAAGAAGGATGGTCAGGAAGATGGTAAGGAGGAGGCCCAGTAGGGTAACCAAAAGATGGATGAGGATGGTGTTTAAGGTAGTATAATGGAGCCCTAAACGGGCATTGATGCCGAACAGGCAAGTGTCGGAATATACCCCGTTGAGTTTCGCATGTTTCCTACTAACTCCCTTGTGATTCATGTACTGCTCGCCTATTCCTTTTCCATATCTTCCATATCACCTCCATCAGCAGTATCTATACAGAGACCGTTCTTCTTTAGGTCGAGAGCAGGCAGGCTCATATCGCGTGATACTGCATAACCCTGCCATAGTCAAACCGTCAGCATCAAAGCCCCTAGTCGATTTCCCCTCATTATCCCGAGACCAACAACAGCAGACTCACTTCCTTTTCCTCTGTTTCATCATAATCCTTCCCCCACAGTTATCACATCTCAACTGCTGGTTCGCCTCAAAACCCTCCTCCGCTCCACAGTCCTTGCACGTATAGTACACCTTGCCGTCCGGCGTGTTATACCGGTTGCGCGTGCCGGGAAAGCGGCACTCAGGAGGGGCTGGAGGCGCTGGAACGGGAATTTCGCCGGGCGAGCCGTCGCAATTGCTGTTGTTGAAGTCGCCGTTCTGCTGCACGATTCCGCTTGACTCGTCAATGTCGAGGAGGTGGCCTCGGAATGGATGGTTTTGGTGGGTTGGAATGCCCATTGGACTGGTGTAGATGTAACTGTAGGCTGGGTTGCGGGAGGGGTTGTTGGAGTTGTTCTCCATATTGTTGGTATTTCTCATTTGAAGTGTGAGTTCAAGTCATCTGGGAAAGGGACTGTTGTTAAGTTGTCATACCCGTTGACAATCGGGCAACCTAGGGTGTTTCCCTGAGGCTGGTAGGGCTCTTTTGTAGCCATTATGGACTATGTAGGTCACTGGTGGTATGTTTCTTGTGAGAGTCACAGAGGGTTCTTTCACTCCGCTACTGGAGATGTTGGCTTGAAAGTTGTGTAAGCGGAATGTCGGTCAACGCCAACGAGGATGCAAGTTCTTGTAAAGAGATTGATATTGCGATCATTTCGGACTCTATTAGCTTTATCGAATTCATCGCTCAACCTTTGGGAAACTGCGATTTTCCGTCTGATCTTTCGTTGACTACTCTCACCTGTTCAGGAGCAGGTGGATGTAAGTATATGCAATTATTCGCATGAACAAGAAACTTCGATACAAAGATCTAAATGCGTATTAAAGCAGTATCTTATCGATAATGCATCAATCGTGCAGCTCAGGCCCCTCACTTATCTTATCACCTTATCGTCCTCGGTCTCTGCTCTCCCGCCAAAAAATTTCCCAGAATCGAGGCCGCAGTGCTCGCGCTTCCTCCATCGCGCGCTCGTTGTCGCAACACAGGTCAGAAAGACGGCATCCCAACACCGCCATCATGCCGTCTGCAACATCGGGCCGCATTCTAAAGACGTCGCGGGGGTCGAAAAAGACCCCCCATCAGAAGAATCATCGATGGGAGTCCTTCAGTCAAAAGATCTCTAAACTCCATTCCCTAGACCCCCTCCGCAAGGTCCGGCGACATGATCTCGACGCCGAAGACCTTTCCGTAACGACCTCGTATCTTCGAAATGGCCTGGACAAATGGGCCGAGCTCAACATCTCCCGGCCGTACCAGGCCTTCAAACGGGAGATCAACCCACTTACCGAATCGCTAGCGCAGATCCTCTATCACGAAGATCGCATCATGGACTTGCTTGTCGAGTACATCTCCCGCCACGAGAAGGAAGCGCTTGAACCGCTACTAGATTTGGTCACAGCGTTCGCGCACGATCTTGGTGTCCGTTTTGAGAAGCATTACCCGAGAGCTCTCTCCCTGATTGTCGACTTGGCCGGTTCAATGCACGATGTCGAAGTCATTGAGTGGACATTCGCTGCGCTTGCCTTCCTCTTCAAGTACCTTTCGAGATTACTTGTTCCAGACTTGCGCCCTACATACGATGTTGTTGCACCTCTGATGGGCAAAGCGAAACACCCAGGTCACATCGCCCGCTTCTCTGCTGAGGCCATGAGCTTCTTGGTCAAGAAGGCTGCCGCCCCTAGCCATAAGGACAAGGCGCTGTCTCTGTTTATTGAACATGTGAAGAAGGATCTGGAGAGCATGGTTGGCACGAAGCAATTCGACTTGTACAGCCAGGGTATCATGACTATGTTTGCCGAGGCGATGAAGGGTGTTGGAGAGGGTCTGCACTCCACAGCCCCGGATCTCTTTTCCGCGCTGATGCGCGCTGTACCGAAAGAGGAACTGTCACTGCCAGAGCGGACTGTCTGGTCAGACGTCTGCTGTGGCGTGATCACGAGTGTGATCCATCATTCAAACACGGACACATTCAACACAGTCGAGAGTCGAGTTGTCGACGATGCAATGGCTTGCCAGCAGCAAGTCTTGTTCATCCGTGTCTTTGGCACCATGGCTGGTGTGCGGAAGGGCACGCGCATCCACGACTGGGCTTCGTTTGCCAAGGCATTGAACCAGATGCTCGTGTCTCTGGGTACCCAAGCAAAGCAGATTGAAGTGATGGACTCTTCTCGGGTATGGAAGCATATCATCGTCAATTCCGCCATCGTGTGGAGCCGGGCTCCCATGGACGCTCTCATTCCAGCGATGTCCACATTCCAAACTGCCATGACCAAGGAGCCGTGGATGAAGTGGTATATTCCCTTCTGTTCTTATTTGGCCGACCAGAACGCTGAGCGTTTCCGTGGCCTGTTTTTGAAGGAATTCCAGAAGTACGGTTCTATCCTAATCTCTCCTACTGCTCCGTGGCTGACTTGAGTTAGGTTTATTGTTGCACATTGGTCTCAAGGTAATAATGAAGACTTGCTCTGTGTCCTTATCCCCCGGATGGTAGAGTCTGGAGGTCTACCCGCCCCTGGGAGCAAAGAGATCTTCCCACTCCCACAATCATGGCAGGACCAGATTGTGAGCAAGTTCGTAAGGCTCGAGGACACTCCTTTCCCAGAAAGTGGTGGATTTGGAAAGGATCCCGAAACCTGGAGAGATAAGTGCTTGCCCAAATATTCGGCTCGTTTGCGTGTCCTGAAGTCGACCACTGTCCACCCCTCTACCAACTCCCGGATTGCCGAGGTACTCCTTAAGAAATTGAAGCTCGCTCTCCGCCCGTCCTCCTCTTTGCCGACCGACGAAGCCAACTTCATCACCAGCGATGGCTTCCATGCCTATCTCCGCATGTGCAAGGCACCTGGGTCGATTGATCCGAGCCTGGCGCCCTTGCTCAGAGCTGCTGCCCCACGATTCTGCCGGTCACCATCTTTCCTTCAAGCTCTCCTGGCCTATGAGCAGGAAATCAAGGCCAAGGGCAAGAATACTCCTGAATCGGACAGTGGTGCTGAGAGCTCACATGAGGAGCATGAGCCTTTGATCAACTGCCTTATCGCCAACCTCTCTTCACCTTCCCACGAGTTGCGGCTTGCTTCGCTTCAGATCCTCGAGGTCTTGGATTTCACACCTGACTCGAACAATGCCCTAAGCATCATGATCCAAACAGAGGAGATGCCTCTGAACTTGCAAAGTGTTCGTGCCATTGGCGCGCATCTCCGCAGGCTCGGGCTGGTATACTCCCACATTGAGCAGGACTCTTGGTTGGCTCGGGCTGTGCCGTCCTTTTTGTGGGGCATGATGACCGTCCCTCTTGCGCCTGTTTGGGATGATGCCGTCGAGGCGATGAAGAAGGTTGCGGAGAGCAAGCACGGTGAAGAGGTATTGGCCAACATTGCCTTCGACTGGTTGGACGTGCCGTCTCCCCAGTGGTCTGGGCCCTACAAGCCGCCGGCTGATGATAATCATGGGCCTCTTACCAATTTCGAGTGTCTTAATCTCATTCACTTGACCGAGGCGGCTGAGGCCACAAACCAAATCATTGAGGAACCCGGACAGGACATGCTCTCTACCTATGAGGAAGGCCAAAAGATCATCGATCTGCGATCGGAAAGAGCAAGGAGCAAGGCTCTCAAAGCGCTTGCTGCCCTGCCTTGGATGGCGGAGAGACGGTCTCGTAAGCTAGTGCCTCACCTGTTTGCCTTTACTGATGACAGTGAGACGCCAGAGGAAGATATAGAGGAGGAGTCTCCGGAGTCAGGCGAGGGGAGCTGGAATCTTGCCGACAGGAAGGACCTCATCAAGGTGTTTTCGCAGTTCAGCAACCCACGCGTGCTTTACCTGAGCCAGAAGGTTTACCAGGCTCTGCTCAAGCTTTTGGCGAATGGTGATATCGAGCTGCAAAAGCTGGCTCTGAAGGCTATCCTGACCTGGAAGAGCGAGGGCATCAAGCCGTATCAGGAGCACCTCGAGTACCTGCTCGATGAAGCCAGGTTTAAGAACGAGCTCACGGTTCTGTTCCAAGGCGACAACAAAATCCTGCCTGAGCATCGCTCCGAGGTCATTCCTGTCCTCCTGCACCTGCTCTATGGTCGTGCGATTTCCCGCAAGGGCGCGGCAAGTGGTCGCCATGGTCTTCATGCCACTCGTCTGGCCATCATCCGCCAGCTTGATGTGGAGGATATGGGCAGCTTCCTGGATATCGGCCTGGGCCCTCTTCGTGCCATTCGTGTCGTTGATGAGCAAGGCGTTCGGGAGAGTGTGTTTGCTCATGAACCCCTTCCACCGCGCAAGCAGGTCGGTCTGCTCAACATGCTTGAGGCCGTTATCAACGAGCTTGGCACCAGCGTCGAACCCTACATGGATGCTCTCGTCAACTCAGTTCTCTACTGCCTGGTCAATGCCTGCAGGAAGCTTGGCGTTAGCGCCGAGGAGCCAGAGTCCGGGGAAGGCGGACAGATTGAGAATGAATCCTTGTACAGGGTTATCAGGACGACAGCACTCAAGTCCCTGTCCAGGCTCTTCCAGAATGCTCCTGACTTCAACTGGGTGCCGTACCGCGAACTTATGGTCAAGGAGATCATCAGTCCCAGGATCGAGAAGCTCCCGGTTGAGTCAACTCAGGGTGTGTCCGCTACCTGGAGGCTGATGGCCACCTGGTCTTCTCTGCCGAAGGCAGCGCCGTTCCTCAATGTCGACAAGCGCATCCTGCCCAAGATCGTGGAGACACTTTCCATTGAGAAGGCAAAGGATGAGGTCAAGGTGTTTGCACTTGATATCCTCAAGAATCTCATCAATCTTGCGCAGGCCCCGGAAACTGAGTCCCAATTCAATGAGCTCATCAAGACTGAGCTCTTGGATCCTAATACTGACCTCATCCTCAAGACCATCGGCGGCGTGCTGCATGGTCAATCCGATATCGGCCGCGAGCTCTTGTCCAGCGCCGTTGACACTGTCGTCGTATTCGCGCCCATGATCGAGGTGTCTTCGCATATCCAGGATATGCTAGAGATTGCTACTTGGCTGCTCAATCAACCCTTGCGCAAGGTTAACCCCAAGGTTAAGGGCGCTATCTTGTTGATCCTCAAGCGGTTTATTGAACTCGACGACCTTCAGAGCAACCAGGAGCTTCAGCGCAAGGTCTACAGTACCATTTCTGCTCTCTTCGGATTCTTCAAGGACAAGCAGAACCGGCAGACGCTTGCCGAGGTCCTCGATGTGTTTGCCAGGCGTGAAGTGTGGGCTCAGGAAGTGTCGGATATCTGCCGTGGTCTCAACTCCTATGTTGAGCAGCGGCTGGATGAGCCTGATTATAATACCCGCCTTGCGGCTTTCAACTCCATTACCAAGGACCGTGATAAACCATTCACCCTCGACCAATGGATGCCACTCGTTCACAACCTCCTCTACTTCATCCAACAGCCCGAGGAATTCGGTGTCTTGTCCTCGAACTCGGCCGATGGCTTGTGCAAGTTCATCTCCGCTGTTGAGTCTGTCTGGGCTACTCCCGACCAAGCAGCATGGATCGATGTCGTCGCGAACATCATCCTGCCCGCTATCTACGCTGGTTCCAGAGACCCATCGGAGACTGTCCGCCGCGAGATCCTGCGTGTCTTCGGCTTCCTGGTCTCCCATCTCCCCCAGTGGGAGCTGGTGGCTGACTTGACCTGCCTGGTCCCTGAGTCGGAAGACTCCGATGAGGCTTTCTTCTTCCATATCATGAGCCCTGCGGTGTCGAGACAACTCCAGGCTCTTCGCGTGCTTGAGGCCGCTAATGACAAGAGAGAGTTCCGCAGCAAGCACATCAGCCAGTTCTTCATCCCGTTGTTTGAGCACTTCATTTTTGATCGACCTGAAGGTGGTGATGACCATGGCTTGAGTGCGCAGGCTACGAACACCATAGCAGCGTTGACTCTGTCTTTGGAGTGGCAGCAGTACCGTGCTATTTTGAGGCGGTTCATTTCCTATGTCGAGTCTAAGCCTGATTGGCAGAAGCGCGTTGTGCGTCTTCTGGAGAAGGAGGTTGACGCTTTGCGAACGGCCGTCGCCTCCAAGAAGCCCGCTGATGCCATGGAAGTTGATGGCGAAGCGAAGCCGCGTCGGCTTGCCTCGACTCTCCCCGACCAAGAAAAGCTTGGTGCTGAGATCGTCAACAACTTCCTGCCGACGCTCCTTAACTACATTCACGAGAAGGACGAGACTAACGTCAGCGCTCGTGTCCCTGTCGGCGTCATCATCGCCAAGCTCCTTACGCTCTTACCCGACCAGTTGCTCAATGAGAAGCTGCCTGGTGTCCTTACCGACATCTGCCACATTCTTCGCAGCAAGGCCTGGGAGTCTCGCGAAATGGCCCGTGACACGCTCTCTAAGATCGCGGGTATCTTGGGCCCGGAGAAGTTCGAGTTCATCGTCAGAGAACTGCGCGGTTCTCTGCAGAAAGGCTATCAGCTGCACGTCCTTGGCTACACGCTGCACTCGATCCTGCTGGTTGCCATCCCATCCTTCCCTCAGGGTTCCCTCGACTACTGCTTGGGTATTATCATGACCGTCATTATGGACGATATCTTCGGTGTAACTGGTCAAGAGAAGGATGCGGAGGATTATGTCAGCTCGATGAAGGAGGTTAAGAGCAGCAAGAGTCAAGACTCGATGGAGCTTCTTGCCAAGACGGCGTCCATTACACGTCTAAGTGAACTAACCTTGCCTCTTCAGTCGTTGCTGATGGAGAAGCTTGACCTGCGGACTGTTCGCAAGATTGATGAGCTCCTGCTCCGCATCACGAAGGGCCTTCTGGAGAACCCAGCGGCTGCTTCCCAAGAGGTCCTGGTGTTCTGCTACGAGGTCATCCAGGAGGTCTACAGGAGCCAGAAGCCCGAGGAACTGCCCAAGATGGACCCCCGCTTGAAGAGATTCATCGTGCAAAAGGCGGCCAAGAAGAGCGACGGCGCTGTTACTGCCAAGCATACGTACAAGATGACCCGGTTCGCGATCGATATTCTTCGTGCTGTCATGAAGAAGCACGATCATCTGCGCACGGCGGCTAACCTTATCGGCTTTCTGCCGGTTCTCGGTGATGCAGTCTTGGCCGTAGAGGAGGAAGTCAAGGTTTCCGCTTTCAAAATGCTCACCGTTATCGTCAAGGTACCTTTCAAGAATAACGAATCGAACGGCCTGTACAAAGTCGCGCACAAGGAAGCCATCAAGTCCATCGCAATGTCCTCCAGCACACAATCCGAACTTGCTCAGGCCGCGCTCAAGTTGATATCTGTCATCCTTCGCGACCGTCGCGACATCCAGATGAGGGAAGCCGCCTTGGACATGCTTCTCAGCAAACTTAAGGACGACCTGACGGAGCCTCTCTACCGGCACGTCACATTCAACTTCCTGCGTTCCGTTCTCGACCGCAAACTAGAGACTGCATCCGTCTACGACACCCTAGACCACGTCGGCACGGTGATGATCACCAACGACGACAAGGACACGCGCGACCTAGCCCGCGGCGCGTTCTTCCAGTTCCTGCGCGAGTACCCGCAGAAACGGAACCGCTGGGAAAAGCAGCTCAAGTTCATTGTGGCTAACCTCAAGTACGAGCGTGAAGGTGGAAGACTCTCGGTCATGGAGTGCATCAACCTGCTGCTGAAGAAGTCGGCGGATGAGTTCACGCAGGAGGTGGCGGCCACGTGCTTCATCCCTCTCGTGTTCGTGCTGGCCAATGATGACAGCGATAAGTGCCGGTTGGCGGCTGGGGAGTTGATCAAGGAGACGTTCCGCGTGGCCGACAAGGAGAGGCAGTCCCGCTTCTTGACGCTGCTCCGAGGTTGGATTGCGCAGGATGGGAATATGGCCGTTGTGAAGCTTGCGCTGCATGCGTTTGGGCTGTACTTTGAGGGTCGGGAGCCGAGTGCTAAGGATATTAATGACCTGACTCTTGTTTACGACAAGCTTGTCAACGTCCTGGGAGATGAGAAGGCTCTGGAGGACGATTGGGAGTTAGCCCACGTTGCCCTGGGCACCTTACGCACCTTGGTCCTTAAGCACCCGCAGAAGGTCCTGTCCGGGGATGCGACCGACCTCTGGGCCGAAGTCCAGGCCCTCCTGGCCCACTCCCACACTGAAGTTAAACTCAGCGCCATCCGACTCCTCAGCATGTACCTTGCCGACTTTGCCAAAAACACCACCAAGGGAGCCAAGCTGCCCCTTTCCGGCTCCCATGGCCTGCAGCTCGACACGGACGACGTGACCGACCTTGTCCGTCTCTCCCTCGGCATCCTGTCCGCGCCCGAAGTCGACGAGGCCTTGGCACAGGAAGTCGCCCAGGTCCTGCTCTTCCTAGGCGGGTACCTCGAGCTGGCGGGCGAGGACGACGAAGAAGAGGGCGACGAGGCCGAGGAGGACGAGGCCAACGACGCAAAGGAACGCGCGCACACCGCGGACGTGCGCTACCTCTTCTGGAAGTTGGCGTCTATTATCCGGAAGGAAAGGCCGCCGAAGCCGGAAGTGCTCGTTAGCAAGCATGTGGCGATGGATCTGGTCGAGGCGTTTTGCAATCGGGTGTCGGTTGAGACGATCATGGCGTCTATTAAGACGATCCTAAGGCCGCTGAGGAACTTGACGGATCCGTCGATCAAGCCGCCGCACTCGTTAAATGATATCTTCCGGCAGCGGTATGATGAATTGAAGAACAAGGCGCAGACGGTTATGGAGCTGTTGCAGAGGAGGCTGGGTAGTGCCGAGTATACGAAGGCGTTGCTTGCAGTTAGCGAGATGGTGCGGGAGAAGAGGCAGCAGAGGTCGACGAAGCGGAAGATTGAGGCGCTTACGGCGCCGGAGAAGTACGGCCGGGAGAAGAGGAAGAAGTTTGAAAAGAAGAAGGAGAGGAGGAAAATTAAGGGTAGGGAGGCCAGAGAGTTGCGGAAGTTATACCATTAGACGGGTTTGGGTTTGGGATTTTGTTAGATCTTTTGTTTGGTTCTATTCGGAGATCCTGTAATGAGATGGGTGAATCAATGTTACTTGTTCAAGTATGGGTATGTTCCAATGCCGTGAAATCCTCTTCCATGAACATAAATAAATACAAGCACTATCCCGACGCCATCCCGAGTCTATCTACCGTATAATACATGGCCCATCCGGTTTGGTTACCGCCCCGACACTATTCGGCCTTATCACCTTCCGGCTTCTCCCCAACCTTCACACTCTTAAACGACCACCCCGGCGGCTTGTCATCCTCAATAACGGGCTTCCTCTCCGGCTCCGGGAACGGTGTCCTCGGTGTAGCGGTCCCATCCTCCCAGAACTCGATATCCCCGTCCTCACCCAGCGTCCCTTTCTTGACCAGCTCCCCACGCTCGCGCAGAATATCCTCGACCGTGCGCGCCGTGTCCCCAAAAATGCGCAAATGGTCACTGATCACGTGGCGGTTGCGACACTTCGGACATGCGATCAGCACCGAGCCGTAGTGGTAGCCTTGTTTGGACACCCGGTGACGTGAGCGCTCGCCGCAGGGCTTGCATGTGAAGGTCAGTTCGTAGTGAGGTTGTTGGCGGATGTTTGGGATGGCGGGTTTGGGGGATTGTTTGTCGGATGGTTGTTGTTGGTCGGAAGAGGATGTTTCGTCGCGGATGGGGGCGTAGTTGCGTGGTCGGGGGATGTTGTGAGCCAGGCGGAAGGGGATCACGGGCTGGATGGCCCTGAGGGAGGTTGACGCTCGGTGCTGTGGAGCAAGAGTTGCGCAGACGCGGCTTGGTACAGTAGCTTGGAAGAGCCGTGTCAGGCTTTGGATCGGCCCAGCGAATGCCCGATTTGATGCCATCTTAAAGTAATGCCGACTTGTAGTTGAGGAAGAGAGGGCACGGGATGAAGGGTTCTGTTACAAGAAAATTGCGACAATGCATTCTTCTAAGATGTCAGCGGACTTGAACTGGCTTATCGATAGAGAAGCTTAGCGTGCCAAGGCCGCCCCGCAGCGGCATTGGTGGGGCAAATGGAGAGCTGCTGGTCAACCACGAAGCTTCAAAAGTGGGGCAGAGAACCAGGGGATCACACAGCTTCAATCCGTCATCAGGCATCCGGCAGCGTCGAAGGGAGCTTCAACTTGGGCAATTGCCGCCTGCACTCGCCATCTTTCTGACTCTGTCCGGTGAGCCGAAAATTGAAGGGGATATTATTCTCCTGTGATGCAATAATCCTTTAGCACTGACCCATTGCGCACAAACAGCTGAACAAAAGATGGTTTAAACACGCCGCTCTCTGTCCTACCCAGCGGCTTGTAACACCTTACACCATTCCCACTCCGCTAGTCACCCTGCGGTACTTCCTATAACAAAGCCTGTATTTAAATAGTTGCAACTATTCTTCTTCGACTTCAAAACTTTGACCATCACACCTACCCGAGCCTACTCCCCATCTCCCCTGCCGCGTTTCCAAGCCTACAGATTCTTCTTCACACGATGTCCGCCCGCCCGAACAAAACGCGGCCAATCCGACGGGTACGTCGTATAAGATTATCAGACCCTTGATATATATTCTGGTGGACCTCATACATCTCGCTGACTTCTGTGGCCACCACAGCCCATTGTGAGCCGTGATACTGCCGATTTCGACGTCTGTTGGGAGACTTTGCGCAATGCGATCACGGACATCCATAACAAAAACTCGAGCCAGCTCTCCTTCGAGAGCTTATACCGCGCATCCTACAAGATCGTGATCAAAAAGCAGGGGCAGCGGCTCTACGAAAAGGTCAAGGAACTAGAGGAGGAATGGTTTCGGGTCAACGTCCTGCCCCGAGTGGCTGAGCTTGTCAACAACAACCTCCTGAGCGTTGCCCTAGTGCGCATGCCTGGCCGCAGTAACAATGAGCGCCGCGAGATGGGAGAGAAGGTCCTACGTGGTATCCATCGTGAATGGGAGGATCATAACGTCTCCATGAACATGGTTGCGGATATTTTGATGTATCTGGAACGCACCTACACGGCGGAAGCGAAGCAGCCTTCCATCTTTGCTGTCACGATTGGCCTCTTCAGGGATCACATTTTGCGGAATACTCTCTCCAATGAGGCATTGCTACCAGGGCAGACGTTTGATATTTTCGAAGTTATCATCCAGATCCTCTTAGACTTCATACATATGGAGAGAGAAGGCGATGTGGTCGATCGCAATCTGATGCGCCAGATCACCGCAATGCTAGAAGATCTGTATGAAACAGATGACGAGCTTACGAACGCTAAGCTTTACCTGACCGTGTTCGAGCCGCGCTTCCTGAGGGCCAGTCGCGACTTTTACAGGAGCGAGTGCGAGAAGCTTTTGCGGGAAGGAGACGCAAGGGCTTGGCTCCGACACACTCAACGACGTCTCCGGGAAGAGTTAGAGCGGTGTACGACATCGCTCTCTACCCTCACCACCGAGAACATCACACGAGTCGTTGAGCAGGAGCTTATTTCAGCAAAGCTCGACGAATTTCTTGCCCTCGAGGGCAGTGGGATGAAGGCAATGATCGACGATGATCGCTACGAGGATCTTGAAATCCTCTACGATCTTGTCTCGAGGGTAGACAAGACAAAGAATGCGCTCAAAGGCATTCTCCAGAAACGAGTGATGGATCTTGGTCTCGAGATCGAGAAAACGCTCAAAAACACCGACTTCTCTGTGCCCGCCGCTGGCGCTAGTGCCGATGGAGAGGAGGCGGCTGAGGGCGGTGACAAAGCAAAGGCCCAGCCCCTGAACGCTGCAGCTCAACAAACAGCTGCGGCGATCAAGTGGGTTGATGACGTTCTCCGGTTGAAGGACAAGTTCGATACAATATTGTCACGATGCTTCAAGGACGATCTAATTCTGCAGTCAGCCATAACGAAGAGTTTTTCCGACTTTATTAACATGTTTAGTAGAAGTTCGGAATACGTCTCACTATTCATCGACGACAACCTCAAACGCGGTCTCAAGGGCAAGTCGGAAGAGGAAGTCGAGACGGTGTTGCAGAAAGCGATCGTTCTCCTTCGATATCTCTCAGACAAGGACATGTTCGAGAGGTACTACCAGAAGCATCTTGCTCGGAGGTTATTGCACAACAAATCCGAGATGCATACGGAGAAGGAGCTTGTCCGCCGAATGAGGACAGAAATGGGCAATCACTTCACCCAAAAGTTTGAGGGCATGTTTAAGGATATGGAGTTGTCTAAGGACTTGTCCCAAAGCTACAGAGATCATGTCCGTAATCTTGGGGACACGGAAACGAAGACTATCGAGCTGGGCATCCATGTGCTCACTAGCAACAACTGGCCACCAGAGGTCATGGGCCGTAATGCGACCCAAACCGGGGAAGGAACCAGGGCGGATTGCATCTACCCTCCCGAAATCAAGCGTCTACAGGAGAGCTTCTACAAGTTCTACCTGAAGGACCGCAGCGGTCGCGTGCTGACTTGGGTCGGTACTGCTGGCACTGCGGACATTAAATGCATCTTCCCCAAGATCCCTGGGAAGGAGAACGGTCCTCTCAGCAAGGAACGCCGCTACGAGCTCAACGTCTCCACCTATGGCATGGTTGTACTCATGCTGTTCAACGACCTTGCCGACGGAGAGTGGCTTACGTTCGAGGAGATCCAAACCAAGACAAATATCCCCCAGCAGGATCTTATCCGGACGTTGAGCTCCCTCTCGATCCCGTCCAAGTCCCGAGTCCTCCTAAAAGAGCCATTGACAAAGAGTGTTAAGACGACCGACAAGTTTGCCTTCAATGCGCAGTTTGTTTCAAAAACGATCAAGATCAAGGCCCCAGTGGTGAGCAGCACAAACAAGGTTGAGGGTGACGAGGAGAGGAAAGAGACGGAGAGGAAGAATGACCAGACCCGCGCGCACGTGGTTGATGCGGCCATCGTGCGGATTATGAAGTCAGTACCTCTGTTTTCGTTGATCCCTTTCTATCTCTCTTTATCTCGAGCCAATACTAACCTCTAGTACAGACAACGCAAGGAACTCACCCACACACAGCTCACCACCGAAGTCATCGCCCAGCTTGCTGGCCGCTTCAAACCGGATATTTCCATGATCAAGAAACGTATCGAGGACTTGCTTATTAGGGAGTACATCGAGCGTATTGATGGGGAGACTGCCGCGTACCGGTATTTGGCTTGAACGGTGAGGTTGGAGATGTTATTTTAAAAGAGTTTTTCTGTGCTTATTTTTGGCTGGGAAATGCTTCTTTGGTGGTGTTAGATCGGTACGTTTCATGGGTCTGATCTTTTTTTTTTTTGTGAGAAGCACGGGTGCATCTAAATCTAGCCTGTTGGCGAGTACATTCTGTTTTGTGGTCGATATCTTAAAGAAATTTTAGGGCGGTGAAAATTAGATATGAGGGATAATACCTACCACGCATCGTGCTATATTTCTCATATCAGAGGTCCATAGGCACCTTGGTGTATGTAGACTTTAAGGTGATCGATCTTCAACCGTTAGTCTCCTCCCAGGGTCTTTCAGGGGTAAAAGGAAAACTGCTATAACCCTAACCCCAACTCTCGCCCCCAAGTCACTGGTTACTGCTTTGCCGCAGGGAACAAAAACACTCCCTAGAAAACTGATCTTCTATTTCTTTGTCAGTCGTGAGATACAGTGAATTGTACTTATCACCACCCAACGCGGTTTTTGCGATAGTAGACTACTTCATGGCCTCCCTACTGGAAGATATGCCCGAAGACTGGCCCAGGTACCGCCGCAAACCTAACAAAGAGAACATGATCACACGCATGGCTTACACCCTCCGCGGATTTGACATGCACCTCATCCAGAAGAGGGCGTTGGATGTCGCCAACTTGTGGAGGCCCAGAAATTGTCACATGGACACGGCAGTCCAAGGAAAGGGATATCCCCGACTGCCAACATAAGGGACACCAGAGACAGGATGATTGTGAGCAGCACAAATACGTGGTTGATCCAGGAAGATGTCTAGAGCCGGATGACCGAAGAGGATGAGCCATATGGCCGAGGCATGATGAGGATTTTATGAAGGAAGCTGCCCAGTCATGATAGACTTCCCTTGGTTCCTCCTCTCCCTGGTACAAGGACACTGAGGACCAAGAAAGATTATTACACGTAGTAATTGACTTCGCTGTGCACCCCACATTGTCAGTGGCCATCATCTAACCCATTTGACCTATTGTCGATCCCTGCCTGCACCAGACCAAGTCACCCTTTACAGAAAAGGCATGTCGAGCATCAACTTGAACCGGCTGAATCGCCACATCGACGACATGCGCATGCGCGAAATGAAGTGAAAGAGAACTGGATCCAGACGGACTTCGCGACGCTCCAGATATTAAAGCAGAACGACATTTCTTGTATGATATGCTTTGAGGAGTTCAATGACCATACCAGCGTGTTTGGACCAAACCCCGTGCGGAACAAGTACTGCCCTGCGACGGGAGGACCCAACCACTATGCATTGGTTCGCTGGGGAGCGTATAATGAAATTCGCTTGAAGTGTCAATAACGAGCTGACGGGCCCCCCGCCACGGTGTCCGATGTGCCGGATGCCTTTTGCGGCAGCCGATAGGTAAGAGCCATTATTGTACCAGCCGGTTGTCATCCCAGGTACTTCTCCGTGGTTGAATATCGAGGAGGGTCAACAAGATGGCAAAGGGGACGCTGAAGCTTTTGAGACCATTTTCTGCCACACAGGACGACAAGGGTGATGAAATGGACTTTTGCGGTAATGACAGCGATGCTACGATCCCGAATGATGATAGGGATGATATCGGCTCAGTTCAAGTGGCCAGGGAGGATATCAGCTTGGTGTAGTATATATTTCAATGAAAATGTGCATATGAAAACGTACATATATATCATTCTAAAAGAGACCAATGTGAAATTTTGTGTTTGTAAAGTCTGTGAGACGGTAGCATCATGGTAAGCCACAAAGTTTGAAGACACCGTTGCGGAATCTTAACACTAGAGTTGGGGACGGGACAAAGCGGCCCTCTTAAAATTCTCCCCGCCATGAGCCCCGACATCATCAAAACGAGTGCCAGCATCAGTGGTTTAGTGGTAAAATTCATCGTTGCCATCGATGAGCCCCGCGTTCGATTCGCGGCTGATGCATTCCTTTTGTCTCGAAACCCAGTTCGACAGTGATATCCATCCTTTTGGATCTCCATTTATTTCGGTGGGGTCCTCTCTTTTTGGTCTTCAGGGGTCAGGAACACGACATGGCCACGGATCCAGAGTCTTGAATTCCCTCTGCTCTCTATTCCAGGGGTGTAAGTGGATCTTTGTCTGTGATATTCAATTGTACCTACACAAGGTTATTGACAACTCAATGTGCCCCGGGGATGTCAGCGGGATCTGTATACGGGACATCGCTGTCATCCGAGTTCCACTGATCAGTCTCAGCTGGTTTCCTGAAAGGCAGCGTTAAGCAATGTTCCTCACGTTACTGTTTCGACACACTGAACCTTAGAACTTACCAATAGTTATGACACAGCGTATCCGTCAGCTCATACATATAGCCAAACAGCGTCTCAGGATTCCGGGACCACTCCTTATTGGCAATATGGTGACGCGACGGGCTTTGCTCCTCAGCAATCCTGTCAAGCGCAATAGAATCAATAATGAAACGCTCATAATGGCCGAGGATATCCCATACATCATTGGCTAAGCCATTTATCAGCAATCAATTGCCTATTAGGCTTCAAACAAGACCACTTACGATCTCCTCTAAGCGGCTCCTCCCTCTCCCTGCTGGTAATCTCCCAAACACGTTGCTGTACCTTGGCCTCTAGCTCATCTGCATTTTGAACAAAGTACTCTTTCATAATCTCGCTGCCTAGAAGATCGACCCAACCGTGCTCTTCAGCTGGCTTGAGCCAGTCTTCGACAAGGACGGCGTGGGCGGGGGCAACGACCTCGGCGATCCAGGCTTGGATGGCTGTCCAGCTGTTGAAGCCGAGTAGCAGACAGAGGGCCGGGCGTTTGAGAACCATAGTGGTTGGTTGCAAATGGATGAGGATTGGAGTACAGCTCGGAAAGTTTGACTAGGCAAGTGGCTAACTCAGGAGATAATTTTTGGTGGTGGTAGATATGCTAAAGTCTCTGGTTATGGGAACTGTGTTCTGCCATGGGCACAGAGAAGAGCAAAAAGTTAACGATTTTAAAAATCTACAATGGGGATTATCTTGCCTCTTTCATGAAGAAACGAACTAAGAGGTCCTTAATGACGACACAAAACCGTTTTTACCATGGCACTCATGCTCAAGTTGAGACTGATCGTTTCATGCCTGGAACAATCATGATGTGTCAAGATCGCAGAACAATTCTCAAAACTTGACGCTGTACTGTGCTCGTGAACATGAGATCAACCAGGTATGCCAGAGTCAAACGGGAGCCGGCTTCATATATCTCGAAGGCGAACATCAGCACAGCAGCAATTTGCTATCACCGATCTCATGATGTTTTGTGGACATCTAGATCACAAAATACTGATTATAAAGGTCTCAGTGCATTGTACTGTGTCAATAAGCCCCTGTTCAGCTTCGGGAGTCGTCAGCCAAAACAGAGACGACACTCCAAACAAAGACATTGTTCTAACACCGCCATCACGACATTTCGAGCATCTTCTCATTGAAAATACATCATTGCTCCTCAAGAACATAAACAGCCCCTATGCTGTTTTTGTCCCCTATACACTGCCATACTTTGCCTCTCGAGCGCTCCTCAAAGAGCCAAGGTGAAGTAGACGGGCAGCTGGATCCTTTGCCCGCCCTCAAGAGGAAGCCATGACCTGCCGGGTCCTTAGTCCCAATAAATATGGAAGCAGTTACCCTCGACGAACAACTTGTTTGAGTTTCGAGCTCTGCCCTTTTTTGAGGGTAAATGTCAAACGCTCCCTTCAACAGGCTTCATCATCACCTAAACCAAAAACTAAACAACAGCAGTCATTTATCGTGCACAAGGTCCGTAGAGCTACCTTGACCAGTACCACATCCAGCAGTCCGATCCGATTGATCCTTGAAGATCTTGCTACTAAGTCACCGGCATCGGGACCTCCTAGCAGAGCAGCTCTAGGACTGGCCACTGGGAACGTGGTCAGTCATGTGGAACAACAACTATCGGGGCAAACATCATCCAAAGAGCAGGATAATACTGTGAGGCCACCTGTGTTACCAGGCTCTTGTACAGCAAGCCATTCTTCGGCACCTTGTTGTAAGGTTCACACTCATTGGCAGCCTGGAGAGAGGGAAGGTGAGAGGGAGTTGGAATGGGAATACAAATCCGTCTATCGCCTTGCCAGACATAGTGTGATGACTAATCCCGAAGGAGGGAGACCCAGCAGTGCGGTTGGATCGTCACCTGATTCTAAGGATGTTACAAATACTGCTGCTGCTATGTCATCGCCATCGGCTAAAGGGCAGAAGGAGAAGATGAGGATGCATATGGCACGCTTGGGCCCCTTGGCTCCAGAAGGGTACAAAGACATGCCAAGATGCGATGATGTTCATGATGGTCGTTATGAAAAAGACGACGGCTGTCAGCTGGACGGCGCCGTCACTAGTCAACTGGATTGGCGTGTCAATAAGGATGGCGATAAAGAAGAGGATTCCGGAGAAGCAGGGAACTTTCCTATTCCAAGGCTACTTCTCACCACCAACAGTAGCAAGACTTCTTTCTCCACCTGCCCTTGCTCAAGGAGTTTGCTAGGTCAAGAGGTGCCTTCGGATCTAAGAGGAAGGAGTAGGCAATCATTCATCAAGCACTTCCAGAATGATGCTCAAGTTGACGACAGACGGACTTTGCCCAGCCAGAGGAAACCTCTATCAAGCAATAGACACATTGTGGAACCTCGTCAGGTTGAGAGGGGATACCGTCAGGTGCTCTGTCAGATAGTGGCATGCCGACATGGCGGTGATGCGGGAGAAAGAGAGAAGCCTTGGCGTCTATATCCAGAGCTTAGGAGAAAACCTGGTTGTCGGTCATTACGAGAGTCTACAAGCAGAATGGGACAGTCGAATTGAGAATGGGTTAATGAATATTGATGTCAGGGAGAAGATGAAGTGTAGAGGGGAGGGAGCGCCAAGACGGAAGAATAAATAGATCCCTGGGAGTGATTCCGAGTGATGAGTGCAGACGGATGTGATGGAGGGGGAGGTTTTGGCACCTGTAAAAGCTTCTTGGATGTTCTTGGTACTGAAGAGTTTAGGGTTGAGGGTGCGTAAAGAGGATATCGCGAGATTTTGTTGTGAGTGTCAGGCAAAGCTGTAGAGCATATGCCCGCTTGGGTATGTGCAGAGTCGCCCCAGTGCTGAGAAGGCTATCGTGATTATTAAATTCCGTGTCTTTAAACATGCTGTTTGATGAACTTGCAGGTGGCGGTTATTGTTCAGAGTAAACATTGACTTCCAGTTTCCATCCCACAAGGGCTTGAAGCAGTGATGCTGCTAGCGATAATGTGAAAGCTGCATATTGCATATTAGAACAAAGAGCAGGTCACAGGTGATATAACCACAACTTAAACAGCATAGCCTCTGGAGTGGTGTCTGCAAGAGAAGGTGGGGGGTGGTTGTCACTCGATAGTTTTGCCCTTGCAATGGGCCACAGCAAGACCACACCGAAACCAAAACCTTACCTTTCAATTGATCTGTGCTTGCTGGCAAACTCTGGTAGAGACGAAAGAGTTCATTTCATCAGATCCGGAGAGACCAGACCCCCGGCCTTCCTCTCAGCTGTTCTTGCCGACAGAGGCTGCGTCAAACATTAACAAGGGATCGGCTAACATATTTAAGCTGAAATCAGTGACAATATCATCAGCTCCTATGCTTCTTTCTTTCCCTGTAGATCATGTTTGCTGTGAACCATACTTCAGTTGGAGGTGGCCGACAATAAAGATCCCAACGAGCCAACTTGTTTTGATCCAAAGCTGCCGTTGAATAAAGGGCATGAAACCTGGAGCCTGCGGGTCAAGCTTGCAAGAGATATTCTGCGTCATTGAAACAGTCGCCGTGTCCGGCAGATCTGCACGACTTCCTCTCATCCTGCAGCTTCCACAGTACAACCCCGTCTGCATTCCTCAGCTTTCACAAGGTCCAGAAACTTGCCACAAGCCAGAGATGTTAGAGTGATGCAAACTGCCAGAAATATTTAACGCAAGGGTGAAAGAGGAACTGTACCTGCGGTGTTTGGTGGGCGTGGTCGTCGTTCCCTGGTTGGCCGTCCTCCGGAGTCGAGGCTCCAGACCTTCCTAGAACGGGTTTGAACAAACACTGAATAGGTGTTGCCCTCCCAAATGCCATGGTGCGTATTTACTGACTCGGCCAGATCGACAAACACCTGCAGCGTGGCTTATGCAAAGCCTCGGACAATCTGGAAATGTCTAGTCGCCGACTGGTCAAGCATCCCCTGCTGAAGTTCGCTTTCCGAGACAGCATGCTCAGAGGAAAACCTTTGTTGTTTGATACGCCACTCTTCCACAAAACTTCCCCATTGGGGTATGAATAGCTCCTTGGAACATTCCACTCGACAAGGAGACTTGCTCCCTTACAGATGTCTTTTTGTGCCTTTCCAAGAGATTGTGTCGTAAGTGCGGGTTGCTCGGTCATCAGCAGCTTTGAGACTAGGTCATGCGCGAGAGCAAGGGAGAGCGAGTGCCGCTTCGGGTGAAGCATGCTTTTTCACACAATAAGCATCATCCTCCCTGAATAAATTCTCAATAAATGACGTCTATAAAACACCATCATGGCCCTCGTTATTGATGCAGCCACGATTGGGCGCTCATCCTGTTCAGAGATCTCAAGTACTACCTGAAGGGCAGCCAAATTACAACCGCCTCTCAAATTATCCTTCATCAAAGCTATCATACCAACAAAATCTCTTACCATTGTCCCTAAGTTCTTCTATTGCACATCAAGGAATAACAAGAACGATGAAATACACCTTCCCCTTCACCATCCTGGTGGCGGCCGTCGCCGTCGACGCGGCCGCCGTCGACTCGGTCAACGAGAAGCACTGGTGTGAGATGGCTGGCCAAGCCTGCGATACCGTCAAGCGCGCGGCCGAAGCTTTTGCCAACGCCCTCTCTGAGACCTCCCACCTGGCAGCCCGTGACGACTCCATGAGCGAGACAGCCTTCATTGCCCGCCGCCAACTGGACGAACTGGCCCTTGCCATCGCCGCCAGCCATCACAACCCCGTCGTCTACTACAACGCCCTGCGCTTCGGGTACCATCCCTACGAAGAAGAGGACGCTGGCGAAGACATTAGCAGCAGCAACGACGATGACAAGAAAACTGAGAAGCGCGGCCTCAGGGGCAGCTGGTGCACCCGCTTCCCGGGCCAGCCCTGCTGGAAGCGCGAATGGAACCCTGAGAAGCGCGAGGCTGTCGGCGTCTGGTGCAGCCAGCTGACTGGCCAAGCGTGCTGGGCACATGAGAGAGACCTTGAAGCTGCTGGCGTCGAGAAGCGCGGCTTGAGGGGTAGCTGGTGTACCCGCTTCCCGGGCCAGCCTTGCTGGAAGCGTTCGGATGGTACTGAGACGCTTGACCCTCGTGAGGCTGCCGACCCAAGTGCCCTCCTCCTTCCCACTGCTCAACCCGAGAAGCGCGGTCTGAGAGGTAGCTGGTGTACCCGCTTCCCCGGCCAGCCATGTTGGAAACGTTCCGACGGTACGGAAACCCTTGATCCACGTGAAGCTGCCGACCCTTTTTCTGTTCTTCTACCCTTGGGTCAGCCAGAGAAACGTGGCTTGAAGGGCAGCTGGTGCACACGGTTTCCCGGCCAGCCATGCTGGAAGCGCTCCGACGGCAGCGAGACTCTCGACCCCCGCGAAGCAGCCGATCCAACCGACATTCTGCTCCCGGTCGAAAAACGTGAGGCTTCAACACAATCTCGGTGCACTGGGCAGTCATGCTGGAAGCGCTCCGAGGTCTCCGCCTCCAAAGGCAGTGCCTCCCCGCAATCCTGCACCCGTTTCGTCGGTGAGTCCTGCTGGAAGCGCGATTCTAGCCCCGACGCTCTCTGTCAACACAAGCGGTGCATCTCCGAAGGCGGCGCTTGCTGGCGGGCGAAGCGTGCCGCCGAGGCCGTGATCTCCGCGATCGACGCAGGGAATGCAGCAAACGCTCATCACACCAAGAGGGAGGTTGAGAAACAGTCGTGGTGTAAATTGTTCCCGGGGCAGCCGTGCTGGAAGCGGGCGGCGGAAGTGGAAAGGAGTTGTTATGGCCCGGCGGGGGCGTGCACTAAGGCGACGCGGGATCTGCATGCGATGTATAATGCGGCGAGGAGCATTCTTGAGGCCAATAACTAAGTAAAAAAAGGACAAAAAACGGAGTAAGGGTTGTCGTGGATCGGAAGGGTTGGAAAACTTTCGCTTTTCGATTCAATTCGTTCTTCGCCATCGGGACATATTTTTGAGATTCAGGATGGCAGCTGGAGTCTCCCAAGCAGTATTCGGCTCGTAAAAGTATTACATCAAGTCCTCACTAACTGGGAGGTGAGACAATAATAGGGCTGCCAACCATTTTGTTTCCTTTCTTCAGCCATCAGGACATATCACTGACTTCTTCCCATCATCATATTAGAGGTGATGGGTGTCCATGGCATACTGGCAGAGTTTGATGACAAATCTGTAGCTCGCTTGAGAATCGTAGCGCTACAACAACAATAATAGACGCATTTATTAATTACCTTGGTCCAGTGTGGATGGCGGGATGGGGTTGTCGGTTGGCTGTTCTGATTGTGAATAAAAAACCAAACTGGAGTTACCTGAGAATATGGAACAAAGGTATGCAGAATGACTCCGTAACTGCTAGAACTCGTGGGCTATTGTGCGATTATATTTATCTACCTGTCTATCCTCTATGTGACATTGCCCTTTATGTGCAACCGAGTGAAGCATCGGAGCTCCTGACCAGTGCAGGGCCCATAATATATGGTGTATAGAGAAAATCTTTGTAAATCAAAGCAGAAAAGAGAGAGTAGAGCCGAATCCGTGATACTATCACGGCTATCAGCATGGAGACCGACCAGCCGTCTCCATTGCCACCCTTCGCGGCCCCCCCCCTCCCCCCTTTCCCCAACCCCTCACATCAACAAGCGCCAAGCACCCAACAACAGTGCCGCGAAACCAGTACAAACCCCTATCAACCACTGCAATGTTTGAAACTTAACCTGCTCCAACTGCTGCCTTAGCGCAGCCGCCTCCTGCTCAATTTTGGTCTCAGTTTCCTTAATCTTGAGCTCTTGAGAGACAGCCTCCTCGCGGATGCGGCCTTTCTCCAAGTTAAGGTCGAGCCGCACGCTCGCCTGCGTGCGCCCGATCTCGTCGCGCAGCCGGCTGCTCAGCTTGGCAATGTCGTTGGTGAGTTTCTCGTGTGTTGCACGTGTGGTGTTGTGCTCTGTGCTGTCGGCGGACAGGAGCTCGCTGCGTAGTTTGGCGAAGTCGACTTTTTGTGTGTAGGTGATTTTGGCCGCTTCTTCGCGGGGGACCATGGTGCGGGTGAGGTTTTGGATGCTGTTTTGTGGGGAGGGAGCTGGTTAGGGGTGATTACACTGCCTGGCTTCGTGGGTTGCGCTCAGGTGGCAGAAGAGGTGGGGGGGGAACTTGGCTTATAAGGGAGGTCGCAGGGCAAGGGGAGACTTAGAGGGGCTCACCTCTCCTCGATGACGTCGTTTAATACCCTCATTAGGGCCACAGCTTGCTCCTCGGTAAAGCCCTCAGCTTGTAGGCGCTGCACAAAGCGGAGGGTATCGAAGTGGTGGTCTCGTTGGCGAGCTGCCGAAACGTGGAACGAGCGCCGAAGCTCAGGGGAGGGGGTGATACTGCTCAAGCGCCTGACTGGAGGTCGAGCACTGCTTGCATCATGCTGCAAGGGCCCAAGAAAAATTTGCCTTTTTGGCGCACTCTGGCATGCCGTATGAAGAGACCTGCTCGTCGAAGAGGCATGCCGTCCGCATTCCCTAGCAGCTTGGGCAGTCTGTCTTGCCTGATGAAATACCACCGCCGACGCTCTCGGCAGGGTCCCAGTGGTCGACAATGGGCTCGTCCAGCTCAGGCGAGGCAGCAGGAAGCGTGGAATAGACTGTGCGGCACTCATATTCGCTGCAGTGACCCAAACGAAGGACGGACAGAGATGTGTCATGTAAGAGGGAAATCCAGCGACCTTAGGGAAACGGCGGTCCTTGACCCGATGTTGTGACCTCATCCGTTCCGAGCTGTCATTACACAAGCCTCGTATCTTATCACACTGCCACATACAAGCCACAGACCCACCGCTCAGGCAGGACCCTACAAAACCATCAAAAATTTTCCCGCTTTTTCCTCTCACTCTTTTCTCTTTTCCTTTTCCATGAACAACGCTAATTCCAACATTCTAATTTGTTCCGTGCGGTTTGAGAGGTTCCCTTCTGTTTCGACAGTTGTGTAGGACCCAGGACCAAAATCGCAGGGTACAGAATGGAGAGCGACGAAGCTTTTTCGACGCTCAATCTTGGGTGCGGTTCTCCCCTTTTTCTCGATGGGGAGGGTCGCAATGATTGAACGTACATTTCTGCATCGTACTCGGGGGTTTTTGTATTAAGTAGTAATATGCATCAAGAGCATTGTGCTTATGACATTGTCTGCTCCGGGAGTGTGTGCTTGTAGGGTCTCGAGGTGCCATTGCAGGCACGATTACTTTATTGGGGCTGCCTTCTGATGATCCAAGAGTTGCCGTTCAAGGAGTGGATTCAAAGTGATCTTTGCGGAAAAGGGAAGAGAGTTCCTGCGAATGTAAATATATAATGAGAAGTTTATGTCCTATACGGTTTCTGGTGTCATATGTTGTCAACGTGAAGCAGAGTCTAGAATAGAAACAGCAAGCAAGCAACGGATGGTTAATTACAACCCAAACCATGATATATATAGGTACTCTCTACATCCGCTCAAGCATTATCTAAACAGTGAAACCCAAACGCCTATTTCTTCCCTTTGGCCTTTTCCTTCTTGTCATTCGCCTTGTTCTGCTCCTTCACCTTTTCTTTCGCACCCTCCTTTGCCTTCTCCGTAGTCTTCTCCGCCTTAGCCTTAGGCTTCTCCTCCTTGGCCTTCTCGGCCTTCTTTTCTTCGGCCTTCTTTTCCTCTGTCTTCTTTTCTTCGGTCTTCTTCTGCTCAGTCGCGGCCTTCTTCGTCTCACCGTTGGCACCTTCCTTCGAGGCCTCACCATCCTTATCGTCCTTCTTGCCCTGAGGCTTCTTCAGTGCGCGAGGATCCAAACCACGTCTCCTCATGGCATTACGCTTAGCACGCTCCATGTACACCTTATCCTCCTCATCGTCCCAGCCGCCAAAGTCATCCTCCTTCTTCTGCTCCTCGGCGCCAATCGGTGTCTTGTCGATAATCTCCTCCTCACCCGTGGCATTCGCAGGCTTGGGCTGATCCTTCTTGCCGTTGGCGAGGACAGCGTTAGGAGGAGTCGGGCCAATTTTCTTGAACTTGGCCACGAAGAACCCGTCGACGTTGTACAGGTGCGGGTAAAACCTGCGCGTCAACTTAAGACTGGGGTGGAAGGTCTTGCCCATGTAACTGGTGAAGCCTTCCTTACCGAAGGGAAGACCGGTCTAGGAGAGAGGATTAGCGCGCTAGGCTATTTGAAAGATTGATTAATTCCGAACTTACCTCAACCAACTTGACGTTGGGGCGCCGGCTCAGGGCATAGTTGACTACCTCTTCGCTAAGAAATCGTTAGCAACTAGTCATACATTTCCAAGGTCATTTGACTTACTTCTCCTCCACGCAAACGCTACATGTCGAGTAGACAATGTAGCCACCAGTCTTGCTGGCATGGTTGCACGAGTCAATCGCAGCAAGCAGAAGCTGCTTCTGAGTATGAGGCAGTTGCATGAAATCCTTCGCATCCCTGTTCGTCTTGACCGAAGGATCCTTGCAGATAACGCCAGTACCAGAGCACGGAGCGTCCAACAGGACTCGGTCGAAACCACCGATGACTCGAGGAAACTCGCGGGCGTCATAGTTGCAAACAATCGTATTCTGTATCATTGTTAGTCAGGGGCTATCAAAGAGAAGACAAGAGGTTGACAAACCCGAACACCGAGACGGTGGATGTTACCAATCAAACCCTTAGCACGAGACTTGCTAGGATCGTTGGCGAAGATCACACCAGTGTTCTTCATCAGCGCTGCCATGTGAGTCGTTTTACCACCGGGAGCGGCAGCCATCTGGGATGATGTTAGTCTCGAACTAAATCGATTCAGACAGAATAATATGGTCCCGCATACATCAAGACAGCGCTCGTTTTCCTGGGGGCACAGGGCCATGACGGGAAGGAAAGAGGAGGCAGCCTGGAGGATGTAATGGCCAGCCAGGTACTCGGGAGTTGCACCCAATGGGACCCTGTAAGAATGGTCAGTTAGTTCATCCACATACCCACAATCGACTCTTTAGACGTACTTCGAGTCAAATACCTGCAGTCCAACCTTGGACCACTTCCCAACAGGCTCCAGAGTAACACCGCGGTTAACTCGTGAAGTTAGCATGATTCGAACGGGGGTGAGCTTGCGGGTTACTCACTCAACGCCTGGGCGAGATCGCGGCGATGTGTGCGAAGGGTGTTGGTACGGATAACGACAGGACGGGGCGTCTGGCCTAGGCGTTAGCTTGGTCTACGATACGCTGATAACAACACTAAAACACTCACCTCGTTGGCCTCGAAGAAAGCGAACGCCTCCCTAGGAGGGAAGAGGTTCCTGGATGAAGTCAGCAGGCTGCCTTGAGCAAGAAACCTCATCTCAGGGCTTAACGCACAGGAGCTTCTCGGCCAGATATTCGTTGTAGCCGTAGTCTGCGAATACCACGTCAGCAAATTCGACCCGTGAGTAAGCTGAGTGCCAGGAGAGCATACAAGCACAGATATCCTTCAATAGCTGGTTGGTATACTCCGCCCTACTCCGGCCCTCCTCAGCCAGATTCTGGAAGTCCTCAAGAACACGAATTGTATCCGTGATTCTGGTCCGAAGCATCTGAAGATCGGGGGCAAGCAGGCCATTCGTCTTAGCAGCGAGCTCGTCCTCCTCATTCCCTTCCAAAATCTTAGGTTTGTCTCCATCAATGTTGGTTTGAAGGGCCTGATTCCGGATTTCCTCTTCATTCTCCTCCGCTTCCCTGGCCAGCTGCTCGTCCAGCTTCCTCGAGAGACCCTCGATGTTGGCAGCTGTCAACTTCTGCTCAATTTCGTCCTCGTCCTCATCTTCATCGTCAGAGAAGACGAACTTAGTCTTCTTGCCGGGCCCTTCGTCCTGCTCCGAGTCGTAGACAGAATCGTCGTCGGAGGCCATAAAATCAGAACCGAGCTTCGGTTCGCTCGTATCGGATCCGCTGATGCTAACATCGTCGAGGTCGGAGCCGCCAAACTCGTCATCCATTTCCACGTCAGATTCAGGCTCAGACTCAGGAAGCTTCTTGGGCTTCGGCTTAGAAGCCTTCTCGCCATTGCTTGGTGCGCCGGGTGCCTTCTTGGTACCATTTGTTTGCTTTGTCGTCGCCTTATGTGGTTTCGTTTCCTTCTCCTTCGTCGATGTACGACGCTTTTTCGCTGAAGGGGCCTCAGCCGGCGTAGTGTCCTCGACAGGAAGGCCCTTTTTCCTCTTCAATTTCAAGAAGTGCTCCTCGGGTAAGGGCTCGGGAGGGCCCTGGTGCTTTAAGCGACGCTTGGTACCCATTTTTATGACGTCTATCACAAATGGTTTGCCGTTTGTTGCTGTTCGTTGGGATGCAGCCCGCGACCACTGCTCGCTTTGCGGCGGGACGCAGTCCTCCCGCAGAACAATTTTCCATTCAAAATCTTTATCGATAAGCCATCACGCATGGGAGTCTCGAAGGCTCAACAGCATCTTTGATTGGTCATAGTTGACCCCACTCAGCGCTATTCCCAAATTAGGACCCCTGGCGCGCCTCAGGCTGCGGGAAAGCTGGCTGACAACGAACCAAAGCACGGCGCAGCGCCTGCCAGCCAAGGGTTGTCTCTTGGACAATTAGATCGCTGTCCTGTCTGCAAGCCAGAAGCCAGCAGCCAGCTCCTGCCACACCACAACAAAGCCGGGCCTGTGTCCTCGATTTTTTGCCAATCTTGTGCGCTTAAGGCAGAGCCTTTTCACTTCTCGCGACTAATCAGCCTGCCTGCTGTCACTTTTGCCGAACATTCACATCGATTGACCCCCTGCGACAGCGGAATCTCGCGACAACTCGTTCAGTCCTGTCGTTAGGCTCCGCCCTCGTTTCGCTCTAGGTCTCCAGGTCCCGCTGTGCCGGCGGTCGCTCCACCGCATTTCCACCCCCTTTCGCTGCGAACGTCACTCTCGGAGCTGCCTACTTTCCCTCCGCCACACATCACCAACTTTGGACAAGTTGGCTGCTTCATCTTCCTAATCCTCGCGCAGCCGAGCGCATCACGACCACCATGGCGCCGGCTTTGCCCATCAAATTTCAGGAGCTGCTACAGCTCAGCAGCTTGGGCGTCAACCCGTCCTCCATCACCTTCAACACCTGCGTATGCCTCACCAAGCCCCAAGCCCCAATGAAGCCTTCCCTCCCATACGGCGACTTGCTCAGCTGCCTGCCCGTATCCTCGCTGACACTCTGCCCGTATAGACACTAGAATCAGACTCTTTCATTTGCATCCGCGACAAGAAGGATGAGGTCTCCCAGCCCGAGGTTCTCATCGTTGACCTGAAAAACAGCAATAATGTCATCCGACGCCCCATCAAGGCCGACAGCGCCATCATGCACTGGTCGCGCCAGGTTATTGCCTTGAGGGCACAGGCGCGGACACTGCAGATCTTCGATCTCGAGGCGAAGCAGAAGCTCAAGTCCACGACTATGAGCGAAGACGTCGTGTTCTGGAAGTGGGTCAGCGAGACGACGCTGGGCCTGGTCACGGAGCACGGCATCTATCACTGGGATGTCTTCGACCCTACTCAGGCGGCACCTGTCAAGGTGTTCGACCGCAATGCCAACCTTCAGGTATGTCGTGGTGACTGTGTTGTGGCTGCGGGGCCCCCCTGTTTGCTAACCCCGCCGTAGAATAACCAGATCATCAACTACCGCGTTAGTGCCGACGGCAAGTGGATGGTTGTGGTTGGCATTTCCCAGCAGCAAGGCCGCGTTGTCGGTGCCCTGCAGCTGTACTCGAAGGACCGCGGTATTAGCCAAGCCATCGAGGGCCATGCCGCTGCATTCGGCACCATCCGGTTAGACGGCGCCCCGGAGGATACGAAGCTCTTCTCCTTCGCTGTCCGCACCGCCGTGGGTGCTAAGCTGCACATCGTCGAGGTTGATCACCCCGAAACGAACCCCGTCTTCCCCAAGAAGGCTGTTGATATCTTCTTCCCGCCCGAAGCTAGCAACGATTTCCCGGTTGCCCTTCAGATTTCGCAAAAGTACGGTATTATATATCTTATTACGAAATATGGCTTCATCCACCTCTACGATCTGGAGACGGGGACTTGCATCTTTATGAACCGCATTTCGGGAGAGACCATCTTCACTGCCTGCGGCGATAAGGAATCCAAGGGCGTCCTGGGCATCAACCGGAAGGGTCAGGTGCTCTTTGTTAGTGCCGACGAGAACACGATCGTTCCTTACGTCCTCGAGAGCCATGGTACCGAGCTGGCGCTCAAGTTGGCCTCTCGTGCTGGCTTGCCCGGCGCCGATAATCTCTACCAGCAGCGCTTCGAGCAGCTCTTCGCCAATGGCAATTACCATGAAGCTGCCAAGGTCGCCGCCAACTCGCCTAGGGGTTTCCTCCGGACTCCCCAGACCATCGAGAGGTTCAAGCGCCTGCCCCAGCAGCCTGGCCAGATGTCCTTCATCCTTCAGTACTTTGGCATGCTGCTCGATAAGGGCTCCCTTAACCAGCATGAGACCATCGAGTTGGCGCAGCCGGTGCTGGCTCAGAACCGCAAGCAGCTGCTGCAGAAGTGGCTCACGGAGAACAAGCTCGAGTGCTCCGAGCAGCTCGGTGATATGGTCCGTCCTCACGACATGACCATGGCCCTGGCTATCTACCTCAAGGCCAATGTCCCGCACAAGGTCGTCGCTGGCTTTGCCGAGACTGGTCAGTTCGAGAAAATCCTGCCCTACTGCGCTAAGACTGGCTACCAGCCCGACTTCGTCCAGCTGCTGCACCATATGGTTCGCATCAACCCGGAGAAGGGCGCCGAGTTTGCCACGACTCTGGCGAACCAAGAGGGCGGTCCGTTGGTCGATCTCGAGCGCGTTGTCGACATCTTCCAGTCCCAGGGCATGATCCAGCAAGCCACGGCATTCCTGCTCGATGCCCTCAAGGACAACCGGCCGGAGCACGGTCACCTCCAGACCCGTCTCCTCGAGATGAACCTCATCAATGCTCCCCAGGTGGCTGATGCGATTCTCGGCAACGACATGTTCTCGCACTTCGACAAGGCCCGCATTGCCAGCCTCTGCGAGCAAGCCGGTCTGCTGCAGAGGGCCCTTGACCTGTATGAGGATCCTGCTGCTATCAAGCGTGTTATTGTCAACATCCCCGGCTCGGCCAACTTCAGCCCCGACTGGCTTGTTGAATACTTCGGTCGTCTCTCGGTTGAACAGTCTGTCGACTGCCTCGATGCCATGATGAAACACAACATTCGCCAAAACCTTCAGTCTGTCGTTCAGATTGCGACCAAATACGCCGAGCTTCTTGGTCCCCAGCGCCTGATCGACCTCTTCGAGAAGTACAAGACCGCCGAGGGCTTGTACTATTTCCTAGCCAGCATTGTCAACGTCAGCGAGGACCCAGAGGTTGTCTTCAAGTACATCGAGGCTGCCACCAAGTTGGGCCAGATCCGCGAGGTCGAGCGCATCTGCCGCGACAACAACGTGTACAACCCCGAGAAGGTCAAGAACTTCCTCAAAGAGGCTAAGCTCCCTGAGATGCTTCCCCTTATGGTTGTCTGCGATCGCTTCAACTTTGTGCACGACTTGGTGCTCTACCTGTATCAGCATCAGCAGTTCAAGTCGATCGAGATCTATGTCCAGCAGGTCAATCCTTCGAGGACTCCTGGTGTCATTGGTGGTCTGCTCGATGTCGACTGTGATGAGTCTATTATCAAAAACCTCCTGTCTACTGTCAATCCTCTGTCGATTCCTATCGATGACCTTGTTCGCGAGGTCGAGACTCGTAACCGCCTGAAGCTTCTGCTTCCCTTCCTCGAGGCCCAGGTCGCTTCGGGCAACCAGCAGCAGGCCATCTACAACGCCCTTGCCAAGATCTACATCGACTCCAACAACAACCCGGAGAGGTTCCTCAAGGAGAACGACCTGTACGACACTCTTGTTGTCGGCAAGTATTGCGAGAAGCGCGATCCAAACCTGGCCTACATCGCCTACCGCAAGGGCCAGAATGACCTTGAGCTTGTGAATGTTACCAACGAGAATTCTATGTACAAGGCCCAGGCACGGTACCTGCTCGAGCGTGCTGACAGGGAGCTGTGGATGTTCGTTCTTAGCGAGAACAACATCCACCGCCGTTCCGTGGTCGACCAGGTCATTTCCACTGCGGTACCCGAGTCCACGGATCCTGCCAAGGTCTCCGAGGCTGTTGCCTGCTTCCTGAATGCCGACCTGCCTGCTGAGCTCATTGAGCTCCTTGAGAAGATTGTCCTGGAGCCGTCCCCCTTCAGTGACAACCAGAACCTGCAGAACCTCCTCATCTTCACTGCAGCCAAGGCGGACAAGGCCCGTGTTATGGACTACATCCACCGTCTTGACAACTTCTCTGCCGACGAGATCGCCAACGTATGCATTGAGGTCGGTTTGTTCGAGGAGGCCTTCGAGGTCTATAAGAAGATCGACAATAAGGAGGCTGCGGTCAACGTCCTCATCGAGCACGTTGTTAGCATTGATCGTGCCCAGGCTTACGCTGAGGAGGTCGACATCCCTCAGGTTTGGAGCCGGGTTGCCAAGGCTCAGCTCGATGGCCTACGCGTCAGCGACTCGATCGATTCGTACATCAAGGCCGAAGACCCCAGGAACTATGCCGAAGTGATTGAGATCGCCGTTGCCGCTGGCAAGAACGAAGAGCTCGTCAAGTACTTGCGGATGGCCCGCAAGACCCTTCGCGAGCCTGTCATCGACACTGCCCTTGCTTTCTGCTATGCTCGTCTTGACCAGCTCGCAGAGCTCGCAGACTTCCTGCGGGCCACGAACGTGGCTAACGTTGAGGAGTCTGGTGACAAGGCTTATGCTGAGGGTCTCTTTGAGGCTGCCAAGATCTTCTACACCAGCATCTCCAACTGGGCCAAGCTCGCAACCACTTTGGTGCACCTCTCCGATTATCAAGCCGCCGTGGATGCTGCCCGCAAGGCCAATAACATCAAGGTCTGGAAGGAGGTTCACGAGGCTTGCGTCGAGAAGAAGGAGTTTCGCCTCGCTCAGATCTGTGGTCTCAACCTCATTGTCGATGCCGAGCAGCTGCAGGCTCTCGTCAAGCAATATGAACGCAACGGCTACTTTGACGAGCTCATCAACCTGCTCGAGCAGGGTCTTGGTCTGGAGCGTGCCCACATGGGCATGTTCACTGAGCTCGGCATTGCGCTGTCCAAGTACCACCCCGAGCGCCTGATGGAGCACCTGAAGCTATTCTGGAGCAGGATGAACCTGCCCAAGATGATCCGCGCCTGCGAGGAAGCCCACCTGTGGCCTGAGCTCGTCTTCTGCTACTACCATTATGACGAGTTTGACAACGCTGCTCTGGCGGTTATGGAACGCCCCGAGAACTCGTGGGAACACCAGCAGTTCAAGGAGATCATCGTCAAGGTGGCCAACCTGGAAATCTACTACAAGGCCATCAATTTCTACCTCGAGCAGCATCCCACCCTGCTCACCGATCTGCTGCAGGTCCTGACTCCCAGGATCGACGTCAACCGTGTTGTTCGCATGTTCCAGAAGTCGGACAACCTCCCTCTCATCAAGCCGTTCCTGCTTAGCGTGCAGTCCCAGAACAAGCGCACGGTCAACGACGCCATCAACGACTTGCTTATCGAGGAGGAAGACTACAAGACCCTCCGCGACTCGGTCGAGAACTACGACAACTACGATGCCGTCGAGCTGGCCAGCCGCCTGGAGAAGCACGACCTCATCTTCTTCCGCCAGATTGCGGCCAGCATCTACCGCAAAAACAAGCGCTGGGAAAAGTCTATCAACCTGTCCAAGCAGGACAAGCTGTGGAAGGATGCCATCGAGACCGCTGCTATTTCGGGCAAGCCCGAAGTTGTCGAGGAATTACTGAGATACGTAAGTTTTCACGCTACCTTAGCTCTAACACCTAACTCATGCTAACTGTTCCCCGCAGTTTGTTGACATCGGCAACCGCGAGTGTTACGTGGGCATGCTGTACGCTTGCTACGACCTGATCCGCCCAGACATCGTGCTGGAGCTGTCGTGGCGCAACGGCCTGCACGACTTCACCATGCCTTACATGATCAACCTGTTGTGCCAGCAGACCAAGGAGCTGGCGGCCCTCAAGGCCGACAACGAGGCACGCAAGGCCAAGGAGCAGGAGAAGGAGAAGGTTGAGGACAGCACGCCCATTCTCGGCATGAACCGCCTGATGATCACGGCTGGTCCCTCCTCCGCCCCGGCCCCTACCTCCCCGTATGTGCAGCCTAATGGGTTTGCACCGCAGCCTACTGGGTTCGGTGGCTTCTAAGGAGTAACTGGTGGTAATTGATTGGTCTCTCTTTGCGGTGTTGTTAGGGTGGCAGGTGTCATAAGACGGAATGAGTGGGACCAGGACCTTTGGTTGGTGTAGCACTTTGATGATTGACGGGGAGGAGGATCACAATTTCGTCTGATAACCACCTCTCTTGCTATGTGCTACCTAATTATAGTAGTGGCTTTTGATACATTTGTATGATAACCATATCCGGTTGGTTCTCTGATGGAATTTGACGTGTCTTTTCTGTCGGGAGCTGATCCGTACAATGTCTCTACTCCTTGCTGCCATCGATGGTGTGTTGAAGGGACAAAAGACCCGGCCATCTTGATATCCCAAAGTAACATGGATGCCCTTGATTCTTTTCGACACGTACGAGGCGAAGGCCGTTGGCTTTGATTGCGGCCTATCTCAGGGCCATGGCTGATCATGAGCATCCCCGTCTACAATGGCGATATTGGTTCATCTTCCAGATGGCAAGCAGTACGAGTTCAGGTATAATAGTGAAGAGCAACAACTTGGGGCTGCCTATTAACATCAGGACTTTATATTTGAGAGGCATTCCATGGGCGACGACACTACCACTCTACAGTCCGGACCTGTCACGACAAACGCCTGCCATGACAAGCGCCGCAAGGGAACTACATGGTTGTCACAGAGTTTGAGGGATTGGTAAGCCGGCATGGGCGCCGGTCGGTCTCTAAGGCCGTGGTCTCGACTGAAATCTCAGATCGAGCCTGATTGACGAGCATGAGCTCATCAAGGTGGAAGCACCATTTAGATACATGTGTTCCGAGAAAGTCCCAAACGTCCCACATTTTCCATGAACCGGCGAAACAAATCCCTCCCAGAGAACTCCCATGCTTGTCCAGCCCGAGAACTCCTCCGCTCCCTGTAATGCCCGTGCTTTTTTTGTTCATCACCAACATCCCCGTTCACCAATCCGGTTTACTAATTTACCGGACGATGCCATCGAAGCGCTGCTTGAACCAGCGGATGGTCTCCTCGCGGGTGATGCGGTGGCTGGCACCGATCCTGCTCTTGCAGCGGCGGCGCTTGGCGACGCGCTCACCGGGGCGGGTCATGCAGCAGTAGAAGTCCATGCCGTAGATACCGATGCTGGGATCGTACTTGATGCCGAGATCGATGTGTTCGGAGATACCGAAGCCGAAGTTGCCAGTCTCGGAGAAGTTGCGGCGGCGGAGCTCATATTCCTTGACCTTCAGGCCACGCTCCAGAATCTCCTCGGCCTTGGGGCCGCGGACAGTGACGTGGACAGCAATCTTTTCGTTACGGCGGATACCGAACTGACGGACGGTGTAACGAGCCTTGCCTGGAGTGAAGGGTTAATATTACGGCCTTGAACGATCTGGTCTCAACCGCCAAAACGTACTGTAGACGGGGGTTTGACCGCTCAGCTGCTCCAACACCTTGGCGGCGCGGGTCAGCCTGTCACCAGACTCGCCGACGGAGATGTTCAGGACGAGCTTCTGGATGCGGAGCTCCCGCATCGGGTTCTGGGCCTTCTCGGACGACTTAACATTATGTTAGTTAGAGTTTATTACGTTTTGCGCAATCGATTCGGGCATACCATGGCGGCGGTGTTGTCGAAATTCCGGCACTGGGCGAATTGTCGATGGACCAGAAATTTGGGAGAAGCGATGCCGATTTTCACGCTGGATTTTTGGCAATTGTGCGTTGTGGGGCCCCGTCGGAGTGCCAAGCAGGGACTTTGGTGGGGGACAAGCCGCATGTGGCGCTAACCTGAAAGTTGTGGCGGAACGTGCTTGGTACGGTGGGGCACGCGTGGCTTCTCTTCGAGGCGGGAGCTTCAGCCTCGCGTCAAATTTCCAAAAGTCAGCTCCAGCCTGCCTTCCACGCCTCTAGTACCAGATTTCTTGGCCAACCAGCGCGCGCGACTCTACAGACCTCCACCAAGAGAGTAGCAGAGAGCTCGCAACAGACGAAGTGAAAACCCTTCGTCTTCGTTTCTCACCGACATCTTCTTGTAACTCTTAAGGAGCTACTCTGTAGCCAAAGTCGCCAAGATGTCGTCGTCCCAGAACAGGCAGGGCAAGATGGTAAGCCGCTCTTCTCTGACCGACTCGCTTTACAAGGCAGCATTTGTTGACATCAGAGCACTGACAAGACTTGCTATTCCTAGGCCGGTTACGTACGTATCGCCACGCATTTGAATCTCAAAGTCTCGCTGGAAGAGGAGGGTTTCTAACGTTTTCTTAGATCAATTGGCGCATGCGCGTCACTCTGAATGACGGGCGCCAGATGACCGGCCAGGTGGGTACCCTTTCGTCTTCTCTCCATCGCAACCATTGCTAACCATAAAATCAGATGCTCGCCTTTGACAAGCACATGAACCTCGTCCTCGCAGATACCGAAGAGTTCCGCAAGACCAAACGCATGCAAGCCAAGCCTAACTCGTCGACTACTCAGACCCTCATCCAGGAAGAGAAGCGTACTCTTGGTTTGACGATCGTTCGCGGCGCAAACATCATCGCGCTTTCTGTCGAGTCTCCCCCTCCTGCCGACCCGAGTGCCCGTCTCGGCAAAACCACAGGTGCCGGGATCGCCTCGACCCTGACCGCTGGTCCTGGCGTTGCGCGCCCTGCTGGTCGTGGTGCGGCCGCCCCTATCTCGTTGGCTGGTCCGGCCCCCGGTGTTGGTGGTGCAGTTCCTCCCCCTCCGTTCCCAGGCTTTCCTGCTGCTGCTCCGCCTGGCTTCCCTGGCCGGGGTGGCCGTAAGTGTTCCTCCGTCTGCGCCTTCAATGATCGTTCCAGTCGCTGACCTTGTCAACAGCTGCCCCGCCCGGTTTTCCGGCCGCTCCTTTCCCTCCGCCGGCTGGCTTTCCCGGCGCGCCTGGGTTCCCACCTGGTTTCCCTCCTGGTGGTGCGCCGCCGCCGGCCGGCTTCAACCCTCCGCCCCGGCGCTAAATGTCATGCTGATTGCTTTATGATATGGAACATGTGGGCTGGAGATACTGAGATTATCTCATGATCAGCTTTACTCTGCCCAGAAATAGTGAATAATCCTGTTGGTGATTTTCACCACACATAATGGAGAATGGATGGGTCTGCCGGCGTTTGGGGGTTAACGGGAACTGTGGTCACGGCAAATTGCGGCCTGTATTCTAACCATACTCGTAGTTCTGAGGGCTCACTGAATGGAGTGAGTGAAAGACGGACTTCATGCCATCCACTTTCAGTTCTGTCTTGTAGCGTCCATATCTCTGGGTTCATTTGTATACTTCCTCTGTCCTATCCATTTTTGGACCAGTAGATGCGGCTCGCAGATAATCAAGCACACGTATTGCAAGGTATTTGACGGTTTCTTGTGGCATTGAATCCCGGATACTGCTTCCAACGGTCAGCAGCACTCTTATGGGATGCTAAATGGATCACTGCCCAGAATGGAGGAACTCTTCCCTCCACCTTGCTGACATTCCCCTCAACTTTGTTGGTTGCCAACAGGGAGTTAAAGGTACTTTGTGTTTAGCTCGCGCTTGAGGGAGGCGCATCAAATACACGAAGGGAGCATGTTGCTTGACATAGTTGGAACACATGGGGAGAAAGAACTATCCGTATGCAGAATCGCATGCTTACACAACAGAGGGACTTGTTTACCTCTGCTAACTCGTTTGTGTGACACAGCAGCTGCTGGTTGCAATGTCAAGCAATCTGTTGAGAAGCCGAAGCAACTATCTGGAGATGACTAGACACATCCTCACAAACATCTCCATCTTAGTTAACCATATCGCGTCAGTCTTAGACAAGTGAAGACAATCGAAACAGAAAATTGCGGGGCATTCCATCAAAATTCAAACAGCCAAATCCCATCTAGGAAGCTCTGCAAATCTCGTTTGTGGATAAAAATCGCCATCCCATCTTCTCAGATAGCCCATGTGCCAGGTGGACGTGTTTGCCCCAACTTTGCCCTCGCGCTGATATCCAACAACGGCAGAATGGCAGAACACTGCGAACCTCATTGGACTGAGATCTTGATCGGAGTGACGTTGTCAAAAGACCGCGAGCCACTGCAGGGGGTCTTGGGGTCCGTGCAGGACGGATGGACCCTTGCCCGCTGCGCTGCGTGCGTTCGGAGAGTCCCCAAATTTCTGTGCCCAGCCTGTCAACAGCACTCCGATATCCATAATCTCAAAAGTTCAGCATTGCCCACGACAAACCGTCCACGCCGCCTAACCCAACCAAACCCCTCCCAAGTACTAGGAAACTACCGTCAAAATGGCTGCTTTTATTAAGGCGGTTAACGCGAAGATCCGATCGAACCCTGTGTCGAACTATATCTGCTCGACACGTAAGTTTTTTTTGCCCTTTTACAGCCTGCAGCTATACCTCTGGTCCCTCCAGCTACACCGGCCGGTCATCGGACAACCCCCTACACTTGAGATGGCGAGTGTTATATCGTCACAACGTCGCACGCACATTGCTATGGAGGTTTTTTGCAGGCTAGGCCTCATGGATCATAGCACACTTTGCACGAAGCTCATCCTGCCAGATATGCCTGCTGGAGCTGTCATTGCTCCCCGCGGGGCATATCTGCGATTGCGCATCACATTTGGATATAAGAGTCCACATCTTACCTATGGCCCTGGCTAACTGATGTGTTCACAACAGACTTCTGGGGTCCCGTCTCCAACTTCGGCATTCCCTTCGCCGCGGTCATGGACACACAGAAAAGTCCTGAGCTGTACGTTGTTTCGACCCCTCTTCACCGCCCCCCCCCCCACCAGGAGCACTGAGTTGGGCAGCTGCGATGCGGTGCTGGATGGCTTGGCCTGGCCGTGGCAGTCTGAGTTGATTTGAGGCTCTATGGAACAGAAGGACAGACATGACATAGCATGACGTCGCCAAGCTATACACGGCCACTGCAGCTCCCAGCTGTGTCTATCTGTGTTGCTCCCTGCTTCTCGGCTTACCCACTAACACAACACGCCAATACTAGGATCTCGGGCCCAATGACCTTCGCCCTTTGCGTGTACTCAGCGACCTTCATGCGGTACGCGCTGGCTGTCACGCCGCCCAATTACCTCCTCTTCGCGTGCCACTTCGTAAACGAGTGCGCCCAGCTCACCCAGGGCTACCGCTACCTCAACTGGCATCACTGGGGTGGGAAGGAGAAGGCTGGATTCGTGGATACTCCCAAGCCGAAGGAGGAGCAGAAATAAGGTTGCTCGGGAAAGAGCGCTTATAAAGTTGGTTGGGTTCATTTGTGGGGAGAAGATGGTGGTATGGAGGAAGTAATGTGTGATTATGTGGCGGTTTGTCGAGAAGGCCTGGGTAGATGTTTAACCCGCGCTTTTCGCTCACCGTCGTTCAGTCACTCCGGGCGGTTGGGGGCTGCTTGTTCGCAGGTCTATTCGCTCGTGCCCGAGATCTCCAGACGACCTTGAGACATGGGCGTGTTTCTGCATGGGTTGTGGAGAGCCCCATTGTGTGTGTTACAACCATCCGTCGTACACTTAGGCATGAGCGCGCATCGGATCGCAGGGAAGAGAAGGGGGAGGGCAGACCGGTGTGGACTGGAGAGAGAAAGAGAGGCTGTTGATAGACAGGGTTTCACTCCTGGGTCTTACTTGCTCTTCGTATTTTGTGTGTTGGGCATTTAGACGGGGCGAGAGAGATATCACATGGATTGTTTCTTCCTGCAAGCTTCTCTTTAACCATCTTAAGGGGTTTTTCAAGCTGAGAATTCGGTACTTATAACATTAGTTTTGAGGAGGGGGAATACAGGCAACGGTTTAATGACATTCGAGAACATTTCCTTTTGTTGTCCTTCACTTTTTGTGGCACATGTCCTCAAGAACTACTTACCCATTTTTGCTTGCTTGCTGCTCAACAGCATTCTTCATGCGAGGTTGGAAGTCCAACTGCAAAGGACGCAGAAGTTTGGCAACCATATCTCAGAGCGGGTCCTACACCAAGGATTGTTTCTTTCTTATCGCGTAGTGTCAGACAAAAGGTACATGATACGGAGTAGCGTCGGCCTAAAACCCAACTTCCTGCATATTCTGTATGCAGAGACGAGACGCAAGAGACATGACCGTCTTGGCGGCCATTCACTTCTCATCATGGTGAAGGAGTTGGACCGGGACGAGGACAGCGGCATCCGGCAGAAAAGATAAACTGCTAAGGACGAACGGAGTTAGATAAGCCTACCTTACCGACGTTGCGTCTCAACCTCGACGGAAGTGTTACCAAGGAGGTGACATTATGTCTGGGAAAGGGCGGTTGTAGTGCTGTGTCAGCTCAACAAAAAGATAGGAATGATTCTAGAGCTGATCACACAGATGATGCCACCGTGGAGCACGAGGAAGGCTGCAGCACGCTTTTTTTTTCTTCCCCTGGCAGCAAAAACTTTTCGGCTGACCTAATTCGGCATTCCCTCACATGTTCTGAGGTGTGCAACATCTGAACATCGCAAGTCTTTCTTACCCCAGAAAGCGGTGGACTCTGTACGTAAGAGAGTCAGTTTAGCCTGGCAGCTTGGCCCGACTTTCAGGGGTCAAATCGATGGAGGCCCCGTGACGGGAGCCGACTATCGAGACCTTGATGGTCTGCTCTGCTCACCGTTCTGGTTTTGGCTCTCTTTGTGTGAGTCAGATAGAGAAAGTTATTCTTGTATGTCGCTGGTGTTACACAGAGCGTTGTGACTCGGTTGTGGACATTGTGTTTCTTCGATGAGCCGTCTTGGCGGGACGTCGTCACCAGAGACAAAACCCAGCATCTCTCGTCTTGGCGGCTGAAGGGAGAGATTCTCCATGGCTTCTTCTTCCCCGGATTTCCTATGGCTCCATGCTAGCCCCAATATCCTTCACACCCAAAGTGTGTCCAGATACATACGCTCCGATGTCCCAAGATAACGTTGAGCCGGACTTACAACCGTTGATGCACCTCGGCCGGCAGGCGTCCTGTGCCAATCAATGGGCACCTCAATGGGGGCGGGTCCCGAGCTGTTACAGAGTTTCCCGCGGCTTGGGACCCTCGGTCGAGGTACCGGCCGGCCAGCCAGAGGCCAGCGCAACGGACCAAGGCGGCTCCTTGGATGAAGCTCTTGGCGGAGCCTACCTTGGGACCTAGGCACGTTTCGTTTCGTTTGGGGGGGGGGGTGTGAGACCCGAGATCTCGGAGATCTCTGGGCGGCGGCGGGCTCACGGCTGTTGATGATGCAAATCAACGGCCCCTTTCTCAACTTATCCTCGGCTAGAACGAAAATGCCGGAAAACAGGCCATTGTCAGGAGACGCTGCAAAACCAAGACCAGTCTGACCCCCCCGTCCCGAGTGTCGGCGACCGGCTGCGGGCCGGCCTGGGCGGTGGTTGGTTACCAAGACCAAGTACCGAAGGGGAATGCATCCAACAAAGTGTACTGGGTGCAACTTCGCCGTCGGATATGTTGAGGATATCGACGGCTTTACGTACAGAAAGCGACTGGTGAGCTTAGAGTAGCTAAAGGTACATGGGGTTGCGTGCGGCAGAGCTATCCCCCCTCATGGCAATTGCGGGCAGTTCGTGGGATATTTGGGGGTTCCAAGCCTCAAAGTGTCACGAGTTTAGCAAAGCGACTTAGACATTGTCCTCGTTTTGGTTGGCCAGCCACCATAAAGAGAGGGAGAGGTTCAAAGTTGCGGCGTGATCGCATTGATCCCACTTTTTCGCAACGAAGGCCATGTACAACCCTCGCGACAAGCTTGTCTCACAGCGGCTCGGGCAACGCCATTTCCACTTTAGAGATCCCACGATGGCACCGATGGCACCAAGGCGCCGCGGGGCAATTTGATTAGGCTGCCGGCTGGCGGCCCTGACGAGCGACGGGTTCAATCATGGGCCATCAACCCCACGGCTAACCCACGGCCGAAGTTACCGAGTCTAGGGTTGCGCTTGACCCCACTCTTTGGCTCGGAGGGCGGTGGTGGTGGGATTTTTTGGCGGACACCACACCTCGCTGCCAGCTCGTGGCCATCACGACTGCATGTGCGGCTGGCGGCTCGTGGTTGCTCCTGGGGCTCCGATCACCGGCCTGCAATTGGCCAACAGCGCATCGCAAATGGAAGCTTGTTCTCTGCGAGGCTCCAAAACTGCCTGCTGCTGTGTGTTGTCCGGCTCGTAGGCAGCCGCAACCCACTATCAGAAAAAAAAGCCAGGGCATGTGTCAAGCGGAGCCAAGGGGCCAAATCACGATCAAGAGGAATCGAGATTGGCCACTGGCAACGCAGTCTGCAGCTGCAGCGCAGGATCATTCATCTTTTTGTTAGGATCACCAGGTACAGGCAGCATGATGCAGTGCCACAGCAGTACTTACATCCAGTCATCCATGAGCACCATATGGAAGATTCGCGTGTCTTGCAAATATTCTTCATCGGCGACATAAGCTCATGGTTGCGGACACGGACTGGATGGACATGGACACGGGTGAGGGATCTCCTGATGGTTGCCCTGTTTGCAGCTGCCTGTGGAACATGAAATTGATAGTAGCTGGTATTTGAGGGCTCAGTTGATGGGGATGGTGGGTTTGGGGACTGTTGATGAAAACTAATCAACAAATTCTACGCATTTCAACCTGACCTCCCATATGGCAGTCAGTCTTCACAGCGACTGCCGTGGTGCAATTACCTGGGACGGTGAGACATGTGAAGCCCAACAACATGTGCTTTGGAGAAAATCCCCTCACTCACGGCCAAACAGTGTTGTTGAGGCTGTTGGTAGGGGTCCCCTTTGTGCTTGGGAGCAAACATCCAGGGCCGTCGCCGTCCATCAGTCTGATTCTCAACAAGCTCCAAAGAAACACACAGATCGGACCCTGGACGTCCTCGGCTTGAACAGTGCCGTTGCTTATGGTTGCCCTCCGCCAAAAACAACCAAGACCCCAAGCAGGCCGTGGAGTCTTGGAGTCTTGGACCGCCCGCCGCTCGCCGCTGCCAAGTTCCCAACAGGACGTGATTGCTGTGAGACCGGCGGCCGTGCTGCAAGCTAAGGTTTTTTATATAATAATAGCCGGAGCTCCACCCAAGCAACAAGCAGCATCTCTGTCGCAGACCCTCGCAGTGGTGGGCACTCCGCTGCTACGCCGCTACGCTACAGTACCTGTGCTTGTCCAGATACGCTACACTACAGTTACCCCACCGCCGCGTCTACCCCGCCGTCACCATCAATCCCGTCATCCTTGACACTTGACAGTCCCAATCGCAAGTCGGACTGCGCGGGCAAGCATTTGATAGCTACCCCACCAGCCCGCCAACCCTCTTTCTCTGCCCTCTTCGGCCCTCTGCCCCAGTGAAAGTTCAAAGTTGAACCCCCTCCACATAACCTCGCTCTGCTAGCTGTCCGCCCAGTATCCACAGGTCCTGTCCCTGCACTTATCCTCCGTCTCTTTTTCCCCTTTCCCCTCTTCCCTTCCCGTCCCCTTCTCCCGCCTGAGCTTCCTCCCCGCAATTGACCGCCCCCGGCGCACGCAATCGACCCTCACCATGGCGGCCGACAAAGCAGCAAGCAAGTATGAGGACGTCTTCGAGGACGGCGAGGTGCCCAAGGAGGAGAAGACGGTGCACCGCATTCGCGCCAACTCGACGATTATGCATGTGAACAAGATTCTGGGTTCGTCACCATTGCTCCCAGTCCCGGTCCCTGGGGACGATGGCTGGTCACTGCAGATGGCGCTCGCTCTGAGTGACGTCGCACACCGGACGAGCCTCTGCAGCCTCCCAGTCCTGTCCAATTGCGTGAGAGAACATGGCTAACACAAGCACTTTGTTGCGCGCATGCAGTGGCCAACAGAGGAGAGATCCGTAAGTCATGACCCGGGCCCATGTTTTACGCTCTTTGGTCTGATCTGGGCTTCTTGCTGACTCTTCGATTCCAGCTATTCGTGTATGTTGCGATCGAATTGACAGACACTCCCCCCCCCCCAATTGACCCTTGAGATGGTATACTCACGGACTTTGCTTTCCATAGATTTTCAGAACTGTGAGTCACCTCCAGATTTGCGCCGGATCGGAGGACCATCGGACAGTGTCTAATCATGACCATCTAGGCTCACGAGCTTTCGCTTCACACTATTGCTGTCTTCAGGTTAGACCCTTCCGCATGGGATTATCTTATCTTTCTTTCTCGGCTAACAATTTGCAGCTATGAGGACCGTCTTTCTATGCACAGGCAGAGTATGCGCCAAACCCAGGCACTCCGAGGTCCCTTGAGAGAATAGCTCACTGATATATGTGCACAGAGGCCGACGAGGCCTATGTCATCGGCAAGCGTGGCCAATACACTCCTGTCGGCGCCTACCTTGCTGGCGACGAGATCATCAAGATTGCCGTTGAGCATGGCGCTCAGATGATCCATCCCGGTTCGTCGAGACCCTGAATTGCGCACTCAATGCGTAGGGCATTCCGCACTGACACTGTCAAGGTTACGGTTTCCTGTCCGAGAACGCTGATTTCGCTCGTGCCGTCGAGAAGGCTGGCCTGATTGTGAGTCATCTCCCGTTCCTACTACCAGGAGACGACACGCTAACATGCTGTAGTTCATTGGCCCTCAACCCGAGGTCATTGAGAAGCTCGGCGACAAGGTCTCGGCCAGGAAACTGGCCATCGAGTGTGGCGTTCCGGTCGTCCCGGGTACCGAGGACGCAGTCGGCACGTTTGAGGAGGTCAAGAAGTTCACTGACAAATATGGCTTCCCGGTCATCATCAAGGCTGCCTTCGGCGGTGGTGGTCGTGGTATGCGTGTCGTGCGCGAGGAGGCCGACCTGAAGGAAGCCTTTGAGCGTGCCACTTCCGAGGCCAAGAGCGCCTTCGGCAATGGCACCGTCTTCGTCGAGCGCTTCCTCGACAAACCCAAGCACATCGAGGTCCAGCTCCTCGGTGACAACCAGGGCAACATTGTCCATCTCTACGAGCGTGACTGCTCCGTCCAGCGAAGACACCAGAAGGTCGTCGAAATCGCTCCGGCCAAGGACCTGCCGGCTCATGTCCGCAATGCCATCTTGAACGATGCCGTCAAGCTGGCCAAGTCGGTCAACTACCGCAACGCTGGTACCGCTGAGTTCCTCGTCGATCAACAAAACCGCTACTACTTCATCGAGATCAACCCCCGTATCCAGGTCGAGCACACCATTACCGAAGAGATCACGGGTATCGATATCGTTGCTGCGCAGATCCAGATTGCTGCAGGTGCTACTCTGGAACAGCTTGGCCTGACCCAGGATCGTATTTCAACCCGCGGTTTCGCCATTCAGTGCCGTATCACCACCGAGGACCCGGCCAAGAACTTCCAGCCCGACACTGGCAAGATCGAGGTCTACCGCTCCGCTGGTGGTAACGGTGTCCGTCTGGATGGTGGCAACGGCTTCGCTGGTGCTGTCATCACCCCCTACTACGACAGCATGCTTGTCAAGGTCACTTGCCACGGCTCGACCTTCGAGATTGCCCGCCGCAAGGCCCTGCGTGCTCTGATCGAGTTCCGTATCCGCGGCGTCAAGACCAACATTGGCTTCCTGACCACTCTGCTCACTCACCCGACCTTCCAGGCCGGCTCGTGCTGGACCACCTTCATCGATGAGACTCCCGAGCTCTTCGACCTGGTTGGCAGCCAGAACCGTGCCCAGAAGCTGCTGGCCTATCTTGGTGACGTTGCCGTCAACGGCAGCAGCATCAAGGGCCAGGTTGGCGAGCCCAAGTTCAAGGGCGACATCGTCATCCCGACACTGTACGATGACGATGGCAACAAGATCGACACCTCGGTCCCCTGCACCAAGGGTTGGCGCCAGATCATCCTCGAGGAGGGTCCCAAGGCCTTCGCCAAGGCTGTCCGCAATTACAAGGGCTCGCTCATCATGGATACCACCTGGCGTGATGCCCACCAGTCTCTGCTGGCCACGCGTGTGCGTACCATTGATATCCTGAACATCGCTAAGGAGACCAGCCACGCTCTGCACAACCTCTACAGCTTGGAGTGCTGGGGTGGCGCTACCTTCGATGTCGCCATGCGCTTCCTCTACGAGGATCCTTGGGACCGCCTTCGCAAGATGCGCAAGTTGGTTCCCAACATTCCTTTCCAGATGCTCCTGCGTGGTGCCAACGGTGTTGCCTATGCCTCACTGCCTGACAACGCCATTGATCACTTCGTCGACCAGGCCAAGAAGAACGGCGTCGATATCTTCCGTGTCTTCGATGCCCTGAACGACATTGATCAGCTCGAGGTTGGTATCCGGGCTGTCCAGAAGGCTGGCGGTGTCTGCGAGGGTACCGTCTGCTACAGCGGTGACATGCTCAACCCCAAGAAGAAGTACAACCTGGAGTACTACATGAACCTCGTTGACAAGCTGGTTGCCCTCGACATCGACGTCCTCGGCATCAAAGATATGGCTGGCGTCCTCAAGCCCCAAGCTGCCACCATCCTCATCAGCTCCATCCGCAAGAAGTACCCTGACCTGCCGATCCACGTCCACACCCACGACTCGGCCGGTACCGGTGTCGCTTCTATGGTTGCCTGCATCATGGCCGGCGCCGACGTTGTTGATGCCGCCACCGACAGCATGTCCGGCATGACCTCTCAGCCCAGCATCAACGCCATCATGGCCTGCCTTGACGGCACCGACAAGACCCCTGGCCTCAACCCCCAGCATGTCCGCGCCCTCGATAGCTACTGGTCGCAGCTGCGCCTGCTGTACTCGCCTTTCGAAGCTCACCTCACCGGCCCCGACCCGGAGGTGTACGAGCACGAGATTCCTGGTGGTCAGCTCACCAACATGATGTTCCAGGCCTCTCAACTCGGCCTCGGCTCCCAGTGGGCAGAGACCAAGAAGGCCTACGAGCAAGCCAACCAGCTCCTTGGCGACATCGTCAAGGTCACTCCTACCTCCAAGGTTGTTGGCGACCTTGCCCAGTTCATGGTCTCCAACAAGCTTACTCCAGAGGATGTCAAGGCTCGTGCCAGCGAACTCGACTTCCCTGGCTCGGTGCTGGAGTTCTTCGAGGGCATGATGGGCCAGCCCTACGGCGGTTTCCCTGAGCCGCTGCGCACCAACGCCCTGCGCGGCCGCCGCAAGCTCGACAAGCGCCCTGGTCTCTTCTTGGAGCCGGTCGACTTCGCCAAGGTGCGCAAGGAGCTCACCCGCAAGTACGGCCCCGTCTCAGAGTGCGATGTGGCCAGCTACATCATGTACCCTAAGGTGTTCGAGGACTACAAGAAGTTCGTCGCCAAGTACGGCGATCTGTCGGTCCTGCCCACCAAGTACTTCCTGTCGCGCCCCGAGATCGGCGAGGAGTTCCACGTCGAGCTCGAGAAGGGCAAGGTGCTCATCCTCAAGCTGCTGGCCGTCGGCCCGTTGTCCGAGAACACCGGCCAGCGCGAGGTGTTCTACGAGATGAACGGCGAGGTCCGCCAGGTTACTGTCGACGACAAAAAGGCGTCGGTCGAGAACGTCAGCAGGCCCAAGGCTGATCCTACCGACTCCAGTCAGGTCGGCGCTCCGATGGCCGGTGTGCTGGTCGAGCTGCGCGTCAAGGATGGCTCCGAAGTCAAGAAGGGCGATCCGCTGGCTGTGTTGAGCGCTATGAAGATGGTATGTTTTGTCCCCCAAGGAATAAGGTTAGGTTCTGATGCTGACTTGTACAGGAAATGGTCATCTCGGCGCCACACAACGGTGTCGTCTCGCAGCTGCAGGTCAAGGAGGGCGACTCGGTCGACGGCTCCGACCTCATCTGCCGCATTGTCAAACCCGATGCGAAATGAAAGGGCGCGTGCTAGTTCTGATCGTGTGGGCGAGGAGCGAGCGCGCGCCAAGGGTTCCCACCGTCATCCTCAAGTGGATGATAAGCCCCCGCCGGACAACAAGCTCCCACGGAGAAAAAAGAAAAAGAGGAAAACCAAGGGTTTCCGGCGGTAGGTTGTGTGGTGGTGGTGTCCGTTTCAAGTGAATATCCATCCTCACCATGGTTTTAAGGGGAGTATTCTCTGGGAGATTTTTGTTTGGTGGAGAGATAGACTGAAGGAGTATGTGAATAACTTTTTTGTTGTCTTTTTTTGACGGTTTCTGTTTCTGTTTATTTTCTCTTTTGTGTCGTCGGGCGGTAACACACATGGGAGAAATCAATAAATGAATATGTTCTGGTTTTTGTTGTTTCAAGTATTTTAAGGTATGAGCAAAAAATGCATATTATCATCATCACCCCATACCATATTGTCAATGCACGATGTCAGCAGGTCTGTCATATCATATCAGTGGTAGCATGAAGGTTAGATCATCTAGGGAACGAGAAGCTGAGGGGTGCATGCAAGGTAAGTAGCTTTTTTTGTGGATTTTGGACCAAGTGGGGTTGTGAGAACCGGTTCCCATATTGTGTGATGCTGTGTTCTCGGTTCTGGAGTGTGTCCTTCTCTGTCTGTTAATAGGACGTAACACTATGTGCTGTAGAAAGTGAGACGTAACTTTATGTTGATCTTACTGAGCACAAAGTTCAAAGCCAAATTCTAAGAGACTATGGTGAGATTATAAGCATCATTATCGATGTTGTGTGATGTGTGTGACCTTGATGACGCTTTTGAAGTCTGAGTTAGACAGACGGCCGGGAGTAACAATGTGATAGCGTTGACGATGAGGCGTACACTGAGGTATCACGGCGCCAAACACCCGCATGCCGCTACACCAAGGTTGAACATATTGTAGTGCAACTACGTTACGTGTCTTTTTGTCTCTACCACTGAGGCTAACGTTCGCCAGCCAGTCAGGTCAAGTTATACTACATTCCACTCTCCCATCCTCATTCCTCATTCCATAGGGCCATGGCTGCCACTCTAACCGACTTCTGGCTGGATACTTGTTTGTTGTTGGGGGAAATGCTTTTTGGTAATGGTATCTAGCTACTGATGAGGAAAAAAAACAAGGTAAACGATATTGAAAAATGGAAACGAGAGAAATCGAGCGACAACTGAATTCAAGGTTATTTTGGCTAATATTGGGAGGAATATATGAAGCCAGCTCCGATACCCTCCTCCTCTTTCAGGTCCCAATGATTTAGCAAATCCACCGAACCAGCACCAAGCCCATTCCATACCGTTCCATGCCGTCCAGTAGCTGTCCTGAACTGTGCTACACCATTCCGTGCTCCGAACTCCAGTAGACTGTGGTAGTGTGTCCTGAAAACTTCAGAGAAAAAAAGGAGCAAATGAGACTTATCCATAGACTCAGACGAGTGGCATCAATCAATGACTTTTTGTTGGGGAAAACTTGACTGTTGTGATGAATTGGAAAGTGAAAGAACAATTAAAGGAATTGGAAAGTAAAGGAGGGTGAGGGGAAAAAAAAAAGTGAGACGTGGAATGATGGCTGCCTGCCTGTGATGTGTAGTGATGATAAGTTAGGCAAATGCTCTTGGTGTTGAGAGATCCGACCGAACAGCTTGCAACGCAGGTCAAAGATTCTTTAGGGTATTTAGGGTGTTGTTTGTTCAGCCGCTTTTCTTTGGCAACTGAACTGATGCGAATGGGTTGGAGAGTTGACGAGCAATATCATCACTGTATCTCATTGTAGCCAAGGGTATTCCAAACGCCAGCCTGGCTTTCTCAACGCTCATCAAGATAAAGGGTTCCTATGTATGAAGGTAAGTAGCCAAATGAGCTCTCCAACCGGCCGTTGATCCTCCTGGGATGTCAAGCTCCTAATGAAGAGTTGTCAACTTAGATGGCTAATACCGCCGCTTGCTCCGACCTCACACCACCCCGTCCCACGTTCCCTCCCGCCACACACCTAATCGACGACGGGGACGGGGACGTAGCAGACGTCTGCGCAGTCAAGGGGGTAGTAGACGAAGTCGAAGTCGAAATCGCCGAATACATCGACGACGTATTTGTCGAACCCGAAATAGAAGAGCTAGATGACGGAAGAGCTAGTGCAGGGGCCGAGAGCTGTGCCGCGGGGTGGTGATACCCGTATTGCATGGTCGTAGCAGGGGCTGTAGTTGTATGCGGAGGGAGAGGGAAGGGGAAGTGCGTCGTGCTGACGCTGTATGGGTTCAAATTCCCCTTCAGGGAAGTCATACTCTTTGTCGGGGTAATTGGCTTGCTGGGACCGCCGGGGGAGGAGCGCTTCTGCTTGGAGTTCATGACCCCTTTACCTCCCTGTTCCTGGCTCTGGTTTTGACCTTGCTGCATCGCTGCCTGCCTGGACTTCTTCATTGCCACCTGTCTTTTAGTTAACTGCCCATCCAACACCATATCCACCAACCTCTCCGCATCGCGATGCAACTCATCCAACTCCCTAGCATCACTGCATCTCACGGTTCCATCCTCATATGGCAACCTGAACGCAGCGAAGACAACGCCACGGTTGGGGATGCGTCTCTCCTTCTTCCCCCCTTGCTGCTGCTGCCCCCCCCTGACCTCGGACTTCGTAGTTGTAGTGGGGGGGTTAGTGGTGGGTGTGTACCCTGTATAGAAGGAGCATGAGTAACCCCGGGCAAATTCATCCAGCGACGCACCCTCGCTGCGATACTCGAGCCATCCCTTGGTGCGCAAGACCTTTTGGTGAACGGGGGCTGAGATGCGGAAGGGGCACATGATGGAGGGGAGGCCGTACGCGGCTAGCAGGCGGCCGGTCATACTGCTAGCGGTGTTTTGAGGGGTAGTGTTGGTCGGGTTGGTGGTGTCATCTCCTGAGCTTGGACCCGATAGAGGCGATGAGGTCGGAGAGTTGCTGGAATTGGAGTTATTTCGCCGCCCAGACCGGGTGATATTTGTTGGCCAAAGATTCACCACATAAACCAGGTCAAACTCATACTTTGTCGCAATACGCGCAGCCTCCAATGCCGCTGCCGCAGCAGGCCGGCTAGCGAGCGGAGGGCAGAGAGTGAGCAGCTCGAACTCGCAGACGGGAGATGAAGGTGTTGAGACCACGGGGCTCTGGGGGTTGGAAGAGATGCGCAGGGGAGGAGGCATCAGAGGCTTGGTGTGGGTGGTGGCGACGGGCTGCGAGTCGGCGATGTCTTCGTCTTTGAGGGCGAGGAACTCGCCGAGGGTGGGCTCGTGGAGGGATTGGGCTGGGTTGGAGTCGGGCTTGGAGGGTGTTGTTGGATCGGTGCCCTTTGTGGAGTGTTGGTTTTGAATGGTTGAAGTTTGAGTCTGCTCAAGACCAAAGAACTCAATTTCCTCAGGGCCCGGCATCGGCAGGGGGACGAGCCGAGGCGACAATGGCGCAGCCTCGTCGCTCCCATCAGCTGGCACAATGATCTGGCTCTCACGCTGAGACTGGACCGCGTCGCCGAGCGTCTCCTTCTCATTCTTGAGCATCTCCTGAAGTGCCTCATGGGCCTTGGGCTGCTCGAGAGTGTTGTGCGACGACCGACGTTTCCTCTCGACTTGCGACTTAGGCGAGACAGAAACAGGAGACGCCGACTTAGCGGGAGATCTGCCGCTGCTGAGCGAGTACTCGGTCCTGCCGGTCGGACTGGAAAAGTTGAGCTCGAATAGCTCAGGGGGGATGTCGAAGGTAGCAGCCGCCAGGAAGAGCGAAGATGATCGACGCGGAATATCAGGCCTTAACTTAGGAAGAAGACCCTTTTTTGGCGTTTTGGGATCCGGTCGGGTAGACTGAGGGGAGTCGGCCAGCCGGGTGCTGCTGCTGCCCGGCTTGGTTGGAGTAGTAAGACGCGGCGTGCTCGGTGACTCGGGCAGGCTTCTAGCACGACGGGTCAGGCGAGGCGCCATGAGGAGCTCATCACGGGCGACCATGCGCGAGGAAGTAGGGCGGATAAAGGGCGGTTGGGGGAAGTGCACGAGGTCGTCGTCATCCTCTTGCTGGAACCAGGTTGAAGAAGCAGCCTCGGGCACGGCGCGGCCGAGGTCGTGAGAGGGCTTCGACTTTTTGCGCTTGGAGAAGAGCTTTTCCAGCCTGTCGAGCTGTTTCTCGAGCTTCTCCAGGCTTGCTGCCATTGTGGTTGAGTCTATGGGCATAGTGTGAGCTTAATTCTCATACAACCAAGATGTGAAACGAACATACCAATACTGCTCGATTGCCAACGGTATGTATTGAAGGAGATTCAGGATCGACCGGAAATGGTCGCCTGTGGCTTGGAGGTTGGCAGATCGATCTGTTGAAGAATTTGTGGTGTAGAGATCGGACGGCGAACTGATCGACGGGATTTACACAGGTGGTGGGCACCGGGGAGAGACTCGGGAGGGTCTGTTGAGTAAGCCGACTGTCGACTCTTGACTTTGTGGAAACCGCTCGGTAATACAAAGCCCGTCAGGTACAGAGAGCAACAAGCATTGCCGAAGCGTTGGACGAAACGATTCCACGACAGGCGGATGGCGGGATCCAAAGTATGAAGTGAAACTATAAGTGCAAGATCCGTGGTGCGGCCGCAAAAAGGAAAGAAGAGAGAAGTGTGGAGAGTGTTTGGAGGATCAAGCGTTGAAGGAGTTGAAGTAGGTAAAGTCGAAGAAAATTTTTGGGAGGTTGAAATATTATTGAATTCCTCACAATAGTAAGTACATTTGCTGACTGAATAAAATGACTGCAAAGATGGAGGAATTGATGCTTGAACCATATATGCGCGGGGTATCGGCAGGAGTGTAATCGAGGCCGGCTCGCAGGAGGGCCCCAAAAAAAGACTCCTGTCAACAAAACACAACAAAAGCACACCGATCGACCTCCTTCCTTTTCCCTATTATTTTTTGCCCCAATATGCCAATCCTATTGTCTGAAGAAAAGGCTGAGGCAAACAAGCGTTGTCAACTCGGCGGATACCAGCCGGACGGGACTGCACCAGACTCGAATAAGTAGGTCTAAGGGCGGGGAGCTGTCAAAAGCAACAGGCAGCGAGAAGTTGCCGACTTATACACATCGAACACCGACTGCTCGTCTCGGCACTGTGTCCGAAAACAACAAATCGCCACGGGCCATGGGTCTGCGGCTGTGCTTGGCCAATGGCAATGGCAATGGCTTCAACTGGGGCAAAACTGACAGCATCAACAGTGACAGCTGCAGGTGAGCGAGCCCAAAAGCAGACAGACAGAAGGGGGAAGAGGCCAAGAGGAGAAGAGAATAAACGGACAGCCCCGAGCCCGGGGCCAGCAGGGAGATAGGTTTCTACCTCTAACCCACACACCTTAGACACACACACACAAACACACACAACACACCCCCATACATACATACATACATACATACATACATACATACATACATACACACATACATACTTACACTAGCGCACAGTCAGACACAGCCAGAAACACCCACGGCGGCCTGCGACTGGCAGGAATTTTCTGCAACTGCAGGTGATCCAGACTCCGGGTAACGAGCTTTGAGAGAGCGAGGGAGAGGCCGCCACCTAGACACTGGAATTAGGCAACGGACATATCGCCAGAGTCGAGTCAATGCCGTGCTCTTTGTTTCTCGTCTTTCTCTCTCGCGGCCGCAGCAGAGTAGCTCATCCCTGTACGACGCCATTGTCCTCGCAATGTCTCTCATGTCTCTCATTTGACGCATCACCATGGCCGGGTCGGCCGCCTGGAGCCGTTGTGCAAGGTTACCAGCGCGGACAGACCCAAACAGCTTGAGTTTAGAGCTCTTTAGAGTCTTGAGCTTTGACAGGTGCACAACAGCTCAATTACACAAACACACGGTAAGCAAGCCGTCGCTGTGGTCTGGACAGATCCAAGACTGAGAGATCCGCGAGCGCGAGCATATCCTTCTTCCGACGGTGTCAACGCGCCCGCAGAGCACGAAAAGCACCGGGCTTTTTGACTCTTAGCTCAAGAGTAAACGTCGGGGATGCAGGCAGCAAGGGTCCAAAAGTTGGATCATGACTTTATCAGGCAAAGTCGAAAAGTCAAACTTACAGACAGCCGCATCCCCCACATTGCCTGCCCCGGTCCCAGCTTGGCAAAGTTTTTAACCCCTGTTTATCCCCCACCCTTGATCTTGCCGAGCTCGGCTCTTCCGCCTGTCAACGGCTGCCAGACTCACAGAGCCCAGCCCTGATTTCCCTTTGGGGAAGGAAGGGAGGGCTTGGCCTGAGTGCCAGCCAATCAATGTGCTTTGCAGACAAAGGCTTGGCTACACAGTACCCAGGTGGGCACCGCAGGAGCACTGCGGGGCTGGACATCACTCGGCTGACCAGTCGCTTGTCGTCCAAGGCTCGAGCAAGATGCAGCTCTGAGATCCAGGTGGACGAGATCAGGTTGCAATGAGATCCAGATCGATGAGATTGGTGGTTAAAAGGAGAGGCCCGGGGGGGTGAGGGTGACACTGAATGCCTAACATTTTTTTTTGGCTTTTTTCTGGGAGGGAGTTTTAAAAGTCCAATCTTTTTCTGAGTTTGCTTGTCAACCGTGTTGAGTTTCCATCTCGACCCTCTCGCCGCTCAACGCCAACCTCCGTTTGCGAGACGACAAGCCAAGCTGTCGTCGACAGTGACGTGCCCACTCCCTGTGCATGCATCTCGGGGAATCCTAACCGATCGCGCACCGGCATCGCATCATAGGCCTCAGCCTGCCTTCCTGATGTGATCGACAGTGCATTACAGGACACTTTAGGCTACCCAACTAATGCGTGTTCTCCCAGCCCGCGGCGGCAAGCCCCATGCCTCGGCCTCCAATCGACGTCCTCAAAATCCATGGTCTTCTGGTTCTCACAAAAGACAAAAAATATGATAGACCATCGCGTCTGTTTAGAATGGATTTTCGGTGTGAGCTCACATGCCAGAGAACTAACAGCTCATTGGGGTTAACCAACAATCCCGACTTGCTTGTTTGTTTGCGAAAAGAAGCAAAAGTCCCTGCGCGGACGGTCGCCGTGGCTCTCAGCAGCAGGATCTTGCACACCGATCTTGCTTGAGCAAGTCCGCGGGTCGTCGGGGAAGTCTCCTTGAGTTGACAGATTGCAACAGCATTTATCATAACTTTTTCTCATTTCCCTGCAATATCTGCGGGCGACATGGCCATCATCAAGACGCTGCCGCTTTGTCTTGCAGCAGCGACGAGGGCGAAGCTATCAGATCTCCCTCGGACAAAGCCGATTCAACCGAGGCCGTTCTTCAACTCACGACTCCACAAACTGACTAGCTACTTCAACCAAGAAACTCTCTCAGAAACTCCCAGGACCATACGACTTACAAAGTACATGTTTCCCTGCTGACTGAACGGCTGACTAACCAAGACCACAAGAGAAAACTCCCCAAGCCCTATCCTCTCGTCCTCTCATTCATCGGAAAACTTTCCGACCAGCATCCGTACCCCCACACCTCGGAAGAAATATGATGCAACTCGAGTCCCCTCTTCCTGGATTCCCTCCCTCACATACTCAAGCACTCTCGAAACATCTTGCCTTCCCTGGCCCTGGATAAGCAATATGTAAGAAGGTAGGTAACCAGGAAGCTGGCTGAGGTCCAGCAGATCTCAGGTCCGTGTCCCTGACCCGGGCTTTGGGCCTTCTCTCCCTCAAGCCCCGCTTTATCCCGGATCGTCTCCATAAGGTACTTATGGAGTTATCGCTGCTTCAATGGGACGCCAGAAAGCGCATGTCTCAGCCACGGGGGGTTGGTTTTTTGCTTGTGGTGGCGCTATTGATTTTTTCGAAGGCTTTTTGTCCAATGATGGAAAGCATAGGACCACCATCACGGGTCCTCCCGTTGCCACGGCAGGTAATGGGCAAGACAAGGCTAAGCACCGGTCGAAGCATTGGGCCTGCCTCCAATGGTGGCGAGTGAGGAGGGTTCAGCTTCAGCTCTGCTTCGGATGAGATGTGAGTGTCAGGGGATGGGGAGCACGCTGTCTTTGTTTCTCATGCTATCACACGTGGAGGAGGCACACGTGAGTAATGAAGAGGTGGCTTGGGCTAGCTCAGTCAGTGGCAAGCCCTCCTCATATTAACGGGAATTGCTCCTCTGTTTCAGAGCGACCGTGTCCTGGGCCATAGACTCCTTCACATTGTATCCCTTACTTACCTACCTACCTACCTCATGGGCCCCTTCCCAGTCCCCAACTAAACTTTCCGACTGCACTCCAACTGTGGCGCCGCACATACGCTACACAACAGAGGCCATCTCGCAGGTGCACCGGAGCAAGGCTTCGATCTGTCCTGTTCTGTCTGTTCACAGTGGCCAAGGAAAGACGCTACGAACTGCCTGATCTATCCAAGAGCCCGCGCATTGATAATAATGGAGCGGGTGTAACCTTATAACCGGGTGATTCTGTGATGTTTTTTTTTTTTGGTCTTCGTCTCGTTATCTGTTTCTAGTAGTAATCTGTAACTTTCTTTGGGAGTTCTTTCAGCCTCGAAGTTAGAGGCCAGCCTTTGTGTTTTCGAGATCTGCAAATGAGCTGATGGTTGCGTAATGCAAGGTTGGCGAGGAATGTTTTGGATTAGAGAGAGATCAAAAAAACTGTCTCGCCTTGCTAGCAGCTAACTTGTCATGGCAGTGGTACCATTAACAAACTTGCTTACCCTGTGTTACAGACGAATGGGTTTGGAATTTGTCGATCTTGAGTTTGTGTGTACGTACTTTTTTTTCTCTCGAGAAAAAAAAAACAATCCATTGCCATGCTATGACTGGCATACGCTACCAAACATATGTCAAGTTTTATGTGTGTGGTACGTACACTGTCAGACTTCAGGAGGCTCAAACAGGTGCTACACTACACTGGTCGACTCTGTATACCATAATGGGTCACCGACAAAAGTTCTTGCCACGACAAGTTCCCAAAAAAGGAGGATCAGCTATCTTGTTCATGATGACTAACACGACTGTCTTTAGACTCTTTTAGATTCGACGCAACGGCGCCGAAATGAAGTTCTGAGACGCGCTGAAATGAGAATCGTCGCGCCGGTTCCTCGGTGGGTCGGTCGCTTGTTTCTGCCTTGCCCCTGGTCTGGACTCTTGTTGGACTCAACTTGGGCGTCGATCTCCCGCTCTCTTGGGTTCTTGGGCTTCTCCATTGCTACGGTTCGTCCCGCAGTGCTGGCTTAGCAGTACCCCTCGGTCGACCCCTTACAGTCCCAAACAAAGTTGCTGCAGAGGAACTGCATGGAACGTGCAGGTGATGAAGTGTAAATACATGACAGGTAACCAACAAGTGTAGAAGCATGAATATTTCCAAGTGACGACGGGGCACGTCGGCATAAATTTTCTCTGCTGTAAGAGTAATCATCATCAGAGTCTCGCCGCGCCACCGGTCTCATCACCCTCATCGCCGTCGACATCAACTTCCCCAAAGATGTTCATGAAGGCGTTGTGCACTTCGTCCGTCAAATCGCTGGCTTGTAGGCTGCGACCGTGTTTTGCGAATGCCAGGCGGGAACATTCCTGATGATGCTTTATCGTCAGCACCAAACACACACATACACACACACACACACAAAACACGCATATCCATCATCCCCTGATAAAATCTGGACAAGTAATAAAAAAAAAAAACTCACCCTCGTAACCACACTCCCCCCAAAAACTGCCAACCCCACCAACTCCCCCTCTTTCAGTGTCCCACCATGCTCCCAAATCCCATCCAAATACGCCTTTCTCCACGCCAAAAATGTTGCCACACACCCCGTCAACGTGTCCCCCTGCCCGCCGCTCCTCTTCCGTCCCCCCTCCCAATCCACTACCATTGTCTTCTCCCCATCACTTAGAAAGTCCTTCTTCCCCTTCTGTAAGACCGTTACGCCGCCAAGGGCACGGGCGAGTTTTTCCACTCTCCCTGTTTCCGAGGTACCATCGTCTTCGATCCCCAATGCTTTGGTGACGCGATCAAATTCAACCACGTTGGGTGTTAGCACGGCTAACTTGTACCCCCTTACTAACTCTGGCTTATTCTGCACTATCAACAACGCATCCGCGTCCAAGACTATCGGCATTCCCCTCTCCCGGGCGGCCGTAATAACAAGTGCGCAGGTATCATGCATGAGGGGGTCGCGGCCCAAGCCGGGGCCGATGACGAGGACGTGTAAGCGGGAGAGCATGGCTATGATGCGGGAGGCGAGGGAGTGAGGTTCGGTTGAGGCGTCGGTAGTGAGGGAAGGGGATGATGGGGAAGGGGAAGAGCGCATGTAGGGATGGACCATGAGGTTGGGGGAGTAAGATTTTATTACTTGGGCGGCTGTTGGGGTGCAGATGACGTGCGACTGGAGGGGTCAGTAATGTGTGTAGATGGAGTCAGAGGATGAGATAATGGCGGAGGAGGGGGAAAGGGGAGGTACCATATCACACCCCAACTTTGCTGAAGCCATCGCAGAGAAGTAGGGCGCGCCGGTGTAGTCTTCGCTGCCGCCTATGACGGCTACGCGGCCAAGTTGGCCTGGTTTAGGAGGTCAGAAACATGTTTCATGAAAGGTGAGTTGAGAGAGAGGAAGGGGGGGGGGGGAAGGGGGGAAGAGTAAAAGTACCTTTATGGAACTTGGACAGCAGAGGCGGGATCATCATCCTCACGCGAGAGAGGATGTCCTTTGTTGTGGCTGACATGATTGCGGGAGGTGGGGGGTTTGGTGTCATGCTTGGGTAAGAATCGATGGTTGTGACTCTGGATTTTACTCAGGCCGGTAACGGGTAAGATGATTTAGTTCGAATGCGAGGAGAATCACTTTCCTGGACCGTTTGTTAGCAGTAGCATCCAGATTGCGGTACGCCGAAGTACCTTACAGCAGAGCCTTTCTAGGGAGGGGTCCTGTCGTAAGCTAGATCTGACTTCTTGAGGCTCCAGACTCTTCGATATCAACAGGCAGTGAGACTGGGGAGATGAGACGAGCTCCAGCTTCATTGTATGATGCGTGATGTCAGAGGATCCGCCCGCCCCGCGACGGACAAGCTCCCCGGCTGGCCCCGCACCAAGCGGACGTTCCGGCGACCCACTCGGAACGGAGACCCGCCGACTTCCGAGGCTTTACTGTGTAGGTAAGGTTAGATGGTGATGCTTCAGTCAGGGGTTCGAAGCATGCCGATTCACAGTGAACTTGTGTCCCAATAATAAATCAAAAGGACGGAGATTCTTGAGCTTGGTAGGATTAAACTACCTTTTTGTTATTGTCATTGGCCATGCTGTTACCTATCTTGGGCAGCAAAAATGAAAAAGGAGGACAAAACCCTCGCTGCGGAATAATACTTTGTTTTCGAGATAACAACGCAACGTTATGTAGAATTGAGCACCAGCAAGTCAACCGAGATCAATCTTAGGGATGCTCACGTGCTGATATTACAATATCAAGCATATAAAGCTCATGAGGTCCAACTGTGCTATAGACTTTATTAATCAGGCATCACAGGTTTTGTCATCGATAAACTTAGACTCTTCTTCCAAAGGAAGGTGGTCAAGAGAATTGCGACATCACAAAGTTACGCAAGATCCACGAACACAGTTGGAGCCTGGCGTCCCCCCCCCCACCCAAAAAAAACCCCGGTTAAGACCCACATTCTATGCGATCTGGCGAATCAGATTGTTGAAGACTTGGGTTGAGATGAGACGAGAGTTGTTCCAGTTGCTGGGGCGTCAGCAAGAACATAACTTCATCCATTCTCGATATTTTCTTTCTAAGGCTCTCGGCCGACATGCGACGGATTTTCTCACACAAAATTAAGAATTTCTCGATCATCAGTCGCAGTCTAAGATGAGGTCCTCCAGCGAAAACGGCGTCAGAGACGCCACCGAGCAGACACCGCTGCTGTCGTCAATTAACAACACTGTCAACACCGAACAGCATCATGACGATGGTAGCAAACCCGATGAGAAACCGCTCCCCATCTGGCAGATCGCTGCGCTCTGCTACGCCCGCTGGGTCGAGCCAGTGGCCTTCTTCTCCATCTTCCCCTACATCAACCAAATGGCACAGGAGAACGGCCAGCTGGCCGACACCGACGTGGGCTTCTACAGCGGCCTGATAGAGTCGCTCTTCTCACTCACCCAAATGCTCGTCATGGTCCTGTACGGCCGCGCGGCTGACCGTGTGGGCCGGAAGCCCGTGCTGGTATTCTCCCTGACGGGAGTGTCCTTCGCCACGATGCTCTTCGGCCTGGCCCGCACCATCCCCCAGATGATCATCTTCCGCTGTCTGGCCGGTGTCTTCGCCGGTACCATCGTCACCATCCGGACGATGCTCTCTGAGCTGAGCACACCCGCAACCGAGGCCCGTGTCTTCAGCTGGTTCGCCTTCACTGGCAACCTAGGCATTCTGATCGGCCCCCTCATCGGAGGTGCTCTTGTCGACCCAGCTCACCAGTACCCCTCTCTCTTCGGCCACATTCGCTTCTTCCACGACTACCCCTACGTCCTCCCCAGCCTGGTCATTGGCACGATCGGTCTGACCGCTGTGGCCGTCACGTCCCTCTTCGTCCAAGAAACCCTCGTCAAAGCTAAACAACCCTATCCCCTCAACGGCTCCTCCCTTGGTACCCCCTCAAAACCCCCCTCAACCTGGAACCTCGCCAAATCCCCCGGCGTGCCCATCGTCCTCTACACCTACGGCCACATCATGCTACTAGCTTACTCCTACACGGCCATCATCCCCATCTTCTGGTTCACCAAAGTGTCCCTCGGCGGGCTAGGCTTCACGCCGCTCCAAATCTCTCTCATGCTCGGGCTCAACGGCCTAGCCCAAGCCATCTGGACCCTGTTAGTCTACCCTCCCTTACACGCGCGCATCGGTACAAACGGCATCCTCCGCGCGTGTGCGATCGCATACCCCTTCTTTTTTGGCACCTGCCCGTTGATGAACGCCCTGTTGAGGAGTAACATCCCGGGGGCAGAGTCCATCTTCTGGGCGGTTGCGCCGCCACTGTTGTGTCTGGGTGTGGGGGTTAGTATGTGCTTCACGGCGATTCAGCTCGCGCTGAATGAAGTGAGTCCGAGCCCGGTTACGTTAGGGACGCTGAATGCGCTCGCGCTGGCGATTAGTAGCGGGGTGAGGAGTTTTTCGCCGGCGTTATTTGCGAGTTTGTTTGCGGTGGGCGCCAGGACGCAGGCGTTGGGGGGGTATGCGATTTGGGTGTTGATGGTGGTGTTGGCGGGGGGGTTTACGGTGGTTAGTCGGCGGATGCCAGATTATGAGGCTATAAGGAGGGCGAGGATAGAACGGGAGTGAGGTAGTGTTTGGGTAAGGAGATTTCATCAGAAGGACAGAAGTAGATCTCTTGTGAATAGGGCATAGTTAAGCTTTTTCTATATGAGGTTTGAAGCCGAACTGGCAGAAGATTCGTAGGGAGGTGGTGTAAGTCTTTGCCTATATCTTTTGTTCCGCTCGTGATTTCCCATAGAGAAACAGTTCAGTCAACCAAAGCTTCCATCAATGCCTGCCGCTTTCGCGTAATTCATATTTGATCACATTCAAGACCCTCGATCAATCGATAAAATACCTTCAAAAGTCTATCACACCATTTTCATCAAGCGTTCCATGGCCATTAACGATGGTGAAAGACCATCATCTTAATTCCATCCGCGTCCCAAGATCCGAAGATCCCTGGCACCAAACCGCTTAAGGCATAACCCCCATTTATGCAACAAGTATCCCCACTCCAGCCGCAAGGCTGGCCAATCATATCCTACAGATCTCCCTCTTCAGCTCCCTCGCGCCAGGCTTGGCGCGTTCGGCCCAAGCTGAAAACCCCTTGCTTGCTTGCCTGCCCTGTTATAGTTCCCTTGACCTCCACACCAAGCCCCCTGTCTGGGCCATCCAGCCACCCGCTTTCCCTTTCCCTTGCTGTGCCGCAGCCGCTCAAGCGTCTTCCCCAACCCCAACCAAACCGATCTTTTCATCTTTTCAAGCCGGTGCGACTGCAACTTTGTTGTTGTGGTCGGTCGATGTTTGGTGACATCCATCGGCGAGAGAGGGGACGAGCCCGGCCAGGTTCAAGTTGAAGTGTGAAGAAGAGAGAGCGAGGACCCATTCTTGCGACGACACTTTGCGATTTGCGAGTGGAACAGCTTTGCTTGCCAGCGATCGCCTGTCTGCCACGACAGCAAACGCCCGGCTCTCTATCAACCCAACTCATGCACGGCGACTGAAAAGGAGAAGAAAATTTGAGCCTCGACTGACAGCACATACAATCGATCGGAACAAAAGACACAGTGCATCCTCCACTCACCAGTGGAACTCAAAACGAGCCCAAGTCTCAAAGAGCTCCCACCAAAACAACCCTAACCCCGGCAAATAACCCTAACCTCAACCCTCGAAATACGGATAGCAGCCATGGGCCTAATCGACGACGCCTCCTCCATCCTCTCCGCGCGCACCTCCCACTCCAAGCGCTCCTCCAAGTCCCACAAGCGCCGCCATCGCGAGCGCGAGCGTGAGCGCGGCCGCGGCCTCGAATCCGACTACTACACCTCGCGCGCAGCGCGCAGTAAATCACGTTCTCGCTCGCGCTCCCGGTCTAGGTCCCGCTCCAAGCATCGCAGCAGCAAGAAGTCATCTAAGACCGGAGGGGGGTACGTTGCCGCGCTCGGGGGAATCGCATCGAGCATTTTGGGGTTTGGGGGAAGTGGGAGTGACAGTGATGATGAGGCGTTTGCGTATGGAGAGCATTATCGAGATCCGGCGTGGGAGAGGGAGTATCAGCGGCAGAGAGAGTACCGGCGGAGCGAGAGGGAGAAGGGAGGGGGGCTGTTTGACATGCCGGATCTGACGCGGTCGTCGTTTTTCTCGAGCTTTGGTATGTTCATCTCATGCACTTTATCACTCACTCTCCCTCTCACTTTCACACTCACATCCCCACACTCATCCCCACACTCATCCCCACGTCCACTTTTACACCCAGCAATACAGTCCTAAGTGAACCTCTGCTAACACCCACAGGCCGCCCCTCAACCCCCCGGGCCTCTTACTACTCCCGCTCCCCGCGCCCAGCCTTCCTCAAGCGCCTGCGCAAAAAATTCCGCCGCGTCACCCGCGATATCCAGTCTTATGCCGAGCGCCATCCCATACAGATCTTCACCCTCGTCATCCTGCCCTTGATCAGCGGCGGGTACCTGACCAATTTTCTCGCCAAGCTCGGGCTTAAACTGCCCAAGTTCGTGGAGAAGCTGCTCGGTGTGGCAGCGAAGGCCGGTAGGGGGGATTCAATCGGGGCGGTGAATGATGCTGTTAGGTTGGTGACGAATGCCGCGGGGAGGGGGGGATTGAGTGTGTCGAAGTATGTTAAGAAGGAGAAGGGGAATTGGTGACGATGGTAAACCTGAGGGATTGGGCATGATCTTGAGGTTATTTTCTTGGTTGGGTTTATGATTCTTTCTTCTATCTGGGTACCCTATTTGCATCAATGATTTGATGGAACGATGACGGATGGCTGGCTACGACATGATGGACGGACGGACGAACGGATGGATGGATGGATGGATGGATGGGGGAATGACCGAACCGTTGTTACGGACGTAATGAGGTTAATGAAGGACTGGCCTGGCGTTTCTTTGGATAGGTACTTTAGTCCCTGTTTAAAAGGTCCCGACAACAAACACTTCCACATCTCACTGCTACCTGGGACAGATGTTCAAGGAGACCCATGACCATTTAACAACTCTAGTCTATCTTCCAACCTACATGAGATCCTCGCATCCATCATCATCATCAATCCACCCAAAAGGAGAAAGGACACCAGCCGCTCCATTAAACCCGTTACGTATGCATGCATAGGCGTAGTAGACCTTACGCAGCAGCAGCAGCCATGACTAACCGAAAAGACGAAAACCTCCCCGATCACGAACCCGCGAAACTTATTTCACCTCCTCTCTTTTTTAGACGAAGACGATGTCTTACCCTCCTTGCTGCTCCGGCTACTACGATGATGATGATGCCCATCCTTCGTCGACGACGATGAAACCTTGCCCTCCTTGCTGCTCCGGCTGCTGCGATGGTGATGCCCATCCCTCGCCGAAGACGACGACTTACTGCCGCTGCTGCTCTTCTCAACCGTCACCGAGACAGGAGCAGGCACAGCGGCTCCACCGTCATCCGACGAGCTGAATGGCTCACTATCCCCCGACAGCCCCGTCATCCCGTTGCCGTTGGTGTACCCGTTGGTACCAGCAGCCTCGGGAAGTGGCCCCGATCCATAGCTCGCGTACGCATCCATATCCACCGCCGGCATCGTCGTGGCGGTCAAGTCATTCACGCTGCCCCTCACAGACGCCGGGCCCGAGCGATACGCGCCCGGCAGGCCGAGCGACGAGGTCGAAACGTTTGGCGCGGGGCCCATAGTCATATATTGGAAGGGGTCCAGAGTAGCAGTAGAGCCGACAGCCAGCTCCGAGCGGCGGCCGTAGGAAGACGGCTCACGCTCGCTCGGTGCGCGGCTAGGGGCTCTGCTTCCTGGGTTGCGGGAGGCGCGTGAGCGGGTCGACGAAACGGTGCCTGAGCGTGAGCGGGTGCGTTGTTGCTGTTGCTGTTGTTGCTGTGGTCCCGGACGTGGAGGGGAAATGTCGCTTCCTAGTTCGGGAGACATTTCCCGGGTGTCAGCATTGTCAGCAGAGCCGCTGCTGTTTTCCTCAGACGAAGGGAGTTCCTTAGTTTCCGGCGGCTGAGGGAGAGCCGCGGTGCTGGAGCTGAGCTGGGTAAGCGGGATGGCGACGCGCTGACGGCGCTGACGGCGGCGCTTTTGTTCTTGCAGTAATTGCAGGCGCTTCTGGTAGGCGGCCAGCTCCTCCTTGCTGAGCTTGACGTCGGTGCGGCCTTTGGCGTGGGCCTTGCGGATGCGCCGCTCCGCGCGGTCCGCCAATTCTTCTTCCTCTGGGGTCAGAAGAGGCAGGCGAACGTGGTCGTCATCATCGCTGTCGTCGTTCGAATTGTCGTCTGAATCATCATCCTCCGAAGTCTCGTCGTAATAGCCTCTCCGTGACCGTAGTGCCCCGGACGACTTCCGCGGCACAAGGGCACCCTCTCCATCCTCCTTGTACACGACATCATCCTCCTCCTCGCTGTCCCTGACCTCCACAATATCCCTGTCATCCCACCATCCATCCTCCCCATCTCCCCCGTGGCGTGCGGTCCGAGAGTGGTACCTCCCACTCCGGCCATCACGCCGTGGTGGTCTTCCCCACCGTTGGGGCGCAGGTTTGGGAGCTCGCGGCCGACCACCTAGACCGCCTCCCCGGAAAAAGCCTCGTCGATCGGCTTGTCAAGAAGGGCAGCGTGGCCCAGGATGACCACGCCGCTGGCGCCAATAAGGAACATCATCGTGCCGAGAACACCAGAGATGAGAGCGATGGGAATGGCAATGACCCAGAGGCCGGTGTAGAGCTGGACGGTCGACCAGCGGTTCTGGCCGAACTCGAAGTCGCGGCCCTCCATCTTGCCGATGAAGTACATGCCAGCCGTGACGAATATGATATCGAAGAGTAGCAGCCAGTTGGTGACGACGCTGTAGACGGCGATCAGGCAGAAGACCAAGGCGTAGTTGCTCGAGAAGTAGCCCAGGTTGTAGTTAATGCGCGACTGCATCTCGCCGAAGTTGTCAGGCTTGTTCATGCGCTTGAGGTCGAGGAACTCAGAAAGGGGCCGCAGGTTCGATAAGCGGCTGGTCAGCGAGCCCGAGCGCAGGCTGGCGAGGCGGTCGCCCACGTTGAGGCGCGACGTGAGCACGTCGATGGGGATGGATATCCGGGCCATTTTTCCTTTTCTTTTTTCTTTTGTGTGTGTGTGTGTGTGTGTGTGTGTGTGTGTGTATTTGATGGATTGACTGTATTGTAAGAGATCAGAAAGCAGGACGACTGCGATTGAGTCGGAAAGTCGATGATAGATGGCGGCTTGGGTCAGTGTGGGAGATCTGGCAACAAACACTTCGGCGGTCAGTCCCTGGACGAATAAAAATAAAACTCCTGGCCAGCTTGGGGCAGCGCAGCCACAAAGTCAGGGGCAGCGGGGACCCGGGAGCGGCGCGAATGAAACGTCGCCAGCGGGCTCCGGTGGGCTCCAGTGGGTACGTACACTGCTCCACTGCCCCTCTATGCCTGTGAAAAGTGGCAGCGCGAAAGTTCGGATGGAGTCGATTCGTACCTGACCGAAGACTTGACGCTCGATGGGTAATGCCTGATGCTTGATGCAACAGGCGCGAGTGTCGTGTATTGATGTGTAATCCGCAAATGGATTACGATTCGGATGGAAGAGATGAACGTCTGTTCAAAGGGATTGCAAATCAATGGGACTCGAAAGCCAGTGTGACAAGCCACAGAGCTGGCCCCTCAACGACCACCAGCCCTGCAGCGCGGGGCTAATGGTCCTCGCTGAACCCGAACCCTGGCCTGCCGTCACTGGCGGGGCTGGGGTGACTGATTCCGAAGACAGACGCAGGCTCTCGATCCTCCGTCGATCGTCCCTCAAGACAAGTCTGGGACAGACTCGAGGGGAGGAAAAGGCTTGAGAGAGAAAGAGAGAGGGGAAACGATCATCGGCGGACGGGAACTCAACTGCCTTTTCTAGCTGCCGAAATATGGACCCGGTCGGACGTTGGGCAGAGTGAGATGCCACTTCGCCTGTTACCCATGCCCGCTATCCGCTGCGGTGCCCGCATTGCCTGGGCTCAGATTGCTTTGCTTTGCTTTCCTTGCAAGTTACAGCACCGCTAAGCTGATGAGTTGGCTGGTGGGGCGGCAGCTTGCGTCTGCAGTTCCTCCGCAGCCAGCCCGGTCCCCGTTTGCGCATCGCATTTGAATCTGAGCCTGGGCAGAAGGGTCTGGGCCAGTCAACGGCTGCAGACATGAGGCATCAAGATCGTCAGAGGCGGGGCCATGGCGAACAAGGTGTCGCATATGTGGCCTAACCCAAGCAGCATCACAGTCTGATCTGGCGTACGGATTACATGGACGTCCAAACGAGATACACGAAGTCCATGAAGCACGACACCGTTGCTGGCTGGCATCGTGGCGGGCTCCCGAGAGATTTGGGCTGGTAGTCGAGATCCCGGATGCCAACCGGATGCCAACCGGATGCGGACCATTGCTGCCCCTCAGTGCCAACGCCACTGGTTGTTGATGATGGCGATATTTGGTTTTTATAGATCAGTCTCGATTTAAATCTTGCTATGGTGGGGGGGCCTATCTCGGTGAGCCCCTCAGTGATCTCTAGACCGAGGTGAGGGGCTTCAATCTTCGGCATCACAAGCAACATGCCAGCCGCACCGGCCCATTAAACTCTCCACTCTTAACTTCCTGATCTTTTGACTCACTGCAGCCCCCCTACGGCATAAAGAAAAAAAAGGAAAGAAGGCAGTGAGGCAAACTGGGAAGCTAAGGATGAGAACTGACTGGAAAGTAGAAAAGAAGCATGATAATTACTCGTTTAGCCCCTGCCCTAGGGCCCATCACAAATTCATACTTCTAATTCAACCTTCTACAAGTCAAAAAGCAACCGTGTCTGTATTGCCAACCCCTCAAAGACCCTCCCCTGATCTATTTTTGCGGACCTCCGAAGTGGCCAGGGCCAAAATTACAGCCGACACCGGCCCTTTATGGATTTATGAAATGCTACACAACCTGCAGGATTCTACGTGACGTCAGGCGTAACCACCACGAACGCGTGCAACCCATGACAAGCAAAGCCTGCTTCATGCTAATGAGGGCTCCATGAACCCGGATCGCGGGCTGCGGCGAAGAGAAAGACCTGAAATCTGGAGAGAATCAAGTAGTAGGAAATAATTTTTGGAAATGCCCAGGGAGTGTTGCAACTGGTAGCTTCTTCTCTGGGTTTTTGGGGCTCTCCATGTATGTTCTTGTGGCATTCTGCCGGGAAACGTTCGACGGCAGCAGCACGCGGGTTTTTGCAAACATGTTCTGACTGCACACACGCACACACACAAGGAAGCCTTGGATACACACCTACTCTGGGCCTTTAAGTTTTGACCTTCCGTGTCCTCGTCCCATCCTTGATTGATGACTCCTTCCAGCACGCTCAAAGCAATGGTGTGGCATGACCGTAACTTGGAGGGATTGCTCCGGGATGCAAAAAAATATATCAGTAGCTCTTATCAAGTTTACTCCTGAATTGCTGTCTCGGTAGCCCGTATGAACATAAGAGATTCGTGTTCGATTTCCAAAACTACGTTAACATGGCATCTCTCAAACTTCTTACCACTACCAGTCTCCTAGCTCCCCTCATCTCTGCTCTCCCAGCACCTTTTTGGCAGAGCAATCCGGTTCCTAAGCGAGTAGCGCCAATTCCCCCTTTCAGAGTAACAGAATTTGCTGCAGGGGCGGTGGTACTCAGCAACAGGAACTAGTAAGAGCACTCCGCCCCGATTCCAAGCATAACTGTTCCCCTCAACAATACCCATACTAATATAGGTTCTCAGCATCCACTTCACCCTCACGCTCTCCCTTGCCGAGCCCCCCGTCTACTGCCACGCCCTTGGCACAGTGCACAACGAAGCGATTGGAAGTGTCCCGCAAACATGGTGTACCAAACGACCTCTGGCCGAACTCGTTGAAGACACTTTCCTCGAGCCGGAACTGGCGACAGGGGAAGAGATTAAGACACTATACGATCATGAGGAACCTCAAGTCTGGTTCACATTGACCGTCCAGGATGAGGAGGAGAAACAGCCGTTGCCGATCGGGAATGATACCATCCTTGATGTGAACAAAACCTCACATGGGGCACTTAATCGGCAGGCTAGTACCCTTGGAGGAACTCGTGTTAGGGGGAAAGGAGGCCCGGGGAAGCTGGGGGGAGCTGAGCTGCGAATTGTCAGGCATCTGCACGCGGGGAACGGGACGACCGTATGGGATGAAGCGATACATTATATTGATGGGAAGGAGACGCCTTGGGTTGGGGAAGGGTTGCTGGCTCATCAGGTGTATGCTGGGCCGGAGGAGTTTTGGGTTCGGGCTTGGAGGTTTGAGAGTGTTGAGGCATGATGGTGTCTGTTTGGAGTTGGGGACTAAAAGTAAGGAGATGAATGATATGGGGCAGGCTGTTAAATAGATCGTCAAAACGTTGACATTAAACTGGATAGGGATAGCAAGAAGTGAAACGGAAAGCTGGGCTTCGCGTATTTACAGAGGGGAAAAAAAAGTTATCTACGGGCTGCTGGTAGAGTCAAAAGCCCTCATACCTTGTTTATAACCACAAAAATGCCTGTCTGAGGACTTCACAAAGACACACACCCGCCAGCGCTGTCTTCCACAAAGAGTCCTCCATAGAGAAGCCCCTCATCAAGATTAGGTGACTGATAGCCCGAGTTCACCACATCACTGGTCCCCGTCGGTTTCTTCAGAATACCAATTTGGAACTGACCCTCACCCGCATTGTTGTTGTACACAGCGCTGGTTACCGCGGTCAGGGGCTCATCATCCTTGGAGTAGTAGACTTGCAGAGTACTACGCCAAAACGTCAGCTCTCCCATTCCCTCAACGACTCAAACCAACCCCTTTGTTTACAAGCAACTTACTTCTTCTCATAATCCACCGTAATCGCGAAATTCTGCCACCCCTCCCTCTCAATCTTCACCGCCCAGATCTGCCTATTATTCCGATCCAACACCTTCCACGTGTCCGCCGGCAACTGCGTCTGCCCAAGAATCGCACCTCCTTCGAAATTAAACTGATTCGCCGAGTAGTCCGCCGTCTCATGCCACACGTTCAAATACTCATGGCTCAAGTTCAACGGCCGGGCATTATCCCACCTAACACTAAAATGAATCGTCTTGACGCCCTTGCTACCCGCACTGCCAGTGTTGCTGTCCCCCTGAAATTGGAGCCCGGCCCGACGGAACCCGCGCTGGTTCATGAAGATGCTTGCGTCGCTGATGGTGACTTCAATGGGTTTGTGTTGGTCGGGGTCGTCGAAACGAGATGGAGACACAGAGGGGAACTTGATGATGTCGGACCATTTGAGGGTTTGGCCTTTGACGTAGTCCGGGTTGAAGGGGGACGTGCTGTAGCTGTCGAAGTCAGTGAGCTGGGTGGTGGTTTTTATGCGGCCGTCGAAGATGATGGGGCATTTGATGGTGCCTGGTGCGGCAGCGGCGGAGGGGGAATGGGGGTGGCGGCTTGGAGGTCGGGCGAGGACCGCTATCGCGGTGGTGAGGAGGGTAAGGAGGAGAGAGCGGTGCATTTTGCTATGGGTTGGAAGAGACGAGAGCGATGCAAGGACACTGCAGACTAGTGATTCACCATCACTAGAGCATCCAAGATCTTCCAAGGTCATATATAAGCCAGCTCTTCCGGTCAGCACATCATAAACACTCCTCCTCCTCGCTCATCCTCCCCATCCTCCCTTAATTTCTTCTCTCGGCGCTCAGTCATGCTTCGAAATCATTGCGGAGGATGAGGCCATCGCCGGCTGAATTCACGCCGCAGCCAGCGGTGCCTTTCCGAGCCGCGGAGGGTCCATTATGCTGTCTTCCGCACCATCTAAATGGCGGAATGACAATGTCGCCGCCGTGCCTTGTTGCCGGAAGGAAGCTAGCTTCCGAAGAGCTAAATTGATTGTGGAGACAGCAGTTGGGCAAGGGAACCCTAACCCTTGTGCCATGCCACTTTCCCACAGCCGACGAACCCTAACCCTTGGGCAACCCCTGGCAACGTTTCAGGGGCTTCAGGGGGACGGTAGACGCAAAGTCTCCAAGCTCACTGTTGTCAGGGAAGAGAGAGGAGACCACAGATTATAGTTGAACGTATAGTGTCACGTTCAGGGTAACTCTGGTAACTTGACTAGTATTGAGTGTTAGGTATGGGCTGCAAGCGGAAACACTCCGTCAGTTCGAACCTCTCCAGCATCCGCCCCCCAGACAACCCCTTGAGAGAATGAGAGAGCTTTGTCTCAGGCGCCCAGGAGAGGCATATCCTCCAGCCATCAACGTCATGCCTCTCTTGATTTCGCGAATAGAGTTGTCAAGATATTATGCAAGTCCAGAGTTCTCCCGGGCTCGGACACCGAGAAAGTCCCAGATTCAGGATAACGATGTCTGTATAGAGACCCGCGACTTGGACATGGTCAGTATGTGTACTCTCAAATCATCTAGTCCCGTATCAAGTCCATATCGAAAGCCTGAGCATCGCTAACCCTTCACCCTTCCAAGATCCTCAAAATGGCCGAACCTCCCCAAAACTCCCCAGAAGCCCAACAACCCAATTCTCCAATCTCCCCACCCCTCCCACCTGCAATACTTCGATGTCTCCGGCGATCCCATTTGCTGCTTCTCCTACGCTAACAGGGTCATCGCGATGAACGATATCCGAAGTGCCCAGTTAACCGGATCGTGCGCATTCTGGGGTACCGTATACGGCCTGAAGGTCAGGAGCCGCAACTTCGCCGCGGGGATTGGCATGACGCTGAAGACCATGATTGACGAGCTGAGTTGAGGTGTTTTGCTAGTATGGTGGGTTTTTCCTATTTTTTTTTTCCTGTGCAAGACTTTCATGGCCATGGAGTAGACGATGAATCGATGGACCGCTCACTCCTGGATAGCTCTACTGCGCCCGCAATGAAACCATATTCCGTATGGTGGCTGGGACGCAGGCACGTGGCAGGAATGCTATTATCTCCCTTATTTTTGATACTGGCGATTTGGGAGGACACGCTCAGGTGTGTGCGTACGGCACGGTGACCATCGTTTAAGAAGATCGATCATGAGAGAAGAGTGGGAAGAATCAATCAAGGCCTCAGAGGGAAGTCCTTGAGTTGGGGAGCGTGGGTAGCATTTATATGCACATTGGTAGTTTACTGTGTTCCTGAAGCGGAATGGAGAATAAGGGGCTATGTATGCGCAACCCGCAACTTGAATATTAACTGCTGCGGTGCTGAAGTTATGCACACGATGTGAAGCTGAGATATGTGCCTTCAACGCCAAACGCCATGCCACGCTAATACCCAAGCAGTACTAACAATAATTAACCAAACCTTATATCATACGGATGCCCGCTTTGTCTTTGTCTTCCCATTAGGCTTCGCGTTGTTAACTTTGAGCCACTCCCCATTGAAGGCATTGATGAGCCAGTTCGTGAGTTCTGCCAGTCAAAGTTAGCGACCATTCCCTCCAAATTTTCTCCAAGAAAGCCACTTACTGTCATACACGATCCTATTTGCGTTATGAAAATAAATCCCATGATCACTGTCCGGAAAAACATGCACATCATAATTTTCCACACCCACAAGATCCAGCCGATCCAGCAGCGTCAGCGAATTCTGGAAATGCACGTTATCATCCGCCACACCATGCATGATCAAAAACCGCACATTCTGCGCCAGCGCCGTCACATTTGTAATCGCGCTCACGTCATACCCATGCCCATTCTCCTGCGGTGTGAGCATATACCTCTCGGTATAAATGCTGTCATAAAACCGCCAGTCCGTCACGGGCGCGACCGCCATCCCATACCGGAACGTCTGCCCCGCGTCCTGTTCCAACGTCTTGAGCGTGTTGAAGCCGCCAAAGCTCCAACCCCAAATCGCCATGCGCGTTTCGTCGACATACTTCTTCTTCGCCCAGATCTTACCGGCAGCGATCTGGTCGTGGGATTCCCAGTGTCCCAGGTTGCCGCGTGTGATGATGCGGTTCTTGCGGCCGATATAGCCCGTGCCGCGGCCATCGACGGTCACGACAATGTAGCCCAGGCCGGCGGCGACATAAGACTGCCAGTCGACGTCCCACTTCTTCTTAACCATCTGCGAACCGGGGCCGCTATACTGGTAGAAGAGGACGGGATACTTTTTGTTTTCGTCGAAGTGTGGTGGGCGGCGTTCGACGTAGTTCAGCTTGACGCCGTCAACTTCGATGGTGCCGTAGATCTTGATGGGGAGCTCGTACTTCTTGGCGTTTTCGGCTAGCTCTTTGTTCTCTTCCACGATGTATTCGTACTTCTTAGGGTTGCTGGGTGTGCTGATGACCTTTTGCCAGGGGATCCTGGGGCCTTGGTAGGACAGCAGGAGGTAGCCCGCGCCGGTGGAGAAGGAAGCAGAGTAGTAGCCCTCTTTGGAGGTGTCAGTCACGGGGGCTAAACCCTCGCCGGTCAGTGAGACCTGGTAGACATGTCTCTCGATCGAGGATTCCTTCGTCGCAACAAAGTAGACAATATTCCTCTCCAGGTCAACAGCATATTCAGAGTCGACAACCTCCCAGTCGCCCGAGGTAAGCGTGATAGGCTCCGGATTGTCCAGCGGTGTGAAGTAGTGCAAGTGATCGGCATCCCCGTTCACCATCAAGTCAATGTAACCATCATGCGGCCTACCCTTGGCCGGGTCGGAGGGGATGTATTTGGTCTGATGCGTAATCTCGAACCAGCCACCATCCAGGGCCTTGACATCCAAGACCCGGACTCTCTTGCCTGTGCGCGCAACCGGGTCGATCAGGTTGAGGTGCATGATATCGCTAACACGATTGGTCTCCTTGACCAGCACCTTGTCACCGGCCCACACAACCTCGGTGATAAGCCGATCGTCGTCGGGAAACCGGTCTGGGATGTCGACTGGGAAGACCTCACCACGAGAGACATCGTAGAACAGGAGCTCTACGATGGGGTTGTGCGCGCCAGCCTTGGGGTACTTGATCCAGAGTGTTTCAGGATAGTTCTCCTCGCCTGGCTTGGGCTGCTCGCCGCTGGGCCGTGACAGGAAGTATTGCACCGGGTATTCCGGCACGCCGGTCTCGTTGGTGCGTAGGAAGGCGATATACTTGCCATCGTCGGACCACCAGGTTGCGCTCGAGCCGGAGAAGACTTCTTCCTCGTAGACCCAGTCGGGCACGCCGTTGAACACCTCCGGGCTGCCGTCGGTGGTTATTTGGGTCACCTTGATAGACCCGACATGGCGTAGGTACATATTGTTCTCTCTGGTATAAACAACGGCGTCGCCAGTAGGACTCCATTTCGCAAGCTGGATGCGGGCGCCAGGCTCGCCTGGCACCAGGGGCTCAGCCTTCTGGGTCTTGACATCAAAGATCCAGTAAGCCGCGAAGTAGGAGTGCCTCCAGTTGCGCTGCACGTCCGTCGCAATGAGGACTCGCTGCAGGTCCTTGCTCGGCTCGACCATATCAGCCATGTAAGTCTTCCCGCCGTAGTCAAACCATCCGCTCTCAATCAAGGTCCTTGGGCCGGGAACCTCGTCGCGAGTCGGCTTTCCAGTCTTCGATCTAATATCCTCGACAACCACAAACGGCTTCCCAGGGGCACCCTTCTCCAGCAACAAACCATCCTCTCCATTGGGACCAGCAACCCAGCGGATGGAGTGACTCTCCGGACGCCAGAAGCTGCCCATGACCTGGTCCATTGTAATCGCCTTCCCCGAGCCGCGATGCGCCCCCGTCGCCGCGGGGTCATGCTCGACCTTAGACGGGTGCTGATAAGACTTGGTCGAGACATAGACAACTAACCCACCCAGCCAAGCAGCTACCAGTAGACCGGCAACGATCAGAAGGATCCTGCGCATGCCGCGGTCCATTTCCCGTTCTCGGGGCTTGCCATGTTGCCCGTCGCGGCCGTTACCAAGGAACGGGCCAGTCTCGAGGTCATCGTCGTTGACATCATAATCATTATCGTACGGCTGCTCCTTGTCTTTCTTCAGAGCGGCAGCGGCCTTTTCGGCAGCGACGCGCTCGTCGATCCGGTCAAAGACGATGCTGGTGGTGGAAACGGAAGACTCGGACGATTGCGACATCCTTCTGGAGGGGCTGCCTGTGCTCTTATCATCATCGCGACTCGAGCCGGGTCTTCGAGGAGGGTTGTCGGTGTAAGGGGGCATCGTAAGAGTAAGCTTTCAGCTCGGCCGGCAGCCACGTAGCAGTAAAGCAAGAAAGGGACCGGGGACAAAGCGATGAGAGGATGGGACGCTGGGCCAAGATCAAACAGACCCAAGCGACCCGTCCAAACAATAACACCGGCTCCTCAGTCGAATGGTCAATGAATAGCGTAGGGAGAGGTAAATTGGTATGGCTAGGCTAAAGGTTACGATGGTGTCTTTGTTGGATGCGAGATGACACCATGACTGATTGCACCGCGATAGGTATTCACCACCTCCCCAATTGGAGGTGCTGTCAGCAGCTGCACCAACTCCCAGGGGGGATTGGGCGTGACCCGGCTCTTGGCAACGGCGTTGAATTCGTACCCTAACCCTTTTCTGCTCTACTAAACCTCGGCTTCGCTATTTTCCCGCCCGGGGGAGCCATCTTCGCCCCCACACCTCTTCACCTGGGTTTGAGTTCATCAGCTTAGGGCCAACACCAGGCCTGCGTTTGAAACAACGTCAATCGTGTCACCCACGAGAGCCTTGCAGTTCCATTTTGTTTCGAAGCCTAACCACTTGCGTGTTTCCAACTCTGATCATCGATCTAAACTTGTCTTACAATATGTTTCAACAACGTGGTAGGCTGGTTAACTCTGCACCACATCTCGACTTGTGTCACTCTGCCATCAACGACTGAAATGTGTTCCCATCACGATATATATTGACTCTTTTGACGAGGCGATTGGGATTTTCGGGACGATCTCTGTGGGGTCTTTCCATGCAAAGAGCCTCGATGTCTTGTGACAAGTGACAATATTACCATCGGTTTAAGCACCCAGGGGGACGTTGGCTCCGAGTCGGTAGCCGCTGACCACCCATGCATCCCGAGCCTGGTGGTCATCCCGACCGGGTTGTTCCACCCACCGGCCCAGCCTACATTGACAGGCTAATATCATGGTCGGGAGTGTGGGATGAGGAAGATACCAATGAATGACATCTGGAGGCTAATTTTAATTGCCAACATTTTTCCCCGGGATCCCCTGGATCACGGAGTTTATGCATTGAAGAATACATTGGGTGATGTGCACAAACTCCCACAAACTGTTATCAAGATTTACTCATCACTTGCTTCTCATTTATATTCGGGTAGCTGTCATACCTCGCGGTGTTTGTGTGAATTGGTCGCCTGTGACCCACATTATTCCCCTTTTACCTAGGGTCATCAAGATGCCCTACTCTTTTGCTGTCGAACCCTCCATCAGTTCGTTTGCCACTTCAAGGACTGAGCAAGGCGTTCTTCGTTCCGGACCGGTCAAGTCATCCCAATGGAACCAAATACAGCTAGACGGACTTTATCAGCTAGTGGTCTGTGAAGTCCGCCAAGATGGCATCACATACCCCCTGGACAGGGGAAGTAGACAAGCATTCGCTGTCGCCTCCGTGCTGGATCTTGGCTTGCGGATGCTAGAGAGCCCACGGGGAAGGGACTGTAAGAACCTATTGTCCAGTTCTCGGTTCGGCTACTGATACTCTCTCCCTCTAGGTCTCGCAAGCCTTGCTCACAAAGCCATCCGTATCTGGAGGGAACGTCCAGTGCCCGACCCGACGCGTGAGTGCGCCTTGATAAACGTAGGCGAGGCAGTCAACGAATTTTTGCGCAGTGTGAGGCATAGCTTTCCCCTCGTGAAGCTGAACGACCGCAACGGGTTCTGCCGTGACGAGAGCTCTAAGAGAGATTTCTCAGCATGGACCAACACTGAGTCATCCTCGTCAAGCCGCCAGTTCTCTTTTGACCCCAAGGCTGCTGCCGTGTTGCATTTGAACTCTCAGGTCAGAAACATCCGCTATAGTGTCTTTGAGTTTGAAAATATTGCTTGATACTAACACCTCCCCCCCTCCTTTTAGCTCGTCCGTGACCTCTACCTCTCCCGTCTGAAAGCCAGCACCGCCAGCCGGCACCATCCCCGCTCCTACGACAACCCTGAGCAGCGAAAACACACAGCCCGCTTCCGACGCTTCCAACTTCACCTTGCCGCCATGGTCACGCACCACCTTTGCCATCTGTTTGTGAACTTCCTCCGGCAGCAGGGACCCTTGGCCTTAGAGGTCACCGACGCTGACATGATGCGCCTTGTCAGCCGATATGACCCAGGGGCAGAGTTTGAGGTGGAGTTCTTTGGTGGTAGACTGAAGTTGTTCATAGACTGGCAGCAAGGGAATAGTAGTGCGGATGAGGAAAAGGAGAGCTACGAGGGGAAGAGTTACGTCATCCGTCGCGGGGGAAAGGGCAAGACTCTCGGTGGAGGGGCCACAAGAAGAGTGGCTGCGCTTGTGGCTGAGTACAAGATTGAGAGCTACCTTTCAGGAGGTATGTTTTCCCTTTTCCTATCTCTTCCAAGGCTCTCTCTCGGCCCCTTTATGTGCAAGAAACTGACCGCCATTTTGCAGACTTTTCTATCCCTCTGCTCTCCGAAGTTGAGGGAGACGTATTGGAGCTTGACTGGTACCACGACATCAAGAGAAAATATAGCACCCCTCGTAATTCACGGTCGAATGAAGGCAGCCAGGAGTCCAGGCGTGTTGCCGAGATCGGATCATTGTCATATCAGCTCACTCTGACCACACCCTGGAGTATACAAGGCGAAGAGTATGAAATGCTGAAGAAAACTTCGCTTGACCCGGATGTTTGTCTTGCCAAAATGGAGGAGTACTAGAGTTCTTTTGGGATGTTTAGGTAGTGGTTGCCTAATGCAAAAGGTCTCAAACGAGAATAGGGGCTTGGAAGTCCAAAAACAAAGGGTTTTCGCTGGTATCCTCCGTGACACCGTCGCAAGCAAGACAGCTCATAACCCTTTAGATGTACAACACTAGCCTGTTAAAACTTAGTTTTCAGCTTTTCAAAGCTGAATCCCGTTGAGGCTGCGCTCTCACATCGTAAGTGATGCCTTTGCACTCGCATTAGCCTGAGGCCCATAATGCGACCCGACAGCCCTCCGCTCTCGCAGTGACCGATAATCCAACCAAGACGTATTCCGTACTGATTCTTCCATCAGTTGCTATGATGGGAGAAATATCCTGCCCCGAGCTCAGCTACTGGCTCCGTTCACACAATTTGGAAATAGCCTCGCATCGAGATGCGGGAAAGACGAGCAGTGCCGACATAGACCTGGAGGATATCTCCGATGGCACCAACACTGATCCAAACTGGCAAGTCGGCGACGAAGCCAGCTGTCAAAATCGGCCTTGCCGAAGTTTTTTGCACACACAAAAACGCTGACGCGCGTCCGTCTGTCGCAGGTGTGGGTGGCCTGAAACTTTTGGTTCACCGCCTAGTGGCGGCGGACTGGAGATTGTGTGGCTAGATGATGAGGCCACTACGTCCCGAGCTGTTCTGCTTTGAAAAACCTGTGTGAACACTAGAGCAAAGAAAAAAAAAACTACCATGCCCTTGCCCTCGTGATCGTTCACACCCGTGTAGAGCGCCATATCGGACACTTTTCCGTAAACTCTTGTAATGCCAGTGTTTTGCTGGAATGGATACCTTATTATGTGACCAGAGCTTGGTTGCTCAAATCGCGAGCCTTCAAACTCAGGGATTGTCTAAGAGTCCAGACAACGCAACATCAGAGGTTATTTTTATCAACAGATCTGGATATTTAGACTCTGTAGTCTCTGGGATACAATAGTTTATTTATCTATCGGTGGTAGAAGTTTGTAGAATTATTCAGCCTGGTCGCATACTTCAGGGGTAGATGAAACGGGTGGCGTTCGGCATGCACGCAGCGCGCTTAGGTTTATCCAAACCTTTACGGTGCTCCCTTAGAGCCTTTTTTAAGTGACTCTATGTCGTTCCTGCCTTAGTATTCATGTTCCCGTAGATGGTCCATTTCGAATCAGTAAGCCTTTTGTTCTGTCCGTTTCAAGGGGTTGTGCAGCTCAGCAACCGCTGGGTTCCCCAAAAGGGCAGATAGCGCGGCTGAAGCGTGCGACTGTCTTGAGACGCACAAATATACGACGAACAGAAAATGTGTCATTGGCGTCCATGATGCGATTGAGGACCAAAGTTCGCCTGTAGGCTATCTTCAAGTCTATTTTGGAGACGGTTGAACGCCTGGGCTTTGACCCTCCCTTATTGTAGCCTGCCTCACGCTGCAAGTATCTGAGATCCCCTGAACGGAACGGCCGGTAACCTTAGAGCACCGTGGAACCTCGATCTCCTAATGAGGCGAAGGAGAAATAATACGGATCAGGCTGTTGTCAAGGCAGTCCCATCTACCGTTTGTCCATTCTGCTAGTACGGGGTGCCCTGGCAGTCATTATTTCTAGAGCCTGCTGTTCACTAAGTGCTAGAATAGGGAGAATATAAAACAGTTAGTTCATTCGGTGACTAAATTTCATCCCTTCCCTGAAAGTTATACTGTCTTCCGTAATACCTATTATTTAAGTTGTAGACCCCATCTAAGCGCCAACCCCTGAACTCAGACCCATCATGAAGACCACAGCTACTCAGAACGAAACCGCTAACTACTCGAGAATACCGGAGTTTGAAGCGCTGCAGACCCAAGCGCAATCCTTCAATAATGCAGCCGGAGAACTGCAAGACGTTGAAGCGAGTGTTACTCCGGAGCAGCTTTCCCAAGTCAGGGGGCCTCAAGAGAGCCTTTACGTCCATCATTCTCAGCAGACTGGAGTTTGGGCCAGCAGTTGGCAACCGCCCCAAGCGCTCGAAGGCTCTCCCTATCATCTCAAATACCAGGACATCAACCTCCTTCCGCGCTATAGGGACTATACCCCTTCTCCTACCCCTGAATATGGAGAAACTCTGGAAGAGAGGATCCGTGGAGTCGGAGCCCATTTAACGGAGTTTGAACCGATGCATGCAAGAAGCGATAGTAATGGCAGCCAGAAGTCAGTCATATCCATCTTTGATGGGAGTCAGCGCTCTGGCGCTGCTCCGCAGGCTGCTGCTGGGACCGACAACTCTCCAGCAGAGACGGCTCCATTGGAGCAGACAACCGCCCCTAAATTCCGGCCTTACGCCTGCCAGCTGTCGAAAGGATTCAGGAGGAGGATTCCATTCCGCTTACTCCCGCCAGGACTCTCGGTCCCTTCCAAGGGATGACATCCCCGACGGAGAAGGTTTGTCTAGCCACCATGCTAGCGATCGCACAGAGTCACGCAGGGAAACTGACTCTTCAAACACAGTCCCAGAACCGTTCATACGATGTCGCTGACCATCGAACCGAGTCCTTCAAGTCGAAGAGGAAGCAGTTGCCGAGTCCTTCTCGCGCTGCTGGCGCAAGCAAGAGGTACAAGACGCGGAAGATACAGAATAACAGGGATTCAGACAGCGCTGTGCAGCCGGGGAAGACCAAAGCTCCCCTCAGCGGAAAGAAAAGTCTCAACAATGGAGACCAGACTGAGAAGGGTACTCAGTTTCCCGAGAAAGCCAGGAGGAAGTAAATATCGGCTGAGATGAGTGCGTTCTGGATGCGTCTCATCTACAACCCCCCGATCTGAGCTAATTCTTTAAAAGAAACGTCAAACTGTGCTCTTTCCATACAAACCCGGGAGTGAAAAAACAGACTAAAACGACTATCCTCCGGGTACTTCCATCAACTCAGCAAGCTTCTATCAAAGAGCTGGTTCTCTCCAAGGAAGATCACGCTGTTGCATCTCCTCACCCATTCCCCCATAACGGCCTGCAACGGATCATTAGATAGATGTTGGTAACAACGCAAAGGATAATATGGTTACGGTCAAATTAGCATGACATTTCCCTTTCCATATGAGCTTATAATCTGAAGTCCTTTTTTTTGTTTTGGTCGTGGTCTAGGTCAGACTGCTGGAGTTGGATACTTCATTGAAGGGTTTGAACAGGGCAGGGCCAAACTTAATTTTCTCGACGCATGTCTGTTGTTTGAATATTCGATGCAATCCCGGTCATTCTACAGATTGTTTGAAAAGAATGAACTGAGTTCTGTTTCCTTCGCCTTCGAGTTGTCTTTGAATCACTTGATGCTAGAGTTGTGGGTGAGATATATCACCCAGCGTATTTTGTGTGAGAGGTACAACGTGACGAGCTGGGCTTGAGTCTTGGATGGGATGAAACTAGGCTGGGCTGTTGGGCTTGGCAAATGGTGAACAAATGAAATTTAAAAGGCGCTATAATGAGGGGGAGGGGCAGTAGAGGGGAAGTGCCGAAAGATGATATGCTGCCAGTGAAGATAATAGAGCATTTGGTCCCTGCTGGTAAATAGGCATCGAGATTATGGAAGAAAAATGGTTTAAAACATCGTTTTCCACTCCTGTGTCCAGCAGGTTGGGCTGTTGAGGACAGCAGTTGCTGAAAGGCTTCATCCCGCATACCCTCAAGCTCTGCCACATTCTCCGGGATTACCCGGAAACCGAGACCCCGGTAACACAAACATCCAGAGGGAATCTCGAGTAAAAATTCTAGGGGATGGAAGGCTCAGGCCCAAATGATTCTGCAATAGCAAAGAGATATCGAAAAAACCGTGGATCAGCCGGGCAATCGCAAAAAGGCGCGTTTCACGAGTGAGCTTCCGGTTGTGTTCGAGAGCTCGAGGTAGGAGGTTGCCGAGTGGAGTCTCTCGGGAGTCTGAGAGAGAGCAAAATTCTCGCTGACGGCTGATTGGCTGGTACTCAGCTCAGGGCCCACCATCCAGTCTTCCAACCCAGGCCTGCCAGCCCTTTCTCGACAATTTTCCTCACGCCGGCTCCTCCAAACTTCCCATCAACTCCTCCGTCTCAATCTCCCCTCCACGCAATTGCAACTAGATTGCAATTGTTTCCCCTCGACACGTGAGGCGACCACACACATTCAAGATGTTCCGGAACGCCCTCCGACAGAGCACCCGCGCCGTCGGTGCCCTCTCTGCCTCGAGCAGAGTCCTCGCTGTGAGTGACAACCTTCTCCGCCCGACCGACCCGGTGTCAATTCCATCAACCGTCGCCCGCACGCCATCTCAATCCGCCTGCATGCCCTCTAGAGCTCAATTGAGCTTTTGAATGGCCTGCGCAGTCGAATTGAGCCAGCGCTGGAGCTTGGAGATGGGAGCTGCGAATTTTTTGCTGTTTTTGGCGCCCTGCTTGGGTTTCGGCTTGCTAACTTGTCCGGAACAGCGAAATGCCGCACCCGTCGTTGCTGCTCGCCAAACCCGCACCTATGCCGAAGCTAAGGCCTCCCCGACCGAGGTCTCTTCCATCCTCGAGCAGAGGATCCGCGGTGTCCAGGAGGAGGCTGGCCTCGCCGAGACTGGCCGCGTCCTCTCTGTCGGGTATGTGTTTCAGTGTTGGGAAAGTGAGAGGTCTTGGCGGTGGTCATCACCACCATCGCCGGCGCCGTCCCATGAGATATCGGACTCGGAGACCGCGGGCCCGCATCATACGGCCGGGAATCGGCTCCGCACGGAGAATCTAGGCTGACTGCGCCTCCCTTACAGTGACGGTATCGCCCGTGTGTATGGCATGAACAACGTTCAGGCCGAGGAGCTTGTCGAGTAAGCATGACCCCTCTTTAGTGAGAGTATGTGGGGCCTAACGCCTCTCAGGTTCGCCTCTGGCGTCAAGGGCATGTGCATGAACCTCGAGGCCGGCCAGGTCGGTGTCGTGCTTTTCGGTTCTGATCGTCTCGTCAAGGAGGGTGAGGTCGTCAAGCGTACCGGTGAAATCGTAGGCCACCCAGGACCCTTATATCAATCCCAGCAATCTTCTAACATAAAACCAGGTCGATGTCCCCGTCGGCCCCGAGCTTCTCGGCCGCGTCGTCGATGCTCTGGGCAACCCAATTGACGGCAAGGGCCCCATCAACTACAAGGAGAAGCGCCGTGCCCAGCTCAAGGCCCCCGGCATTCTGCCCCGCCGCTCCGTCCACGAGCCTGTCCAGACCGGTCTCAAGTCCATCGACGCCATGGTCCCCATCGGCCGTGGCCAGCGTGAGCTGATTATCGGTGACCGTCAGACTGGCAAGACTGCCGTGGCTCTGGATGCGATCCTCAACCAGAAGCGCTGGAACAACGGCACCGACGAGAAGAAGAAGCTTTACTGCATTTACGTCGCCGTCGGCCAGAAGCGTTCCACCGTCGCTCAGCTCGTCAAGACCCTTGAGGAGAACGATGCCCTCAAGTACTCCATCGTTGTCGCTGCCACTGCTTCTGAGGCTGCTCCTCTGCAGTACATTGCTCCCTTCACCGGTATGCTCCTTCCCTCAACCACCACAATCTCACACCCGCGCTTGTCGCCCCATTCCCACCCCACTTTCACCCCACTTTTTTGGCCTTACATCGTTACACCCATACACGGTTACCATACCACCATCCACACCTGCTCCTATCATCACCCACTACCCTCGTCGATGATTTGATTGTTTTTCGAAGTCTATATCAACGATGCTAACGTTAAAATTTCAGCCACGGCAATGGGAGAGTGGTTTAGGTCTGTAAAACCCGTTTTTGACGCTCTTGCTGTTTTGTAGTGTTCTAAGTGCTGACCGTTGATATAGGGACAACGGCAAGCATGCCCTGATCATCTACGACGATCTGTCGAAGCAGGCCGTTGCCTATCGTCAGATGTCTCTGCTGCTGCGTCGTCCTCCGGGCCGTGAGGCTTACCCCGGTGACGTCTTCTACCTCCACTCCCGTCTGCTGGAGCGTGCCGCCAAGATGAACGACAAGCACGGCGGTGGTTCTCTCACTGCTCTGCCCGTCATTGAGACCCAGGGTGGTGATGTCTCTGCCTATATTCCCACCAACGTCATTTCCATTACCGACGGCCAGATCTTCCTGGAGTCCGAGCTCTTCTACAAGGGTGTCCGCCCCGCCATCAACGTCGGTCTGTCCGTCTCTCGTGTCGGTTCCGCTGCTCAGGTCAAGGCCATGAAGCAGGTTGCCGGTTCCTTGAAGCTCTTCTTGGCTCAGTACCGTGAGGTCGCTGCTTTCGCCCAGTTCGGTTCCGATCTCGATGCTGCTACCAAGCAGACCCTCAACCGTGGTGAGCGCGTAAGTATCATCCAGGACAGGAAATTCTTGGGGAAAGAGCCGATACTAATATTCTCTACAGCTGACCGAGCTCCTCAAGCAGAAGCAGTACTCGCCCATGGCCGTCAACGAGATGGTTCCTCTCATCTTCGCTGGTGTCAACGGCTACCTCGATGCCGTCCCTGTCAACAAGATCCTCCAGTGGGAGGCTGACTTCCTGACCCACCTCAAGACCAACGCCCCGGAGATCCAGGCCGCCATCGACAAGGAGGGTGCCATCAGCAAGGAGACCGAGGCTAAGCTGAGGGAGGTCATTGAGTCCTTCACCAAGAGCTTCCTCGCTGCGTAAATCCGCCAGTAATACTTAGTGTTTTGGGGGATTCACGGGAGTTGGGCTCAGGGTGAAGGGTGGGAGGTGTCTATACCGCATCGGCCGTGTGTTTCTAGTCAGGGGGTTTTCCGTCTCGTTCGTGCTGGAACTAAAGGGACGACGCGTGAAGGGGAGATTCCGCCGTCAAACTAAATGTAAAATAGAGCGAGACAATCGAGCACCGAAATTCCTTTTGTCCTGAATTGATGGTTTCTTCCTAACATTGCGGCCCTTCTAGGCGTCAATCTGGAGCAGGGGTGTCTCTCTCATCCGGCGTCCGCCAAAACGTTCAAAGCGTTTTCATATCCTCCCGCTTTTCTCAGTCGACCACGCCAGCAGCGCAGAGAATACCCACAGTCGCTAAATCTGCTTTACTTCTTATTTTCATTTTTATCTTTCTTTCCCCCTTTTTCCATTTATTCTTCCATTTATTCTTCCAGTATTCTTCTATTGATTTTCCCTTTATTCATCTATTTATTTTTCCAATCCTTCTTCCCCTCCTTCTTCCATTTACATTCCATTCATTCCTCTATTACTCTCGTCTTCCTTCCTCCTTTATTATGCCTCTGAACGTAGCAAGCATTTATTATTAATAATTCGATCCGGGACCTTTTTTGCAGCTTATACTCTGTCATCTGAGAGTGTAAAATTGTTAATCTAGAAATGGTGATTGGCATATTCTCATCCCTTATCGTGGGGTGTAAATTCAAGCGGTAGAACAAAGTGGGGATCAAAGGTAAATGGGTGGGTATGAAAAAAGAGACGGAGCTTCAATTTACTTGAGTACTGCAGGCATCTAAGGTCTGTGGCGTTCCCTGAGGCAGCTAGCTATATCATATGAGTTGAGCATCATGCTATTGTCATCTTGCTCCTAATAGCACTGTTCCGATAAAAACTTTACATGCTTCCTACTCCGGTGGTGTAGACAACCATGATCTGTTAGGGAGGGTGATCTGTCCTACCATGAAGCTTGGTCTTTCTATGTCTTCCTTGTCCTATAACTTACATGAGTCTTACACTTTGTCTTGTTTGACGTCCAAACTAGGTTTTTTTTTTTTTTTTTTTTTGTCTAGTTATCACCCTTAGAACTCCCACCGAGAAATTAGTTGAGGGCTCGATCTCCCTTCTCTTCAGGGTCATTTTTCTTCGATGATACCTAGGCTTTTTATTATAACCATTTTACCCAATTATGTCTCCTTCCTAAATAATAACAGCTTCTGTGACTCTGTAAAAAGCGAAAAGACGTTTGGACATCTTGCTATAGTCATATGTGGAGAGCTCTGTCCCCTTTCAACCTATCCCCCTTTCATTCATTCCTCCTTCATTCCATTTCAATCCTCCATTTTTCCCCCCTTCCTTCTTCCCTCTCTTCTCCCAGTCTCCATTTTCATCTTGCGGTCTTCTACTCCTCGCAAACATTCTACCAACCCCGCAACCATCCTCCCGCCCCGTTCAACACCAAGACCGCAGCTCCAATCTACAGGTTTTCCCTCACTCCATCCCCTCTGACACATTAACACTCCCCAATGCATGATCACCATTTTGGACGTTTGTTGGGCATGATTAGTTTATGTTAGCACAAAGCATTTTGTTGTCGAGAAAACTGAAAAATGGGGAGAAGTGAGCTAAAGGAGCGAATTATTTTTCTTGACTTAGAAGGGGGAAGGGAAGGAGTGAAGCAGCATGGAAAGGACGGAATTGTCCAAGGCCTGAAGAATCGAAAGCAATAAGAAAGGGTACAAAAAAGAGAAGAAAACGGACAGCAAACCGGCCTCTCCTCTCTCACCGACCTTTCGCATGCCGAGTGGGCATGAGAAAGCCATAACTCTGACGCTGCGAAGTTTGGGTCTCCCGAGCTGCCCGACCCCAGGATTTCGCATTGCAGTAATGGTTGTGCGGTTGGTGGGATTCTTCTAGCAAGCCCTGGCTCACTCGAGGACGACAATATTTGTGGAAAGTTAGGTTGGGCAATTGGCCTATGGGGCAGCTGGGCAGCAGGACACGAACATTACTCGACATTCGCCTGACGCTGACAGGCATCCGGCAGTCTCCGTATTTTGCATGGAGGAGCCAGTGGAAGGGCCTGAGACATGGTTGTAATGCCCCGAGGCTGGCTGGCAGGAACCGTTTACAAGCTTTGGCTTTCGAATGCGACAGTCACTTGGGCGGACGAGGATACGTTTAGTTAGGACGCCGGCTGGACCATAGGAGAACGACCTCGGGACCTTGAGATTTGTATACGCTAGCCGACTTGGCAGGCTAGCTCGAGTTGACCAGAAAGGCGGCTGGATTGTGAGAGACGATCGTCTGCCCAAAGCTTGCGCACAGAGCATCCGGCTACACGGATTGTGACAAGGCAGCCGGGACGGTGGCGGGGTGTTAGGAAACGGTTGCCGGGCCTTGGGTTTTACATGCTGCAGCCGGCTGTGTGGGTTGATAGGAAGGAGCTGCGAGGCCACGAAGGGGGGTTGGGAGATGGACTGCTAGGCTCGGTGGTGTGCATGCTGTGGCCGAGTGTGTAGTTTGGTTAGAGGTGGTTATGAGGTCAGCAGGGTGTTTATGGACAGCTGTCTGGTTTGAAGCTTTCCATGTTGTAGCCGGTCGAGTAGGTTGAGAGAAGGTGGTCATAATGCTGCTATAGTGTTGAGGGATAGCTGCCGGGTCCAGCAGCTTGCATGTCGTGGCTGGTTGGTTCAATTGACTAGAGGTTATTGCAATGTTTGTCTGACGCCTAGTGGTTGTTCTGCTGGTTCCTAAGCTTATAGTTTTTGCGGCCTTGTTGCTGGGCCCAAGTGCCGGCTCTGCGACCTTTAGCCAATATATGGCACATGTATTGTATAACTCTTCAGCCAGCAACTACAGGACGCTGAAACTCTTCTTCGAATGGAAGCGGAGCACAGACTTCATAAAACGTCCAGTATACGGTAATCAACCAACCACAAGCTTTCTCGCGACAGGTATTTAGCGACAAGTACTGAAGGTGAGCAGAGCGGGGAAGGGCTTAAAAATTTGGTGTTTCTTCTAGAGGCATAAGGCAAATGAAGTTCAGCATTCGGGGTTAGGATCTTGAATCAGACAATGTTGAAGTTACCAAGGATAATCTTTTGGGCACAGCTATAAAAAGACCTGCGCGGAAAGGAGCGCATAACCTAATTAGGCGAGATTTGCGAACACTGTTGCGTGCTGATATGGGCCAGAAGTGCCTATACGGCATGTGGTCAGGAAGAAAGCAGAGAGGCAAGAAGCAGAGCACCAACGGCACATGGATGGGTTTCATATTGGGTATACCGTTATGGTAGGTACGTATATAGAGTCAAATCCTTTCTCGGTCACCTTTGTTAGAAAAAACAACATTAGTACTATTCTTACTTTGCGGCTACTGTTGAGAATGCAGCTAATAAGAGTATTTTGCTGAACCTTCTTTCTACCATTACGAGATGGGCCATTCGGTACTTTCAGAGCATTCTTTTTGGCATCTTTCCGCGAGTCTTTCTGTTCAATTCCAGGCGCACCGCTTGACGAAATTGCGTTTCTCAGAAAACTATAGTGGAGGAGCTCCTAAAGAGAATTATGCGTTCTAACCCATTATTATAGTATACAAGAGGCGTTAGGTCTGAGGTCATTATATCATTATCATTTCAATTTTTGAAGGTTGCTCTTCGAAACTCAGCTGTGATCTTGCTGTCGAAGGCTTTCGGAAGCTGAGACCCTGCAAACCAATCAGACGAAGGCTCGGCAGGTGCCGCTTAAGCGCTAACCATATCAGGTTTAAGGCTGTAAGGGCCCACCCCCGCTTACGTTCCTGCAGCCTAGAAGCTGGTTCGCGGGGGCAGGGTTTCTGCTCTCGTCGCCTGGATTCCTTCCCAACCTGCACCTGTACAAGAGACTCTCTCGGCTCAACATGTCGTCAAAAACGGTCAATATCGATTCGCCGGGGCAGTTCAGCGAGCTTCTGAAGTCCTCGAAGATTGTGGTGGCAGATTGTGAGTTGCCCCGCTCTGAACCCGCGACAGCCCGGACGCCGAGCCCAACAGGAAGACCCCGCCAGCTCCGTCTCCATGGTTAAGGAACCTGTGAAGCTGCGGCTGCGCGCGACCGTCTCCCTACTTCGACTCAATGGGACATTGTCTGACTCTTGAACTGCGATGCTGACATGTTACTACAGTCTACGCCGACTGGTGCGGGCCATGCAAACAAGTCGCGCCCGTCTTCGAGCAGCTCTCCTACACCCTCTCGCGTCCGAATCTCGTGACGTTCGTCAAGGTCAATACCGACAAGCAGAAGGACATTGCCCAGGCATATCGGGTCACCGCGCTACCGACGTTCATCGTTTTTGCTAATGGCAAGGTCATCGAGCGTGTTCAGGGCGCAGACCCACTCAAGCTGCAGCAAGTAGTCAGGAAGCTCAATGACAGGGTGGACTCTATCGGTAGTGGCGGCGGTGAAGGGAGCAGCAGTGGAAGCGGCGGCGAGCGCTGGCTAGGCGCCGAGCTGCCGCGCGGCTATCAGGATATTACGGGTGAGATTGAGCTCCCACGGTGCGAACTGCTGAATGTCGATGGGGACACTGGCAGCGTGCGGGTGCTCTTCAGCGAAAAGAAGCCGAGCGCGCTGTCGGGGAGCAAGAGCCCCAACAAGGACTGGGTTGAGAGCGATACCGATGAGCAGATGTTGCTCTTTATGCCATTCCAGTCTATGCTGAAGCTGCACACCCTGCAGGTACGTCTACCCGATCTCAACCCTAACGGTGTCTCTGCGGATCGCTTGCTAACTGATGATGATGCCAGCTCACATCCCTACCCCCACGCTCCGAAAACAGTGACGACGACGACGAAGACGAGGTGCCAATGCGGCCACGGACCATTAAGCTGTTCACCAACAAGCCACATAACCTTGGGTTCGAAGAGGCAGAGGATTTGAGTCCCACACAAGAAATCACGCTCACGGAGAAGGACTGGAACGCAGACGGCACCGCTAACATCCCGTTACGGTTCGTCAAGTTCCAGAACATTACCAGCTTGGTGGTGTTCATTAAGGACGGGGACGGGGAGGGCGAGAAGACGAGGTTGGATCGGGTGCGGCTGATTGGCGAGGCTGGTGAGAAGCGGGAGATGGGCAAGCTGGAGAAGATTGGCGATGAGCCGGGCGAATAAGAAAAGCCACATACGTGAAGAAGGCATGTTGTTGGGTTTGCACTACCACACCGAAGGGGGTGATTGGGACGGGAACAAGCCCTCGTTCGCATAGACTCAGATATGGCATTGATACAGATATAAGGTTCCATTGCCTTGTGTATGGCTGGAGCGGCAGAGTAGAACTGTGATGGGCTCTCTTTGCAGGGGGCATTTTCTTAACCAAACATCTAACCGAAGGGCTCCCAATCAAGATCGATAGACACGAGCTGAATGCATGGCATGGGTTTTGCAGTTACACAGGGGCATCTTCATGGAGACTTGCCCGGGCGCCGCGTGGCCGTTAGACAGAGACCGACAAGGATAAAATCAAAATTAGGCACCATGAGAACTCCCCACATGCTGCTAACCACCCAGGCAGGCCATAACCGTCCGGTTTTTTTTTCCTGGAAATCTGGACATGTGACGATCATGGGATCAACGGCACAAAACGCGCCATCGGTCCGCACAAACTCTACTTTGACAGGGAGGACGCATAAAGCCGGGCAAAAACGTTCGAGAATCTGGTGGCAGTACAATGCCGTCGGCTACGCCAAAACATAGGCGAGCTGACAATAAAGTAAACCATAATAGCCGCTTAAATCGGTTAGACAAGCGACCGTCATCGTCACCCTCAGCTTCAGATCATCAGCACAATTCCCGGTAACGAGGACACTCCAACAAAGAGCCTCATCGGAATTCGGCCGACGACCAACTAGCAGACAAAGCCGACAACGCATATGCAATGCTTCAAGCAAAGCCGCAAAATAGATTGAAAGTTTTGTGTCTGGCTTCCCCACCACCATCCAGCCCTGGGAGGGATCTTCTCGATGGACTTACTGATGGGGAAGCCAGCCTGCAATTAAGATTTATCTATGCCACAACTGACACTACGGATACCATGGGAAATGGAATCATAGCAACACGGGTAATGTTATGAGAGTCGTGGCAGCCGCACGAGGGAAAAAAGAAAAAAGGGAAAGCGAAAGGACTCCGAGTGCGCTGCGTTGATATTGAAAATTTTGGTGGGGCGGATGCTTAGTCAGATATGGGGCATACTCGACCAATAAAATCAGGGAATGGCTCATTTTATGGCCCCACAGTTCCAGAGGACCGGAAGAATGTTGGTCCCGAGCCATGTGCAGCTTCCGCTTCAGGAAGGCCAGGGTCCAGGCTGCGTGCCACCAGGCGAAACACTGACCGGGAAGCAGGCGAGCATGAAGTCGGCGAACAGTCTCCTTTCCCCCACCCTACCCCCCTTCGGACTGTCAACCGTGACCTCTGGCTTCGCTGATGCGCATGCGTTGTTCGCCGAGTTGCGCTGCTGTCTTGGATGACACCCTCTGCATGGCCACGCATCGGAGGGCCTTCCGCATTCGATGAGGTGGTGGAATGGTGATGACCAAAGCAGCATCAGCAGAGTTCCATTTCAATTCTGATGTCACTGATTCAACACCATCAATCTATGTCGCGCAACTCTCGTCGCGGCCAGTGCATCGCATGGCCTTTTCTGTGACATAAAACTGCCGTGGCAGACCCAAATGGACGACAGACGGACTGGATTGCGTTAACGACTTTCCTGCTTGGAACGCATTGCGCGGTTTACCCAATCCTGCATCCCATCCTTCCAGCAGAGGAGCTCCTGTTCGTCTTAGTACAAGATAGCTACGGTTCACCTGTTGCGCCAGCTGCAATCACGTCGACATTTCCGTTCAATGCCGGCATCTTTTCGTCCCATAAGTCTGTGATGTTAAACCCGAGCTGGTACTCCTCGTATGGAAGTTCCGCTCAGCATCGCATCGCATTTGCATCATCGACCGCAATGACTGCCAGTTCGTCCCGGCTCAGCACACGGACTGGCCGCTGCCCCGCCAAGCACAAACGGGGACTGATCGACTGTCATTCTCAATGTTGTGTTTGGCGGTTATGCGGGGCCCTCAGAGACTTTTGGATCTTTTATGGGATGTTCGTCTTGGACCCGGGGAATGTTGCTACGGGCAGTTTTCCTCATGTTTGATCTGTCTCACGATCTCCCCCATCACATACTTACACTTTTCACGGGCAAAGTCCGGCACGGATGTGGCGTAGACCCAAGGTGTTTGAGATCCATGTCCAAGCCTACTCCAAGGTAGCATCGATATCTGCTCCCCCACAATTTCGTCCATGCTTTTTCCACGCAGGGCCATCGTCCGAGCAGCACGAGATGAACCCTCCCACAATAATGTTAGGACATATAGAAATATGGATCCATATTGAGGGATATGGAGTGCATGCAGATTTGATGTAGGGACACGCAAGATGGCCATGGAGCTGGCAATGGTTGGGTTACGAAGTCTGGGACGGATTTGTGATCTCATGATGGCTGATGCGCTCTGATATTGTCATTTCTAGGGCTTGCTTGCCTTTCGGGGCTTCTTGGCCTTGCCTTCCAGCATCCAGCCCTCCATCCGAGCCGTCAGCTCGCCTATCGGACGGCCAGCTAGCCCTCATCCCGCACCAACCCCCCCCCGGCTCTCCTCTACCGTAAGGACGGCGCCCATCCTACGCTACCACCTACTACCTAATCTACCTCACCTCACTTACAAGTTACAGCTAGGTCACTAGGTTTACGTACCTACTACACCCCTCCATCCTGAAAGCCGACGCACAACCGCAACCTTCGGACGACGGCACGTTACCATGGGTCTTCCAGATCGGTAAGCCTGAGAAAGCTAATGAATTGGAACTCTGCAGAATTACAACGTGGCCCTTATATACTAAGAATAGATCCATGGCACCCATCCATGACCTCGCCCATACCCACCACCCTCTCCCCTTGGACCTCGTCGATCCCCCGAGGTGAAGTCGTGCTGTCGCCTGCCTATTGGATCGAGCTAGTGCTACCTTCGTACTATACGGATGCTTTCGACCTGCTAGTGCTAGGACTCGGAAGAGCCCTATAGGTCTGTGGTAGATCGGCTACGGTCGATCACAACCGAAGACAAGACTTCGCCTAGGTACAACTAACAGACCCCTGCCCCTCATGCGGCACCTAGGTGCTGAGATCGTCAACTGCCTTGTTTGAGAGTCCATTTGCTCGCCAAAAAAAACGAGGTGTACTGGGCTATCATTGTTTCCGGTACAGGAATCACGTGCGTGTGTGGCTTTCCCAGTCAGGGTGTTAGTTTGAGTGTCGGCATTCGCTAAAGAGGATATGACAAGATGATGACCAAGCCAGTTGCTACGTCGGGAGCAGTATAGTATGTACACTGTATCCATCGTCCACTCGTTGTTCGGTAACTTCGGTTGAACAGTGGCTCTCTTTGTCCCGCCTGCTTTGCTAAGTCACCTTGCCTCCGCCGGCGTAACGTGCTCTCGTTTCGCCTGGACAAGATTTCTGCTTGCGGAAACTTTGGCAGGTTTGAGCACGTCACTCCTATCTCGTTTCGTTTCGAGTGTGGTTTCGTGTTTACGCACATCTGCTACGACGTTGGGTTGGTGTTAGCACGGTACTCTGGGCGTTCAGTCCTGCTCTTCCTAGACCTTAGCAGAAAAGACTGGAAAGGAAAACGGAAGAAGAAAGGGAAGAAGATAGGAAGAAAAGAAGAAGGAAGAAAGGAAACTAGTGAAAGCACCACACTAACACCAACCCCAGGGTGTCCTATGTCAAGAGTTCATGCTCTTCACTCCCAGGCGTCGTGGCGTCATGGATTATCGTCCAGTCTCGCCCACATGGCAACCCTCCACCTGAACTTCAAACCCGTTTTCAATATCACTCCCGCTCGGCCAGCTCCCGCTGCTTGGAATCGGCACTCCCCCTACAGGTTACAACCAATGGTTGTAATAAGCCGCCTCCAGGCAGCTGGATTGATTTAGATTGGATTGGATTGATCAGCGTTGACTGGTCCTCCTGCTCCCTTTGTCAAGTGACTAAAGAGTTAACCAACCCATCCAGCAGGGATGACCACGGTCGTGCAGAGACATTTTAATCTATCCTTGAGCACCCTCCCCCCTTCCCCCCCCCCTTTTTTTTTCAAGCGAGCTTCCTTTTCGTTTTTGTTTTTTCTTGAACTCCTGAACCTCTGCAGCTATGGCTCGCGAGAGCCGCCGCATGACGTGATACTACGCCGTAATATTTGCGCTATAGACGCTCTGTCTGCGGCTGAAGCATCAGGCGCATTGACAGACATCTTCTCGAGCTGAGAGCTTTTGCTACTACACTTCTAATTGCGCATTATCTGCCGTTCGTCGACTCTTCATAAGCTACCTTCTCCCTGCTGTGTGTCGTCCCAATCCTGCATACTCTTCGCAAACGTGTGTCCTATCCTGTCTGCCCACGTGCATGTCTGACTCCACTACGGAGAGCTAAACGGCCGGATTATTGCCCGAGTATACGCTGCCGAAGCTATATGACAGCCTACTATAATTCAGTGGCTATAGTCAGGACCCAGCTCAACTGACAGCACGGGAGTAACCTGGAGATTGACATCGACATCAGGAGGCTGGGACGAATATATCTTTGTGAACTTATACCCACAGTAGAAGGGCTTCTTGGCATCAAGAGGCTCGACACCAACAACATATCTAGAACTCCGAGGCTGCTTTGAGGAGAGTTGGGCAATTCTGATAGGAACCAAACCAGCATGCACTACGACCAGTTATTCCCCTGCCACGCCCCGGCCCACCAACCGGGGCAGTTCACCTACTTTCGACGACTTCCCGCCGAGATCCGAAACATGATCTGGGAATTCGCCCTCCCTGATCCCCGGGTCTACGAGGTCCTGGACGCCCCGAACGCAAAGCACAAAACCCCAGCCGACAAAGGCCTCATGTTCGCCAACATCCATCACGAACCGCCCCCGGCTCTGGCCTCCGTCTGCAGGGAAAGCCGATGCCTCGTCCTGCACCACTACAAACCCCTCACCCTAGGCAATACAACAAAATACATCGACATGTCGCGGGATGTTTTGCTGCTCGAGCCGTACCTTTTGGTCAAGAGATTGCACAGGACGCTGCACTTCATGAGCCAGATCCCGTTGATTAGGGAGAACATGACGCAGCTTGCGCTGGGGACGTCGTATGGTGTTTATCCGGGTATCTTTCATCCCGTGCTGGGGAGGAAAGTGTCGAAGAATAATATGACGAAGTTGTTGATGGCGCTGGCGAGGTTTCCGAAGTTGAAGACGTTGGTGTTTGTGGTGCATCAGGAGTTCCAGTTCGAGTTTGACTTGAGGCAGGTGGGCGGTGTGCCACCGATTCAGGTGCCGGAGGCTTATCGCCCGGCAGCACCTCCGGTTGGGCATGTGTTTGCGGCTCCCAACGGGTATATGGCTACAGCCGACATGCCGCATCACGTTCAGCCTACAACCGGCTTACCTTCACCAGCACACAGCACTACCTTGTCGCCCTCCCCACGTCGAGCATTCCCGCATCAACATCAAAACCCCTTAACCCCGTTAACTTCCCCCTCTCACTCCCCCATCCAGCACCCAGCAGTCCCGGCTCTACAAACATCACCTCAGCAGTTCCCACACCAGCACCCCCCTCAACAGACCCCTCAACCACAACAACAATCACAACCCAAGCATCAACAAATCCACCAAGCCTACCGCTTCAAATTCGACATCGAACGGAACATCAACTCCCCCGCGGGGCCCCACGGTCGCCGCCCCTACCATACGAACTCCTTCCTCTACTACCCCTTCTCCGTAGGCAACCCCGACGCCGAAGAGGACACCGATGTCTGGACGATGGCGTGCCGCTCGGGGGTGGCTTGGGGTATGGGTTTGGGAGTGGGTATGGGGCATGGAACTTTACCGGCGGGGTTGAGGGGAATGTCCGGGCCGGGGGCTTTCGCGCCGGGGTTGGGACTTGGAGGGTTGGGGTTGGGAGGGGGGATGGGGGTTATTGGACAGGGAGATGGTGCTGGTAGGGAGGAAGAAGAGGAAGAAGGGGAATGGTGCGATCCGTGGCCGACGAATGATGACTGGAGGAGGTTTAGGAGGAGGTGGGTTAGGGCTATGGTTGCGGCTTGTCTTGGGGATCCTGTTCCTCAAGGAGTTGAAGAGGAAAGCGAAGATGCTGGGGCTGGGAAGGTTCAGGGGAAGGGGTGTCCGCTGAGGAAGCAAGGGATTGGGAATCAGGGGGCGGGAGGAGGGAAGATGGGGAAGGAGAGGATTTATTTGCCAGAGTTGTTGAAGATGAGGATTAGGGGGGCGAGTTTGTTGTGGAGGTATGGGAGTGGAGTTCATCATGGAGCCGCGAGGTAAGGGAAGGCGGGGTTGTTCATGTCTGTTTTTGGGATGAGGCGTATGATAGGACGGCCACGGAGTGGGAAGAGTTTGGCTTGTATCATTTCTCTTTGGAGTCGTTTACTTCTGAAAAAGGGGCCAGGTTGGGGTAGAGAGGACAGCTTAGAAGTCCAGTCTTTTCCGGATGATACAGGCTATGGGCATATATGCTTTTGTTAATTACGTTACGAGATACCCTCGCTCGCTTTGACGAAGCTAAATGCTTGTTCAGCTGGCGAAGAAAAGTGACATACAGGACATGGTTACGCTCAAAAAGACATTATTTCACTCCTCTCATCGTACGGTCGTCTAGGTATATGTCTGCTGTCAAAGTGAACCTGAACTTCCTTTCTTCCCTACGTAGTTCCTGTTGTTATTGTTGTTTTTTTTCCCCTTCCCCCATCTCCTTTTCGCTTCTCTTCATTGCATCATGGCTCCTTCAACTGCCTGTCCGCCACATGTTGGCATATCTACTCAGAGCGTTCTGATAAGCAAAAGGGCGTTAGCCATACTACTTGGCCAGTGGGATCCGGGTAATATATGGAGTAATATTCTAGAAGCATCATCCAACTGTTCATATATGCAACATGGGGGCACATGTCACATACAACATCGAACTTGTGTGTGTGTGACAATTCCCATAGTGACCACCGACTGCATATAGGAGGGGACAGATTAAACCTGGCCTGCCACATCAGGAAAGTCATAGTCACCAGGAGGACAGAGTCTTTTCCTATCCAGTACCGTAGCCTTCCTCCTCCAGTTTTTCCATTTCCCTTCCCCTTCATCATTCTATCATTGATATATTATCCGAACTACACTTGACGTTATCAGGTACCAAAGATACCCTTGTCCACTTACAATGTTCATCTGGTAGGTGCTTCCATCCAAGGCCAGTTCCGTTCAGCAGAGATATTCATGTATGTACCAATCATTCTTGTCAGCTTCCGGAATTTATGTGATATATACCTTAGCCTTTAGTTTATCTTGTTGATAATGCCATTTGTTGTTTCCTCTTCTCTTTCACTCACTTGACTTTGAAGCTTTTTTTTGGGGGGGTTCTTGATCTCTTTGTGCGGATGCTAGTAATGTATCCACCAAACATTCAGTTGTAAATGACTGCTAAACCTTGCTCATTGGTAAATGTCGGGAAGTCTGTCCCTAAGAGCAACTGAGAATGCCCCCTTCGGGAAATAATGCAGTCAAAGACAAACACTCCCCTACAGAACAAGCGTGGCCTTCAGCAGGAGGTGATTGTTCTTAGCAGGTTTGTGCGCCAGTATGATGTATATGAATTTGTGTCTCCTATGTGATGAAGGATGTGATGGGCAGATGAACTCGATGTTACTTATTCCTCTAGTTCCCAATGAAAACAATATCAAGAACGGTTAGCCATTGCCATGTTACTTCATAAAGAGATAGACTCTTTGTGCCACATCCTCCATGAGCACCAAGTCCCTCACGGATGTCAAATGACTCCATAAGGTTTGGCTGAACGGCTGTGTAAAGGACAAGGAAAGGGCACGGTGAGCTGAGAGCAAAATATATATATATATATATATATATGAATGGAAGAAGACCAGATTGAAAGAAGGAATGATCATGAAAAGGAATGGAAAAGAAGAATGGAAGAAGGAAGGGAAGAACGAATAGAAGAAGCTATAAAAGAAAACAATAGAAAATAAAAGAAATAAAAAAATGGGAAAACACAAGGGAATACGGTAAGGAGAAAAGGTTGGAAGGAAAGGGGGAGAGGGAATGTAACCCTCACAGGTCACCTCCCACGAATCCAACAAATACGGGGCTCATACCAGCTTAAGTCACAACACCCACATCTACCCCTAAAAATCTCCAAAACCCCACATTATACTATTAAGCCTATCTACTAATAATAATACTGCATGGTAGGTAGGCAGCTAGATAGGTAGACATGCAATCTCTCCTCCCATCCATCCAAGTTTGCTTTCCGCTCCAATAGAGCCCAAAACAGTGGTATCTCCTCCACAGTCGAAAGTGTAAAAGCACTAGCCAAAGATCCAACAACCACCAAAAAATAAAGAAATGCCAACAACAACAATCCTCTCCAGCCCTAGTAAAGTGAATGTTAAAATTATAAGCCCAATATGACGCTGACAATCCCATCCAAGTTATTTCGATAGTGGCCCGTCATACGTGACCTAAATGTTAAAAAATGTTCCAAATGATGATAATAATGCCCCAAGTGTACAGGAAGCGAAGCGAAGAGGCAAGGCAAATGACATGATAGATCCTGTGCATATCGCATTGCATGTTGATGTTTGCTTCATAAAGAGTAGATAGATGATAGTACCATTATGCATGAAATGCACATCCACATGTCCTTGTTCATTTGGGCAAGTTAAAGTAAGCACCCGGTTGCTCCTCCTTGTAGGTAAACTCAGGTCATAGATACTTGAAGATCAAGGGGGAAATGCAACATAGGTAGGTATTTGAAAAAAAAAAAAAAAAGAACATGTTGTACAACAAAAGCAGTGGTATCTTTGCCCAGGTATCAAAAATAGCAGGAGTTTAAAAAAAAAAAAAAGGTACAAAGGGGTATGGGTGGGTATGTATGAATGGCATGGGCACTCCCCACACCGAAATCTCCCAAAGGCGAACGAATAAACGATAGGGGCAATTAACCAGGAGGAATGAGATCTTCAGTCACAAAAGAATCCAACGTTACCACCCGTCATCAAAACTGCGTCTCCTCCCTCAACCGACTCTTTGAAGGTTGCTGCGTCAGCTGCCCCATAAACATTGCGCTCTCCCTACGACTGCGATACGTCTGCTCGTACCCAGGCGTCAGGCCATTCTCATAATGCGGCCTGTCATACCCAGCCGGCAGGGACGAAGCGTACTGCGGGGGCGTGGAAAACCCGGTCTCATATGCCGGACGCAGAGAGCTCATGGACGCTGACTCGTGCATGATGCGCTGTCCGGGAGGGGTAGGCGTGTTGCGCGCAGCCATGTTGGCGGCGTTGAGCTGGGCCATCTGCTGCATGGTCATGGGCGGCGGCGTCGGGGTGCTGCGGTTGCCTTGAGAATCGAGGGAGTCAAGCAGGCGATGGCGGTGCGGCGAGTCGCTGTGGGAGGTCGATGGTCTGGCAGCATCTGAGGGGCGGCGTTCCTGGAAGGATGTCGGCAGCGAAGGACGGCGCTCCTGAGTGAACTCGGGTTCGGGGGCAGGAAGCTCGTAGTCGGCGGGGTTAATGCCGAAGATGGCCTCGAAGTTCTGCAAGAACATGGCGAACACCGGAGCCGGAATGTTGAGCGTAGGCGAAAACACGATGCCGACGTTGCGGACGTTCATCTTGTTCACATCGGAATTGTCGATGATCTTGATCAAGAACGAGATCAGGTACTTGAGCAGCGTTGCGTTGGGTTGCGGGAGCCGTGCGACGAGCTCCGACAGCGCCGCAAGCTTCTGGCTCTGATCCTGCATCTCCGTCACAGCCTGGAACTGAGGCCGCAGCTCGTTCGTGAGTATCGTCGCGGGCAGTTCACGCAGGTACAGCTTGAGCAGCGAAGCCACAGCATGGATGTCATGGTATTGGCTGTCGTTGAGCAGGTTGACGTCGCCCTCCTGGTTGAACCGCTCGCGCAGCTGCTTGATAACCACGCTCGAACCGCTGAGCCGGAAGATACCCTCTTCAGAGACAGCGTTCTTGGCCTCAAGGTACTGGATGCACCGGTACACCACAGCTGGCAACGGCACCCTGACGTCCACTGGTGAGCAGTACTTCACCGCCTCTGCCAGACTGGCACCAAACACCTCACGGACAGGGCCGTTGAAAGGGTTCTTGGTCTGCGTGGCCGGAGAGTTTCCGCCCTCACTGCCAAACAGAGAGTCCTGGCCATCGCTCGAGGTACGCGTCTTGGGACCAAATCCAAAGAAGCTGCGCTTCCGGGCCTTCTTTTCCTCCTGGCTGGGCAAACCCAGACCCAATGGTTGCTTGTTACCCCACGACTCCGAGTTCGTAATGACATGCCCATCGCGCGGAGCAGAGATGTTGTAGGACGCTACCGTGGAATGGCTGTGAACGGAGTCCTGGTCTGGAGCACCATGTTTCTTTCCTGGGTGCCCTGACGGCGCCTCTCCTGGCTTGGTCGCCTCATAACTCACGCCGACTAACTCCTCGTCGCCATTTTGCTGCTGCTTCGCCTGTCCGCTGCTCTTCTTCTTGCCGTGGTTACGCTCGGAGCCATTGCGGTCGTGTCCGTGGTGATCTTTCTTCGACTCCTTGGACGGCTGCTGGGACTCCTCTTCCTCCGGATCCTTGTAATCGACCCAGCGTATCAACGCATCGACCCACTGGTCGCGCTCCTTGTCGCTCTCGGCGCACAGCACATGCTTCGTCATGCTGTTCGGGTCCTTCTTCTTCGGCTCTAAAATCAAGAAGGCGTGGCGATACTGATTGTCACCGTCTTCATTCGATCCCTGCGACCCATCGTTCGAGTGATTGGTCTGTTTGCCGATCTGAGCTCCACGAAGCTTGATCGTGCCGAGATGTGCGCCGCCGGGAGTCTCGTAATACTTGAGCTGAGGGCCGTCCAGGACAAAGTAGCGAGCCTTCCATCCTCCAAAGTTCTTCCCTCTCTTCGTCAAGTAGCCACTGCGATACGGCCGGCCGCCAGGGCCAACCCGTTCGTGGCCAGAGTCCGAGCTACCCGTCTCATCAGCGTTGGGCGGCAGAGTGTTGGTCGAGAGATACTTGCACAATTCCAGCGCGGTATCATGGTCAAGTGGAGTGTTCAATAGCTCATCCAGGTACTGGTTGAGCGCGTCGCGACGAGCATCCAGCTTTGCCGGTGAGTGACCGCTGAAGAGGGACCTGTCGGGAGTCTTGGCGGTGAAGTTGGGGCACTGTTTCAGCCTGTGATCCAGCTTCGCCAAAGATGCAGAGTCCTTCTCAATCCTCCATAGCTCACCGCCGTCAGCTCTCGAGTAGACGGCCAGGGTGAAGACCGGATCTTCTTCGAGCTGGGTCAGGGAGATTAAGCTGGCCCGAGAAGGCTTCATACGGGAAGAGGCAACCTTGATGTCGATATGCGGGAGGGCGTTGGGAGGAAGCAAAAGATCGGGATACTCCTCGGTCACAAATCCCTTGTAAATCTTCTTGCGCTCCGGCGGGCGCTCCTCGTTATTTGACTTGGTCGGACTCGGCGTCGAACCGTGTTCCTTATTAGCAGCGCTAGGCGGCTGATGTGACTTCAGGGCAGGGGCAGCATCGCCGGCTGCTGGGGATGGTGTGGAAAGAGGGGTGTTGGGCGGTAGGGGGATGGGCTGCCGGGGAGGACGGGGGGATAGAGGCATGCCAGCATAGGCACCAGCCCCTCTAGGAGAAAGCGGCGGCGAGTTTGGCGAGCTGAGTGTAGTGACAGGCCTGGGGCTCACAGGCAGACCTGGACTCATGAGAGGAGGCGCCATGGCACCCAGAGCACCACTCAAGACACCCGCCAGCGAGGCAGGACCTCTCGGCGGGAACATTGCCCTAGGAGTGGGCGGTGCCTGGTCCTCAGGGGCCTCTTCCTTCGGCATGCCCTTCTGGCTACTGCTCTTCTTGCTCTTCTTGGACAAGCTCCTGAGCTCCGCCTCTTTCTTCGCCTGGATGGCACGCTCGCGGTCATCCTCTTCCCGAGTCCTCCTGCGTCCTCTCCTCTCCTCTTCATCGGCATCGTCCACTTCGAGAATCTTGTCGTAATCTGTGTCCGTGTCTAGTTCCTCTTCTTGGGAGACATCGGGCCTCGGCTTCGGGTTCTTAAGGTGCAGCGGCGCCGGCGGCGGTTTGCGCGGGGGCGGGGCAGTCGGCGGGGGAAACTTGCTATCATCGAGCTTTGGCGATCGATCAGGCAAACCAACTGGTAGCTGGGGAGGAGGTATCCTAGGCGGCTCGCGGGGCTCCAATCGGGATGGCGGGATGTTCACATGGATATGTAATCCATTCTCCTCCTCAGCTTTCTTGGCAGCAGCCTCTGCCTCGAGCTCTTCCCTCTCGTGATCGAAGTGATCTAACGCATGATCGCTCGGCTTCGGCATCGACTCAACAGGATTGAGCAGGTCTTCAACGCCCGTCCGAGGGCTGTTGGATAATCCATGGTCCCCGGGAGGAGTAATGGGATAAGGCGCCAGGGCAACGTCAATGGGTGACGGCCTGGGGCTGTCGGCCGTCGGCACTGGCGACGCAGGGATCTCGATGACCTGTTCTCTGGTGGCTGAGGGATCGGAATTGACACCATTGGTGCCAGCCTGTTGGCCATTGGGCACCTGAGGAGATGACCCGGATCGGGATGCTTCTAGCAACTCCTTCAACTTTTTCTTATACTTTTCCTTCTCCTTCAGGGCTCGCCTGAGGTCCCGGTCAAGTTCCAGGATAATTCCCCTTTGTTTGTCGACTAGCGACCACAGCTTAGCGTTTTGTTGTGCTTGTGACTGCTTCTCTTTGAGCAGGTACTGGATGACTGCCTCGGCGCTGCCGGCCGTCCTGATCAATTGTTGGATGTCGGGGAGCCCGTCCGCATCCGCAGCATTGGATTTCGATGTCGCGGCAGACATTGCCGAATCGATTGATGGATTTTTCAATGTGCCCTTCACGGGCTCGGTCCGCGTGGTTGTTGTGGTGGAAGCCATCGTCGAGGATTCGCTCGAGGGGCCCGCGAGATGAGCTCTGACTTGAGTTATGACGAGGGTATCGGAATCACGACGGACTGCATCCGGAAACGCAGGTGAGCGGGGGGAACGAGCTGGTCTGTAGGAAGAGACGAGAACTGTCAGTGCCCATGTTCTCTCCTGCTAATCCAGGGTACCTATCCGTGAGTAGGCACGCACCCAGGGCTTCTGTTCTCGGGAGTAGTGCTTCCTGAAGAACTGCTGTGGTAGTATGTCTTTGCAGCCTCTCCCGAGGCTCCGTCGTCAGGGGCTTCGGTGGTGACGATGCGGGGAACGGCAGAGGCGAAAGTGGTTCGCGAAGGGCTGGGGCTCGTCGGTGGCGACGAGGCGTTATGCGACTGATGGAGAGGACTCGTTGCAGATATGAGCCTAGACCTGGGCCGGGTAAGAAAACCGGGATCAGTATATTGATTTTATGGATTGCTCGACAGCCGTTACACAACGAGGTTCGGGCAAGCGCCAAACAAAGGGCTTGGGCCAGGCCAATAATGGATGGGATGCGGTGCTACTGTGAAGCAGGCTGGGCCAGCGGGAACGGGGGAGGGCTCGTTCCAACTACCCAGGTACGTAGCCGTAGTGTAACGGGATGTTGACACGGAGACTGAGGGGCGTGATGCAGCCACTGTAGGACGCAGCACGCAGCTCCGTTGCCAATCGCCAATGAGGCAGGCAAGACCTAAACAAAAGCACAAGCTGTCGCGTCCTGGGGGAGGACCAGGCACGAGACAGAGACCAGAGAGAGAGAGAGAGAGAGAGAGAGAGAGAGAGAGAGAGAGAGAGAGAGAGA